TACTGCCCCCGAGAGATCTTTTTACGCTTAGTTCAAGGTTGGTGTCCTTCATTGGACCGGCTGCGCCCCTCTCCAATTTTCTTTGACAACCCCCCCCCCTTAACCAGGTTCCTCGACTCCAGTTCCAGTCAGGCTCAGTCATGGTGTGTTTTCTGTTCGGTAAGAAGGGCCGGAGCCATCGATTGCGAGCCAAGCGATTGCGAGCCAGGCGATTGCGAGCCAGGCGATGGGTGAGAGGCGTGGTGGGTCTGTGTGAGAGAAAACGTGGTGTTGCCGGATGCAGCGGGTCACTTCCCCATGGTTGACCGGTCAAGCAGACCCAGCATACAGCACAACACAGTGTCGTTGCTCGTGGCTGCATTGTATCAGGCCAGCAGGGAGGTTTTTCTGCAGAACCCCCATGCCGACCGCGCGCAGGGTTCAGCAATCAGCCCAGAGTGCTGGGCCTCCACCATGCCCAATCCCAGACCACTCAGAAACCCCTTGTGTGTGTGTGTGACGAAGCAAGGTTCACAGACGACCTGGACATTCCATATCGAGTAATAGTAGTCGTTGGCGTCTAGACAACGCCCCTCTGGTCTCGCGATCGGAACTCGCGTATGATGCCCGCTCAGCCTGTGGGGCCCCAAGTGTGCCCGCCTTTTTCTCTAGGGAAAGAAACATAGGGGACCCGCCCAACGCATCTATTGTGTCACCCTTGACCATGAGTACCATAGTATCTCACTCAGAGCAGGCACTCCTGGCAGGCAGGCAGCAGGCAGGCAACAAAGGGCGAAATTCTTGACCACACATCAGTGCTGCACAGTAAAGTGGTGATACGTACCATGGCAGCCTCGCAGTTCGGACACACACACACACACACACACACAGACAGACAGACAGACAGACAGACAGACAGACAGACAGACAGACAGACAGACAGACAGACAGACAGACAGACAGACAGACAGACAGACAGACAGACAGACAGACAGACAGACAGACAGACAGACAGACAGACAGACAGACAGACAGACAGACAGACAGACAGACAGACAGACAGACAGACAGACAGACAGACAGACAGACCGACGGACCGTGCCTCGTCTTCTGCCGGATTTGCTTTCCACCGAATGAATAAACCCCACTGGAGGAGAATGCGGAGAAGTGGAGTTTGTTGCGCGTATGGTGTCCCAACCGAATGGTCCGTAGGCAGGGCATGGCAGATTCTCCCCCGTCCCAGTTCAGCGGGCTGCGTTCTCATTGTTGCATGTGCATACAAGGGACGTCATTGGCTTGAAGAGAGGCGGGAGGGGCCCCGACGGCCTGGGAAGGAGCCTGCACTTGTCTCTCATTTTAGGCCCACAAGACTAGACAGGGATAGGCCATGTTGATACTGTACACGGCACGGTGCACTTTCAACTCGATGGTCTTCTGTACAACCAGGATTTGTCTGACTGGGAAGGGCAGGGTTGAGAGAAAGAGCCAGAGAGAGAGAGAGAGGGCTGAGAGGATTGGCCCAGTCATCACCCCCCAGCCATCAAATCCCGACGGGCTTTGACGCTACGCATCGTCTGATCAGTGGACCACCAGGCCATGGTGGTCCTGGTCGTCTTACATACTCAATAGTAGTAGCAGATTTGGATTGCCCTTGCCCTTGCCTTGCCGTACCGGGCAACCCAACAGCACAGAGATCCCTTCCAAGGCGGAAAAGCCGGGGGGTCGCAGCTCATTTCTCAGCATCTGCTGTCAGCACCTTATGTGATTCCCCTGCTTTACTCACTATTGCCAAGGGCTTGGTTAGTACAGAGGCAAAATTAGGTCTGGCCCGCCCCTTGGGGTTTACCAAAAAGAATCGTTCACCGGTACAAGAAAGAGAGAGAATTGAGAGCCTGTGGTGGGGGACAGCGGGCGCACTTGCGCCTGACCCGCCTGCCCTAAGGGCCGTGGTACCCATCTCTGCTCCCGCTTTTTCTTAACAGGGGGACAAAAGGATCCCTGCAGTCAACTCTCACTAGCGGACCACCAGCCGAAATTGCACGACCGGCTGTTAGGCGGGGTGGCCCGTATGGAAACAAAAAAAGATAGGCGGAGACGTGCCGAGCAAGTTGCTATCTCCCAAGAGCGGTAGCCGTTCGTACTTCGGCTTGTTGCGGGCCTGTTTTTGTTTGTCCAGCAGAACGGCTCGAACCCATGGGACTAGCACTGTGCGTGCATGATCATCGACGGGATGGGGGGACCTCGCTAATGCAGCTTCAATACCGACTCTGAACGATGCTGAGGAAAAACCTAGATGTGATCCTACTTGTACCGCACAACGTATACACACGGTATGTACTATGGTACGACTGTACTATAGTATACAAGTCGACAAAAGAGGGGGGGAGGGTCCGGGATATCCGACAATCCGACGAGTTTGATAGAATTTCATGTGCAAAGTAACCACAGAGTAGCCAGCCACACTTACTTTGCTGAGTACTCAGAGGAGTTGGACAGTAATATTACGTTGGCTGGATGATGGCGCTTGGCCCTTCGGATACCTCGCTGGAGCATATGCAATGACAATATCAAACTTGACTGGACTGTTGGCGGCCCCTAATGCATAGCAGGAATGCCAAGGAGCCAAGTGTCGCAAGGTGATGTCTACAGAGGTCCGGAGCGGCAGAAGAAGGCCCAGAATTGTACAGAGCATTGCATCGCTTGGAAGCTGGGAGAATCCATCGTATGTACTAACCAGCCTAGACCAGGTAGGCCGCTTCCGCCCCCACCCTGTCCTATAGATGCCACCAGCACAGCACCTTTTGGGACCCGGCTTGATGTACAGTGGCAATCGACGCCTTATCCGATTCTGAGCACTCAAAACAGAGCCGAGATGATCTGACTGCTTTGTGCCTTGCCATATTTAATGCGGCAGTAAACAGTGTCATACTTGACCCGCCGCCGCCACCACAACGACGATCCTCCATATACTACGTTGTTGATCGAGCATATTCCATCTGCGAAGGCCTCTTTTACGTAGTAGCTGGACCGGTGTATTCATCTCGGTAAAGCAACCCTGAGAGACGACGTGCATACAGCTGTGGTGTGTTCTGAATACCTAGCGTCGAGTTACCATAGTAAGATCACTGGGACTTGGCTGAGCAGTAATGCGGGCTGAGGTCCCAGCCCATCTTCTGAGCCTTCTCCCCCCGTGTCCCTGTCGTAGGACCTGTGTCCAGCCTCGTTTCACACGCGTTCAGGGAGGGACCGAGCCGTCGATCCTATACAGAATCGAGAAGACATGTCGATACTAGCGAAGAAGAACAGCTGATCCAGGAGAGGGGGTGGCAATCTGCGTGAGGTTGTTGCCGAGATGCGGCGAGTTCTCGATCCTGCTGGGGAAAACCGTTGGATCAAAGACCACACACATGACCAGCACATTCTCTGTCGTACGTTCACGGCTTGAACCAGACAGCCACATCCCCTGAGAACGCGCACGCCCTAAATCTGGTCTCGGACCGAGAGTGGTCACACCTATGCTTGGCCCACATTCGACAAGGAGATGCCTGAAACTGCGTGTGGCCTCTCAACTATGTGTATGGCTAATGCTCCTTCTGTCAGCGAGCGTGCCATGTGCTGAAGAGAGCAGAGAGAGAGCAAAAGAGAGAAAGTGGCTGGACTGATGGCAACAAAGGTGTGCCGCGTCCCGTTGCGCAAGGGATCTGACAGGGCAGTATGGCAGGAGTAAGGAGTCACGGGAAGGATCTACCGTGCATTCTAATCACACACGATCGAGAAGCCATCGTCTCGGTCCCAGGCGGGAAGAGGATTATGGACCTGAGGCCTGCTCTTTGATGGCTCTCTCTCTCTCTTCGCCCTCCCCTGAGGACGAGATGTCCTCTCATGTGTCAACTGTCGGGGTAATACAGGCAGCGAGTCAGGTTAAGTTGGTGTGCTGGTTTTTGATGGTGTGTTGAACGCGGGAGGGTGTGTGCGTGAAGTGTGTGGATGCATTTCCGCGACCAAATCAGCCCAGGATGTGGCACTCGAGAGCCCGGCTGACCACACCAGACTCCACCCCACCCTCCTCGTCCCTTGATCCCATATACGACGTCGAGCTTGCCACGTTGCGTAGGATTACGCGCTGGTGTGGAAGAAAGGGGGGCAGGTTGAAAGGAGGTGGTGGGAGCTGTGGTGTGCCTTTGGGTGCGAACGTCACAGCACGCGTTGTTGGAGAGAAGAGAGGTGTGGTCAAATTCAAGGTCCGATTTCTATGGGGACGGCGCTTAGAGCACGGGCCTCATACGCACAGCGGGCTACAACAAGCGCCAGCCTATAACGCACGGGCCATTTCGTGGCCCTGTCAACCACCTTCCCCAATATTCAATATCAACATCATCAAACCGACAGCCAAAACAGGACATCACGACCAAGGTACCAGCATCAGCACCAGCGCCAGCTCTAGCTCTATCAGCACCACACCTTGGACGCCAAGCAGCGAACGCACAGTAAAGAGATTTTGCCCTCTTTCTTTTTTCGTCCACAGGTTACATCACACTCCCAGATTGTTGCCACCGAGGAGCTCTACGCCGCTCAGACGCGCCGTCGAGCTCGGCCTTTTTGTCCCCTCTTCGCCTCACGCCACGGCTGATAATGCCGGAGGAGGGACAGCCCCGCCCACAGCTCACAGATAGCAGGCACAAACGTCGATCTTGAAGGAACAGGAACCAGACCTTTCGTGCATCTGCACCCTGCGACTTGGGTTTCAAGCCCTCGTGGCTCGCAGATAGCCCTGAAGGAGAGAGAAAGCACCCATGGCTGCCGAGGTGGCCCCGACGTCTCAGAGGAGGGCGAGGCGACGCCAGGTGTTCCACTCTGTCTTTTCGACAAATCACCCTCTTTCAGCTTCGACGCCGCCATTTCAGTCCGTCCTGTCACAGTCAGCGCAGTCGCAGTCGCAGTCGCAGTCGCAGTCGCAGTCGCAGTCGCACTCGCAGTCCCAGCCGCGGTCCAGGGCAGGCAACGACCAGGGTCACACTATTGTCGGACACCAATTTACCGAGGCGTCCACGTATTCCCCCAGTGCAGCGACGTCCTTCTGGACTGCATCTCCTCTGTCACAGCCAATCTTCGGCAGGGGCACGCTATCAGCTGAAGATGAGACGGGCCAACTAGCCTCTGCCTGGGTTATTGTCACCTCGACGCTAGATCTATCCTCTGGTGTGCCACTGCGAGAGTCTGACGGGACACCCTCCTCTGCCCCTGAGCTCCACTTCGCGTCCCAGGCCCAGGAGGATGAGTTCAGTTTTGCACTTGCCAAAGTCGTCCAGGCTGGACAACTGGGCCATGGCGCTGGCAATCCCTACGACGTCTTGGCCTGGCATAGCCATCAAGTGAGAGCGCACTTCATCGACCATGAACATCGCTATCTTGCCAGGGCGTGCAGACGGGTTGCTGTTCATGGCGAGGATGGTGTTGAGCATGTCATGGAAGGCGGCCCTATGGCTGCCCTTCAAAGGACTGCACAGCACCTTCAGTCGACCTTTCGGCAGTACTTTGCCCGCCTGTCCCCAATTATACGGGCTATGGAGCAGGGTAACTGCTCAGGGGATCCAAATACTATGTCAGATGCCGTCTTCATACGGTTCACGCACGATCTGCATGCTTTGGTCGCCGATGCTGCAGGTCCCATATTACCAGTCATGCGCGCCGTCTTTGATCCTCTCATAGAACAGACACTGCAGATGCCGAGGGCAGAGACGAAAACCAAGTCTGCTCGTCAGTCGTCCAAGTGGGGAAGCATCGGTGGTGGGGACGCACGAGAGCGTCTCCTTCAGCTTGTCGAGGCGCTGAATCAGGTCGGCATGGCTGGTGAGAGCTTCCAGGTGTTGTTTGCCGAGATCATGGACAAGAAGATGACCGAGTACGTTCACCAGTCGTACGCCCGGGTCTGGAGATGTCCCTCAAAATTCGAGAGCGGCGGACGCGGGCTGAATAGGGAGGTCATCAGAACCCTGGGCCTCTCCCAGGCCTCATGGTGCATTCTGTCGCTCTGCAATTGGATAGAAAATTGCTTTGCCCGTCTGGCATTGGAGGTGCTAAGTCGCGTCGAAAAGACGAGCACGAAGTCCAAGATTGTATCCCTGGCCTATGTACAGCAGTGGAAAGAGACAGGGATTGGACGTATCGCTGCTCTGCGAACCTCGGAGCTCTTCGACATCGTGCTTGCGTGGCCGGCAAGCAAGGGCGCACTCGATGACCTCAAGGCCAGCGTTACGACCCCTCAGCGGCGCTGGCAACTGACGGAGGCCTTTTCCTCTGCGCTCCAGAACCGCCTGTTGCACCCGGCGCGGTCTACGTTGGACATATTGCGGGTCTACATCTCCATGATTCGTGCTTTCCATGCTCTTGACCACTCCAAGGTCCTCCTGAGCCGCGTGGTCCCATCCCTCCAGCTTTATCTCGTTCAGCGAGAGGACGCCGTCCGTATTGTGGTCACGGGTCTGCTCGCGAGTCCAGAGGAGGTCGAGGCGGCGGAGAAGTCATCTTCTCCTCCTCCTCCTTCTGACGATGGTGCATGTAAGAAACTGGTCGAGCTTGCCGTGCTTCTCAATGATCCAGATCAGCAGCGACGAACGGACGTTGACGAGGATGACCTTGACTGGGATGATCTCAACTGGGTCCCGGATCCTGTGGACGCAGGTATCAATTACAGACGGCCCAAGTCCGAGGATGTCATCGGCACTCTTATCAGCACGCTTGGGTCTGAAGAAGTCTTCATCAAAGAGTTCCAAAATATCATTTCTGAGCACCTCTTGTCCAACCAGACAGATTTTGCACAGGAGCAACGAGTACTTGATCTCCTGCAGAAGCGCTTCAGTGAATCGGCACTGCAGAACTGCGAGGTGATGATCAAGGACATTTACGACTCGCGAAAAGTTGACACGCGAATCCGCAGGGTCCAGCTTGGTCAGCCTGCGCAGCCTGCGAGGACATTTGGAACACCAGCCACACCACCCACATACATGGACATGGGGAGGCAGCTGGACCTGGACGAAGAGGAGCAAGGGCAGGTGCCATACCACGCGCGCATTCTGTCCCGTCTGTACTGGCCCGACATTGTGCAGGAGACTTTCAACCTGCCACAACCTGTCGCGCAGCAGCAAGGGAAGTATGAAATTGGGTACGAACGCCTCAAGAGCTCACGCAAACTCACCTGGCTGCACCAGCTCGGCCAGGCCACAGTTGAGCTGGAACTGGAGGACCGCACCATCAACGTTGAGTGCAAGACCTTTGAGGCAGCTGTCATCTACGCGTTCCAGGACAGCGAAGGAGATCAAGAAGCAGAAGGAGGCGGGACCAGTGGCCCAACGCGCCGCACCGTCCAGGAGCTCCAGGAGATCCTCGGGATGGACGAGGAGTTGGTGCTCCAGGCGCTCGAGACCTGGGAGCTGGAAGGGGTTATCGCCCGTTATTCCACCTCACCCGATACATATGTTGTGCTGGAACGGAAAGACTCGCCTTTGACCAGACCGGAGCTTCATCCTTCGGCATCAGCGCCGGCAGCGCTGGAAGGAGAACACCAGGTGGCGGGGATGCCGCCTAAGCCTTCTGGTGTGAAGCGGGCGGGTACGACGAGCGCGATGGATGCCAAGGAGAACGAGAGGAGGGCCATGTACTGGCAATTCATCGTGGGCATGCTGACAAACTCGATGCCTATGATGCCGCTCGGCCAGATGGCCATGATGATGAGGACGTTGATCCCCGACGGCTTCTCCTGGAGTGACCAGGAACTGCAGGAGTTCTTAGCGGAGAAGGTGGAATCGGGAGAGCTGCAGCTTGTGGGCGCGAAATACAAGCTGGCCAAGAAATGAAGTGACTACATTCTGTCTTCTGGTCGCCGGCACCGGAAACTGGAGGAGCGTCGCATTGCTAAGTATTTTGTTGAGGCGGGCGCGTCGAGATACCCCCAGGAGCATAATTGTTTACCTAGCCGAGTGCTTCTTTTCCTTGTTACAATCACACGCGGGTTCACTACAATTAGGTTTGTCGCGGCGCCCCTGCCGCAACGCTTTGTAGTAAAGTAAAAGCATTACCACTACTCTATCAAGTATGTATGATGGTACATGTTGTTTCCACATCCTGTCCCTCCCACCCCGGATTTCGATGTCCTGCCCATTCCGAACATGAAACAAGGAATTGTCATGGAAAATCGTCATGGCAATTTGGGCGACTGAGCATGGGACTCTTGCTTTTTCTGTTGGGGCCACCTCGTTAGCAACGGGGAAAACACCACCTGCCCGAAGTGTCAACCGTCTCCGTTCCGCAGCCGACCAGCCCCTAAACCAACAGACCTCCGGTGCACAGTGGGTTGTGGGCCCTTTTCATCCCCGGTTCTGCGTTCCATCTGGAATGGAAGAGGGAAAGTGGGCCCCCGGGCCCCCGAAGATCGAGCGATCACCACCGTGATTCTTGATGATGGTTTCCATGTCTATGACACCGCCATCGCGAGCGCATGGCGGGCCGGGCCACCCCTCACTTCTCTAATGCACTATAGTATCGTCCTCTCCACGCGCTGGATACCGGATTCAGCAACTTTTACCGCAGCAGTGAGAGAGAAACACAGAGGGTGAGAGGGTCGAAAAAAGGGGTTGAAAAGGTTGGAAAGGGAAGGTCGTGGCCGGATCGGCTGGCTTTGTTGTCTACACGGTTCCTCTTTTTTCTTCTTTTTTGTTTTCCTTCTTCTTGTTGTCTCTCTCTCTCGCTACTTGGATACTGGGGCGACGCGGGACGACGGAGCAGAGGGGAGGGGCGCTTGTTCGAAGCGAATGCGAGAAATGTTTGTGAGTCGAGGACGGCTCACCGAGACAGCCAGGTTGGTGGGCTGATCGCGATGATGGCCTCGGTTGATTGTGGTCTACCCGAGGAGGAGGAGGATATTTAAGAAGGGAAGGCTGCGACGGCAGTGAAGAGAAGGATAGCGAGAGAGTCATCCAGAGAAATCGTTTGGGACAGTTCATCACCGCTTCTTCGTCTTCATCGTCACCATCACCATCTTCTGGCAGTATTAGCTGTTAGGCCTGATACTCTTACACAAAAACAAACAAACAAACAATCGAAAATGCATTCCACATCGATCCTCACATGCGCCCTGTCGCTGGCTGCGGCCGTCTCGGCGTCGTCTGTGTCTCCCAGGGCCACCACATCCAACGGGACGAATGTCGTCTCTGCGAACTGGGACGGGTGAGAAAATTCAAACTTCTTTCTCATCGAGAAGCCCATCTCTGCCACCCATCTACTACCACCAAATACAGGCCCTGCTAACCATCCTTGTCTTCTTCTTTGAACAGCGAGTGCTTCTACCCCATCTCGGACTCGACCTTTGATATCGACACCTACCTGGGCGTCTGGTACCAGGTGGCGGGCTACACGGCCATCTTCGACGCCGGCTGCAAGTGCATCACCGCCAACTACACGCTCAACGAGAACGGCACCGTCCACGTCGTCAACCAGTGCCAGGAGCTGGGCCTGCCCATCAGCATCGAGGGGACGGCGACTGCTGCCGATGCGGCCTATGGCGATGCTGGTGTCTTTGTGGTGACGCTGGAAGGGTTCGGCGATGTCTGCCCTGGGCCCAACTACATTGTTCAGGGTGAGTGGATATCTAGTCTGGCAGTTTGCTGCAGTGCCCTCAAGCAGGCAAAGCAAGAAAAAGCATCAACTTTTTCTCCTTTGCTAATAACTTCTCTGTTTTAGAATACGTGGTGGATGACTATGCCATCGTGCAGTCTCCCGACTTTTCGACATTGTTTGTACTCAGCCGCGAGCAGAACCTGACGACCACCGAGATTGACGTGAGTTTATCTTTCTCCCCCTTCTTCCTTCAGGTCCCTGTTATCATTTTAGATATAAGGGAAAAGCAGACAGGCATGCAGCATGCTAATCAAGCTGACACGGGCATACTAGACTCTGGTGGCGCGTGCAGTAGCTCTGGGCTCAGACGAAGCTCTGATTGTGACAGACAGCCAGTCTGGATGCCTTTACACCTAAAGACAGCCATATTGCAGGACTAGCTTCGATATCTAATAAGATATGTGATTACCATGGCCTATAGTTTCAGATAAGTGGAAGAGAGAAAGAGAACTTTCATTCGAAAATTGTATCGTGTGACAATGTTTGAGGCTCAATATGTGCACAGGTGACGTCACCCACTGCACACACATGCAGCAGATGCAGCCAAGAACTGACCATATTCCTGCTTTGGAAGGACAAGGTTGCAGATAGGTCGTCATGGCTCCCAAATTTCGATTTACCAAGATTTTACGAGTTTCATAGTGGGCAGCTGTTGATTTACTGTAGTGCGGTCTACCTCTGTATTTGGGGACATTCACTGCAATATTGTGTGTAAACAGATCATTGTTGATTGTATGTAGTTCATGCCTACATTGCCTTTCTCTCTTTTTTCAATCTCTCTTCTCTGACTGACCACATACAACAAGAGATTGATTTGTAATTTTTTCTCTTCAACCTTATCTTAATCGCCTCAAAGTTCTAGTAGGGAAAAGGGGGGGGGGGGAAAAAAAAGGAAGGAAAGAAAAAGAGAACCCTCATTTTGAACGTACTGGCCAAGCCCGAATCCCCCTACCACAACCAGAGGCCAACATTCAGTAGCCCGTCTGTCAAGATGGGTCTTTTCCTGGAGCGTATCACGTTGTCGTGCATCAACATTTTTTGTATGTTTTTTCTTATTGATATTCCAGAAAGACCTTCCCTTCACTGCTCCGTCTTTGTTCCTCCCTAGTTGGGGTGTCACACGGCTAGAGGCTGACCATTGCTTTCAGTACCGCCATTATCCGTGATGCTCGTGGCGGGTGTCGGTATGGACTGCCTCATCAACACACTCTGGTACGTGCACATACACACACACACCCACCCACACACACACACACACACACACAAACCTAGTCCTCCTCTTCCATTTCTCTCCTTTCTCACAGCCTCCCGGACAGGTTCTTATGCGGCGTCATCCCGGGCCACGTGCACGGCTTCTACATAACATGGACCTACTTCTCGAGAAAGCGCAAGGTCAAGAAGGGCAGATATCCCGGCGGGCCCAAGGCTTTCATCTACAGCAGGAAGGTCATCAACGGCGACGCGAGCGATGAGAAGGTGAGGCAGCTGTGGAGGGCGGAGCAGAGGGCCAAGGAGGACAAGCTGATGCGGAAGCGGTCATCCAAGAGGAGCAGCCGTTCGAGCCCGTCAAGCCCGATGAGTAGTGCGAGCCATCGGTGGAGTGGGCAGAGCTCCGGCGTCGTTGGCAGCAGGAGGGGCCCCTCGACGGCCGCGAGCAGGCGTGGGGGTGGGGGTGGTAGTAGGAGGCAGAGCGCCGTGATGAACTGACCGGGCGGGTGTGAGAAAGCGGTTGGTGAACTGAGACAGAGGAAGTCGCTTGACAAGATACTGGTCTCTGGGAGTATGGTACGTTTCGTTTGCTGTGAATGGAAATGTATAAATGATTAGATCGGTCGGTCTGCTGTATGTACAAATTATATATTCCTGTATGCACACGACATTACGCATGACTGGAGGTAGGCTCTATAGGAGGATGAGAAGACGTCTCAAGGTCAAGCTTCTGTCAGCTAATTTTCGCCATGGAGCGAGAGACCTACTACACATATGAAGAAATCCGGTAAGGTCGTGTCATGTCAAGAGGTTGTAGAGAGAGAAAGGGAGAGACTCTAATTTGCTCTCGTCTGGTGTATGCACTATGATGGTATGCCCAAGAAAAGCAAGTGAAGGTGCTATAGTGGAGAGGGTTAGGGTCCACATGCACAGACCACCAACGCCAGCCGCGGCGCCAAAATATCTGCGAGAGCCTCCTCCAAAGCCGGACCACGAAGCTACAACTACTTTCTCTTTGCTCAGGTCGAGATCACCGCACAAACAGCCGAGCAAGCTCAGGCCAAACCCGCGGTACCGTCGAGGCCCAGCCACTTTTCACAACGATGAGCAAATCGCTCTTACGCTCCGCGCTGGAGCTTCGCAGCCCAGTGACGCGACTGCCCCCGACGTTCCTGCTCCCCATCCGAGCACGCTGGATATCTTCCTCATCCTCGTCAAGCAGCCCACAAGCCAGCACCGACACCTTCACTACGGCGTCTGCACAGCCGTCTCTACCTTCGTCGTCAATATCATCATCATCATCATCATCATCAGCCGCCTCTCTAAAGTCGTCAAGGGCGCAGCAGACTTCGGCAACTGTCCACGCCAGGACGACAGCAGCCTCTTCCTCCTCCCCAACAGCCGCCGCCACCGCCGCCGCCGCAGCATCACCACCAGCAGGCCGCCCCCACCCAACGTCCTCAAGGCAGGCACCGACAGAGCCCACACCCCAGCCCGCAGCCGCAGGCCCCGTCCCAGACTCAGTCCTCCAGCTCCTCCCCCTCCTGCGGTCCCAGCCCAACCACTACATCACAGTGCACATCAACGGCCGCCCTTACCTCGTGACCCCGGGCGACTCGGTCCGCCTCCCCTTCCTGATGCCCGGCGTCGCCCCCGGCGACGTCCTGCGCCTGAACCGCGCCTCCGTGCTCGGCTCGCGCGACTTTACCCTGCGGCCCACCAACCCGTCCGTCCGGAAGTCCGAGTCCAACGAGGTCGCCTATATCGACGAGAGGCTGTTTGAGTGCCGCGCCACCGTCGTCGGCGTCGACAGCGAGCCCATGCGCATCAAGGAGAAGACGAAGCGCAGGAACAGGAGGGTCCGCACTGTGAAGAGCAAGCACCGTTATACCGTCTTGCGCATCAGTGAGCTGAAGATCAAGAGCCCCGCCGAGGTAGAGGGGTAAAGTGTTTCTGTGTCTGTGCCTGTGTATCAAACGGAGCCTTTTGGGGGGGGGGGGGTGAGAGATACTGGACAGGCTGGATACCAACCAGGCCGTGGGCATGTGTGAGCTGTGCACATTGAAGTAAAGAAGAAAAAGAGAGAAGGTAGAGAAAGAAGAAAAAAAAAAAGAAAAAAAGGGTGATACCTCAATTCTTGTTCACGCACAAGAGAGGCTCAGAACCTCTCCAAGAAAAAGTCGACTGGCTCTCGTGCGAGGACGACAGGGGCTAGGACAATTGGTATCTCTTTTCAAGGCTGGACATGGACAGCACAATGTCGCCGAAGGCTTGAAACATGGGGGGGGGGGGGACGTATGTGTGGATTAGCAAACTTGTCCACGCTTTCGTCTCATCGAGGGCGCTGCGTTTGCTTCTCAACACTATGTATGTTTACCACAAAATACAACGAGGCGGACTGCAAGACGAGAGATGAAGTTCGAACCACCAAACTTAACCCATAGCAACAAGCAACCAATTGCAACGCTGAAGTGATTGATTTGTGGCCAGACACACCCATCCTTGAGGAGACTGGGTGAAATGTTGAGAGGAAAAAAGCCTCATGACGAAAAAGCAGATATAATCATTCTATGCAGGTGAGGTAGTAAGGTGGTATCAAAGTAAAGAGAGCTCTGTCTCTCTAAGCGCCTGTGAACAATGAAGAAAATAATCTGCCTCAGAAGCGAGTACAGAACAAAGAAGAAACCGCTATCCAACTCTTCCCTCCTCTCTTTTGCTGTGAGACATTGTGATTCTTCATTCTTTTTCAGCCATTCCGTAATCCGTCATGTCTCGTCACCAACATTTAGACAAAAGTCCCAGAACAAAGGGAAAAAAAAATAAAAATAACAATAACACCGCACCAGGGTCGATTACAAGGGGGTTTTGTTGTGTAGAATACTGGTCGCACGCAGAGGCAGAAGCTTTGTTCAATCAGACAAACTTTGTTCGTCATCTGCCCGCTGCAGCAACACCCTCTCCACCCTCCTTCGCCGCGATGGCCTTTTTGACGCTGGTCCAATACGCTGCAGGCCACGCGGACACAGCCTCCCCTTCTGTGGGCAGCCGCTCACGGCACCGTGTGACCACGCTCTGAATGATTCTTCCGAGGAGCTCCTCCGTTACGGGCAGCGAGTCCTCCATCCCCGGGATATCGACAGCGTACTCCATAGGATACAAGAACGGGTCATTCTCGGACAAGAGCTCTGCGCACGTGGGGCGCGAATGCTGTTCGCGGTTGAGGCAGCGCCTCATGGTGCGCAGGAGCGAGGGTGGGACCCGGATGCCCCCCAAGCCCCTTTCCGGAAATTCGACCTTGTGGTTCCAGTTGATGATGGCCTGGCAGCGGGCCATCTGATTCTGGATGTGACCAAAGGGTGGGTTTCCATACACCATCTGGTACAGGATACATCCCAGCGACCACACATCGCTGGGCTTGCCGAGCTTCATCAGCTTGGGGCCTCGGGACCCGGGCTGCAGGGATCTACCGCCATGGGCAGAGGTGAAAGCATAGTGGTTCGAGTCCATGAGGCTTTCAGGCGACATGTAGTTTGGCGTGCCGATCTGTGTCTCGCGATGAACATTGACCGTCTCGTCGGTCTGGATGGCGTTCGCGATCCCAAAGTCGATGAGCTTCAGGCGGCCTTGGACAACGACAAAATTGGCCGGCTTCAGATCGCTGTGAACGATATCATGGGCATGGACAGCAGCCAGGCATTCGAGCATTTCTTTCCAGTAGAAGCGGATAAACACGGGGTCGAGCTTAGATCCTTCAGGGTTCTGCCGGACTCTCAACAGCGTGTTGAGGTCCAACTCTCCCATCTCCATGAGCTTCAAGACAGAGATAGTTAGTGGGGGGACTGACTCGGCCAACCTTCGATAGTGTTCAACATGAATTACAAGGCAGGCAGACTCACCAGACTAAGGATATGCTTCTCCTCGTTCAGCTCAAAGTCATACAGCTGTATGACACGCTCCACATTTGACAGTTTTTGGAGGAGGCTGATTTCCCCTTTGAAGCCCTTGACAGTATTCTCGTCGGCATTTTCGATGTTGACCCGCTTCAGGGCGAACATCTTGCTGTTCTCAGCCGTCACCCGGTACACCTTTGCACTACCGCCCCGGCCAATACAATCCACCCTCTGGTAAGACCTTCCGTTGACCTTGAGAATCACGCTTTTCTTCTTGTTGGCTTGAGAAGTGGTGGCGGCGCCTGCGGTGGCAGTAGCAGTATCTAGTACGCTCATCTTGGGCGGAGGTGGTGGCGGTGCCGGCCGCTGCTGCATCGGGATGACAACGTGCGGGGTCTTCAGGAGGTTCTGACTGATGGTTGCCAGAATGGGACGCTCTGGCGAAACGGCACGCGGTACGGGACGAGACCCAATCTCGATGAGACTCGGCGACCGGAGGAGCTTCTTCTCCTGGTCCCTGTCAAGGACACTGAACGATGCCTTGCGCCTCTGGAAGGCCGACGCGCTGGGCATCTCGTTCTCCTGATCGTGCGCCGAGGGGACCTCAGGCCGTGGCTGGACAGGCTCCTCGTGGGCTGTATCAAACTCGTCCCTCTGGGCCTCCATCCGAGAGGCAGCTCTGAGGTCTGCGTAGGACTGTCTGCGGCTCCCGGCTGCCCTCAGCTCCTTGCTACTAACAGGACTGCCCGAGGCGGCAAAATCGCGATACGACGGTGGTGCTGGTTCAGCCTCCATCTGGACCTCTTCGTGCATCTGTGTTTCGGGCATCTCCCCATCGCCAAACTCTCGGGCAAGTCTGTCCTCTTCACTCTCGCGTCTCCTACCGCGGCGAGCAGGTCCGCTCAAAAAGCTCCCTGGAACCTTGCCGAGCCGCTTGACGCGCATGGAGCCCTGGGCATTTTGGTCCTCTCGGGCCCTGACGCTGCCTCCAAACTTCGAGATACTACTCTGATTGAGAGCAGACTGTGGTCGGGACTCGGTACGTGGCTCCTCTGGGGCGACTTCGTGCTCACTGCGAAAGGCAGACCCAGAAAGCCTCGGCCCAACGCCCGAGGAGCCGCCAGTCGACCTTTGTCTCTGTGCAGAGGAGCCAGTGGCAATCTGGACCCGGCGCGCAGGCTGTGCAGGCGTGTTGATGTCGGCCGCCTCCTCCAATGGTGCGGGCGGACCCGTCTGTTGGACCGGCTCATCCTCGGGGCCTCGACTCTCGGGCCTCCGCCTGTTCGATGCAGACAGAGACCGCCTCAGTCCGCCGCCGCCACCAGACACCGGGCCACCACCAGGGGTGGTGCTGAGACGCACGATCCTCTTGCGCGGCGCGGGGCTGCTATCCCTTGCCCGTGCTGGAGAGCTGGGCCGCGCAGAGGGCACAGATGCGCTGCCAGCCCTGACGTGACGCCTCGTCTCCCTCACAGGTCTCTCCTGCTCCTGCTCCGGAACCTCCTCGACGGCGGCTGAGCCGCTCCTGGCAAGATAGCTGCGTCTTCGGGTCATGATTCTGGGCTCTGGCTGGGCGTAGTGTTGCTGTTGTTGTTGCTGCTGCTGCTGCTGTGGAGAGGGCTGCCGGTGTACGACGTCGGATGCGCCGCCATCGTTGAGCAAGGCCTTGGTGAGAGCGCTGAGCTTCATAGGCACGGGAATCTCCTCGTCTGAACTGTCGTGCATGGCGTCATATTGTTGTGGCTGGGACTTGGCGCCCTCGATAGCAGATGCTGCGATCTCTCGTGCACTGGGCACAGAAGGCTGGGACTCGCTGCGATTGAATTGCGGTCGCGAAACTGGCCTGCGCAGGGCCTGACGTGCTGAGGTCCTCCGGCCCAGCGAGGTAAAATGACTACCGGCGCCCAGTGGCGTTGGCGAGGCTGCCGACATCTTGTTGTGGTTGTCTACTCGTTGGGATAGCTGTGACGGACGAAACCAAGTGCGAGAATGATGAGTCGATCAAACCAGCCAGTGTGACTTGTGACAGGAAGAACTCTTGGGCCACAGCAACGGCTCTGGCCCTGCTGTGGTTTGTGTACTAATGATGACTGACTGAGTTGCCGAATCCTTTCAGACAAAACAAGGAGTGGATCCCTATTGGGCGGTGGACTTCGGTTGACTGCGACGCGCGCTCATTCGTGTTCTACGCTGGAAGGTGATTAGAGAAATATAATTCGACGTGTCCTAGAGGTCCATGGTCATGCTTGTAGCAAGTTGGTCGGCGGTCGAAGCAATATGCAGGAATAAAAAGAGTCGGTGGAGAGATGGAGAGAGCAAAACAGAGAGGATATCGCAGAAGGGAGAATGCGACCAAACCAGGTTTTGAGTGGGCCTCCGCAGCTTTCAGTTGTTGTTGGTGGATCTCTGTGAGCCAATCGATTCGGCCCTACCGCGTTTCCACCGCAACGCAGGTCCCGAATGGGGAAGCGCTTGGCGCTGCTGCAGGCGCTGTCGAGGACACCCATGTTCCTTCCCACCTTCCCACCTTCACGCAACCCAGCCTCTCTGCATGCAATTTAAAAGCTGTCATGCGCTGTACCGACAGACCCTGTCGAGAGCCACCCGGATTTAATAGTATATAAAGTACAACAACAACAGCACAACAGCATGCATTCGCGAGCACTTGCATAGTCACTACACAATTGGGCCAAACATAGACGGAGGGACGAAGTTGAGTATCGAAGGGTCATGAAGTCTGTGTTTTGATTTGCCTGCTTCCTCATGAACTACTTTGCTGCAGCCCGTCATATCGCCTCAATGCTCCTTTCTGGCATGAGATGACGAACGGTCTTAGTAGGCCCGTAATGGTACGCGTGAGCACCCCCGTGATGTGTGTATCATTTTTTTTGTGAATTGGAGAAGTGGTATCCAGACGTTTAGTCGAACAGACCGAATCCCATGTCGTCGTCGGACTCCTCCTTCTCTGTTCGAGGTGTCAGTGTTTGTACTTATGGTCGTCTCTAGGACGACTGATGTTTGGCAGCATCTTCTTGACTTACCCTCTTCCTTCTTCTCCTCCTCCTTGGGGGCCTCGGCGGCACCACCGGCGGCAGCAGCGCCACCAGCGCTGGCACCACCGGCACCGCCAGAGGGAACGGAAGCAAGCTTGGTGCTACCCTCGGAGATCAACTATAATGGCATCCTTATCAGCATGATGTTCCTATGTCGCCATTATTTGCCCTGGGCATGGCTGCGGGGTTTGCTTCGCTTCGCATCGCTTCGCATCGTACCTCGTTGATGTCCTTGCCCTCAAGCTCAGAGATGAGCTTGTCCAGGCGGTCAGAGTCGGCCTCAATGCCAACAGACTCCAGGACCTTCTGGATGTCGCTAGCAGAGGGCTTCTCGTTGCCGCCCAGGGTAAGCAGGAGGTAGGCCGCCAGGTGCTTCATCTTGACTGATTGGGTCTATTGTATATGCAATACGAGCTGTCAGTACTGCAAAACTTGTCATATGATTGCCGAATCTGCGATGCGAGGAGAAAGGGAGAGCTTGAACTCGGTGTGCGGGAGAGGGGATAAATAATTTGATCGTTTGGTCGAGGGCAACACCTCGAGGACGGCCGGCGTAGACTCACAAATTGATGGATTTAGAAAAGAACACGAGATGTCAATCGATTTAACCGCTTGGCGGAGACTGAGTCTTCGAGTTCTTGCGTTGAAGGATTCTGGTGTTGGTTGGTGATGAGTCGAACGGTGTGTCGTGCGCAGGCTCCCAGTAAGAAAAAAGTTCGAGCTGGGGGTTTTGAGCCGGCCGGGGTCAGAATGGTGGGTTGCTAGGTGGCCCGAGCGTCTTTTTCTTTCATTCACATGACAGCTGGTCACCAGGCGGGAGCCAGCTGCGGGGTTGTTCCAAGAGGCCCAAGGCTGCCCATCCTCTTTGCTTACAATTGGTTAGGATGTCGATGGGTTTACCGCCCAGAGAAAAGCTTCTTCCTTTCAGTATTCGTCAGTCAGTCAGACCAGAATGTCATTCGTGTAATAGTGTGCTTGTTGAAAACGCTCTGGTCTCTCGTGAACCTTCAGAGGGCGGCCTGGAAGGTGTCATTCCCTGGACCCCTCACTCGTAACTGTTTGCTTCTGCAGGGTGTTGCTTTGGCAATCTTCAGGGCCTATCTTGTCCTATTAGATAGTGAATAGTGGGGCTTTGGGGGGTTCTTGGCACACCCGCCGCAGCCTGTCTTCCCACTGGCATTTAGCATCTCTCCCTTTTTAGCGGGTCGTAGCAGAAGTGACTTCCAGAGCATAAATACCCACTGGATCGTCACTTTCCCCTTCTCTGACTTTCACACGACCACCTGTCATTCACAAAGGGCTTCCTCTTTACTTACCTCCTTCTTTGTTCTCCCGCTCCTTCGCGCTGTTTCCGCCACCCTTGGCCTCTCACTCTCATCGAGTTTTCCAGCTATTTCTCCCGATTCTCTTGGGTGAAGTCGGCCGAGTTCGCTTATAGTTTTTAGGCGGCAAAAAGGCAACATCATCACAGGGCGAAACAGCGCTTGCAGGTTGCACAGAGCGAACGGGAAAACTCTGTCAGGCGTGACCTGTTTGCAGCGCCAACCGAGAGGCCAATCATCCAACTCCTAATTTCTTTGTTCCAGATGCATCAACCTTTGGTCGGTTTGATGACGATTTAAGAGGAAGAGATTCGTCTATCTGGAGAGGGTGGGACCAATCCAGGAGAGCCATCATGCCGGTAAGTCAGCACCTCGTCCAGGACATATCTCATTACGGGCATCGTCGACTGATTTCGCCCCCCCCCCCCCCTCCCCCAGATCGGCCAACTGCTCGCCTCCATCACGGGCGAGACGCCCAAAGCTCCCGCAATCACAACAAGAACGCCGCCACAACCAACGAATGGAACATCAGCGAAGAGGAAGGCCGACGCAGACACGAAGGGTGCTGCCGTGAAAGCCCCCAGGACTGTCCCCACTTCGACTCCCACCACTGGCCCTTCGAAGCCCAATGGTGAACCTTCCAAGACTTCACGCCCTGCCGAGCGATCAACAACCGGTTACACTGGTTCAGCAAGACCAACATCGAATACAGGGTCGAGGTCTCTTGCGGCGGATAGACCTGCCTCATCCGTCTCCAAGAAACCGACCCTAGCACAAAACGGCAGACCCTCGCCAACGTCTGCATCTTTTCCGGGCAGTGGTCGAAGCATTCCGTCTGCAACTTCCTCACTTACGAAGCGCTCGGGGGCGGTGACAGCCGCAGGTCAACCGGCCACCTCAGACCCTCCCGCCAAAGTACCCAAGAAGGGATCTATCGCCGAAATCAAGGCCCGGGCCGCTGCTCAGCAGCAAAAGCTGCAGGCCATAGGAAAGATTCAGCACAAAGCTACCGAGAGGGTGCCCACCAGGAAGGAACGCGAGGAGGCTGCTGCAGAGGAGCTGCGCGCCGCAAAGAAGGGTGTCAGGCCAGGAATGAAGCCAGGTGTTGTTGGGCTTCCGGGCAGAAATGGAGCAAATGGCATGCAACGCAGTAACGGGCACCTCGACCGAAGCAGGGGAGCAGTACAGAAGCCCGTGACGGGAAAAGTTGGCAAGGCTGCCATGGTAGAAGAACGAAAGCCCAAGAAGGCCGCCGTTACCACGGGCTACCTCGGGTCTGCCCGACCCCCTCCGAGCAAGGCCAAGCCTGGCTCCTCACGGCCTGGTGTACCTGGAGCTGGCCTTGTACGTGACCGCGATCGCGAGGGTAGCAGCAGACGACCCAATCCGATGGGCATGTTCTCCAAGCCACGACGTCAGCGGGATGAAGACTACGACGAGGACATGGATGACTTTGTTGTCGATGACGAAGAGGAAGAAGACGATGGCTACGGTTACGGCTCGCGCTACCGGTACGCCGAAGATGAGGATGAGTCGGATATGGAAGCCGGATACTCTGATGTGGAGGATGAGGAGGCTGCGGCCGCCAGGCTGGCCAGGCTTGAGGACGCCCGTGAAGAAGCTCTCCTGGAGAAGCGGAAGCGCGAGAAAGAGGCTCGCAAGAGGGCTGTTCTTCAAAGGCGCTAAGGCGTGACCTGGACTCTCTTTTTAGCCTCGCAAGAGTCTGCCCTGGCTTAAGCTTCCAAAACACGCCAACATGCATCTCACACTATGCATACCAGCACACAATCTCTCGCTGGGCCATCTTTTCACTGTCTTCTTTTCTTTCGTTTTCACGTGTCGGCCAAGGATCGGCGTTCTGGGAAAGATGCGATGTACCTTTCCACGGTACGACAGAATGGTGTTCACACGGTGTCAAGGAGGGGCGAACCGGGGTTTCATGGTCAGCATAGCGGTGGGCGTTACACTTCTTGTTTCTCTCAATTGTTTTTGTATCCCTTCCCTTCCTTTGCTGCATATCCGCATGCATTGTTTAGTCTCAAAAGATACCGATAGGGAACCCCCAACATCAGATACTTAATGATCATGTCTTGGCAGTCATCAGAAGAAGACCCTGGTCATGGAGATTGATCACGGCTGGCTTTTAAGTAGATGTCTACTATTAAGATGAATGAGAATTGCTTCACACCCCAAATATGCCGACTTGTGCTTTGCAAAGGGCTGGTGTGTAATATGAGTGTAGTGCTTGTGTGGTATGAGCCATTGATTCCTTTAACGAACGAGAGGCAACAAACCTCACAAGCTACAATTTCCAGGATGGGGCCCCCAGCCTACTCTAAAAATCCAGCGCCAAAAAGAGCACTGGCTGACATCTGCAGCCCGAGTGAGATAGAGAGCAGTAGGATGGTGTGTTGTCCTGGTTTCAATTGGTCACTGACAAAGAACTGAGAAAGATTTTGCCTTATATACTAGATTAGTCGCCCAACACGAAAAAGAATATCCTCCAAAGCTCCATTTTTAGAGGCCTATGTAAGGGAAAACAAACCATTCCAAACCATTCATTAGAGGCTCACAAAGATATCAAAGCCATGAGGGTATTAGTGTTTGTCTATCCTGTTCACATTGTGTGTTGATTTTCCCAATCTCCTGACGCCCCTTCCATAGAAGTTATATTTTAACCACACCCGACTCCGGCTAGAAGATTTCAGATATTCCGACTTGCAAAAGAACGTACTCGACTGAATGAATGGGAACTAGAAGCCACAGCCACGAAACGCCTGTCTGACACTGTCAAGACTCTCTCCTCGCTTTGGTCGTGAACAAATCTCGTGCAGGAGGGTAGCCACAGCAGGGTGGCAACTGGTCAAAACAGAAGAGGTTGGAAGTTGTACTTGATAGGGTGTCATTCGGTCAGACAGCCCGTGAAGAGCAAGAAACTGTGCATCAAAAATCTTGATGGACGAGAAGTATAGGTGTGGGCAGGCCTGTGCCGAATGGCACCTTCGCAGGTGCCTCTCATACAAAAAGACCGCGCCCACGCAGCGCAACCACTGCCGGGAAGTGTCAAGAATAATAAACTTCTGCGTGTGCTGGGTACCCTCTCAAGCGCTGCAAAGTCTGCCCATGCTAGACGCCGGCTCTTAGTCGCTCTGAACACCTGTGTTTCCAAACCCACTCAGGTTCCATCCTTGGTAGCGGACTGTTGGCGGCGACACGACACTGGGAGGTGGCTGAGGTGGAAGACCGCTAGCGGGCGGAGGAGGCAGAGACGACTTGGTGGCAGGAGCGGCAGTATGACCATTGGTTACACCGTTGTTCGCGGGTTTGGGTTTGGGCTTGGGCTCCATCAGGCCTTTTTCCTGGAGATACTTGATGGCCTTGACAATGGTCATGTCCTGTTGGTCCTTGTCGTTGAGGGCCAACCGTTGCTGCAAGGTCATTCGTCCCCCGTTCATCTCTCTCTCCTTGAGTGCAGCCTCTCGGACCTCGGCGTCGTGGACGAAGCGGCACTTGCCCTTCTTGCCACAGGTGCCCCCAGTGGAGTAGTATTTGCAATGCTTGGTAGGGTCGGCTTTCTTCGGAGGTGGTGGGAGGTTGGCATTAGGATCCGGTTTAGTGGACATGGCCTCGGGTTTCTCGTTCTCGGACTTGACTGATGGCGATATCGAGGAACTTGCAGCGACATCACGCATCTCGTCGCCGGCATCCTGCTGCTCGCGCTTTCGCTTCAGGCTGGATTCCACTTTCTCCAGCTCGCGGCGCAGCTTGTCGGCCCTCTGCTGCTCCTTTTCAAGAGCCAGAGCACGCTCGTCCTTGGCCTCACTCTCCTTCTCCACGGCCAGCTTGGCCTTGACGCGAGTCTTGGTGGGGAAATTGCGCTTGCGTTCCGCGATCCACGCTGCGATGTCTGAGGGTCTGTGACCGGGGCCGTCAGCGATCTTGAACATACAGATATGCCTACATTAGACACGAAGAAACCTACTCAGGGGCATCAGCGCCAATCAGCTCGCTGAGCTTGGCCTCTTCGTCGAAGTCATCATCAGACTCGTCGCCCGGCGTCAGACCGAGCGTATTGGTCTTGCGCTTCTTCTTCTTGCCAGCAGAGGCAGCATCAGGCTTCTGATGGTGCGTCTGAGGTGTGGCAGGACCGCCACCTGACTTGCGATTGTTACTATTATTGCTGTTGTTGTTGCTGTTGTGATTATGGTTGTGATGGCGGTTTTTGTTGTCATGGTACCCAGAACGCTGCTTGAAGTTATTATTATGAGAACCCCCACGGCCGTGGTGACGGCCGTTCTGCTGATGCTGACCATCGTAGTGATGAGGGGGACCAGACACCGCAGCCGGGGGATAGCCCTGATAGGGTGCTGGGGGATAGGGACCGGGTCCCTGATGAGGGGGATATGGCTGCGGCGGGTAGCCAGTGCTCACTGGAGCAGTGGGATCCCTCGGCGGACCGCTGTCAAACCCCATGCGAATGGGCGGCCCCATCTGTTGAGCCTTTGGCTGCCCGTGGTGTCCTCCTCGGCCCCTTGCGGCACCGTATTGCTGCTGGTGGGGTTGATTCGGGGGAGAATGCGAGGGTGCGGGAGGGGCCCATTGCTGCGGAGGACCACTTGGCTGCTGTGGAGGAGGATGTGACTGTCCATACGGCTGCTGCGGAGGCGGTGCCGTCCCATAACCAGGCTGCTGACCCTGCTGCTGCTGCTGCTGGGCCCCGTACGGAGGTTGCTGCTGGTATATATGTTGAGCGTAATTAGGGTGGTAGTTCTGAGCAGGCAGAGCAGGCTGGCCGGGGTGGTGTGGGTGTTGAGGCTGCCCTTGGTCAGGCCACTGCTGCTGGTGTTGTTGAGGATAGCCACCCGGGCCTGCCTGTGCGTGCTGGACAGGAGCATACTGGCCACCATGCTGAGGGGCGTACGGCTGAGGCTGGTGTGGAGGCTGTTGTTGTGGAGGCTGTTGAGGATAGCCATATGGGGTCGGTGTGTGATAATCAGGTCTCCCTCCTGGCTGCGAATTGTGTTGGCCTCCTCCTCTACCTCCCCTGCTACTATGCCCACCTCGACCTGTGTTCTGGTATTGCGTATATTGTGGATAGCCATAGCTAGGAGGTGCGGTGGGTGGTGGAGGGGGAGGGGGCCCGTAGCCGTAGGTCATGTTGTCGTCAAGGTGTCTCGGGTGGGTCAACCAGTGGATGTTGTGTCTCCCTATTACTCCTCAGAGAAGAATTCTGGACAGAGAAGATGTCAAGGGGTTGGTGGACCTTGGGCGAATGTCAATGGCCGGAGCAGAATTGACAGCCCAGGTGAGGAGGGTATGAAGAGGAGAGGCGACAAAAGCAATAAAACAGACCAGTGAACAGACTGGGGCCTGAAAGACCAAAGGGAAAGACACAACGAAAACAAGTCCTCTGATGAAGAACAACACTTGTCGAGAGGATTGGGGAATGTCAAGGTGCTTCAGGCTCGGGGCAGTGGTGAGTGATCCCGGTGGGTGGCGCTGGGTGGTTGGTAGGAGTTTGGCCGATGGGATTTCAAGGGAGCGTTGTCGTGTGTGTGGTGGAAGTAATGTAGCCAGTGGGAGGTCTGAGGTTGAGTCCAGGTCTGCACACCCGATGCAAGCTTCCACTGGCACCCAACTTATGTAACAGTGGAGGAGCGACCTCTGGTTGGTCCGTGCAGCACTGAATCACCCCAAGCGCAGGTTTGGGCTCCAGCCTGAGAGCCTAGGGACGCTAGCACACTTCTTTCTGGTGAATGAACCATTCCCAAGCACTGGGCAAAACCACTGACTGCAATTGTTGGATGGAGGAGGCTGGCCAGTCATTTTCTTTCTGAAAGACAATCTGTGAGCTGAGATTACCAAGCTTGTCGTCTGGTACACCAGTCTTTTTCAGAGGATGCCAGCAGTGACCGTCGTCCGCCCAAAATCATCCATTTTTTCTTTCCTTTGAACTTGAACATAGAACCTACTTAAAACTCAAGCACTACCTCCCGGTCACATCACCAGACCAAGATGTTTATGTTGGTATGTAACCCCCTCCCCCCACCTCTATCATTGTGTGCTTCTTGGTGTGCTCATACTGGCTTGTGTCTCAGACAAAAATTGCAGATCTGGTCCAGATCACCCCTCAGGATTTTCACAAGAAGAGCATGCAGGCTATTGAGGACAATATCAATGCCAAGTATGCCAACAAGGTGTGCAATCAGCCCAAGGCAGGAAGATCTCAGGGGCACAGAATCCATGATTGACTGTTTGAGAATAGGTGATCCAGAAGATCGGTCTCTGTGTCTGTCTTTATGATCTCCTATGGGCCTCTGAAGGCCTGATTGGTCATGGCACCGGAACAGCAAATGTGAACGGTATTTCAACCCTGTGGCGATGACATCCTGCTTTAATGACTAAAGCACTAACTCGTTCCTTTTCTTTCTTTCTTGTGTATGTATAGCCGAATTCCGCCTCGTTGTCTTCCGGCCTTTCAAAGGCGAGGTCATCATGGGCCGTATCAGCAGGTGTTCGCCCGACGGCATCCACGGTTCGTACCCGAGCAACTCACGTAGGTCATGATTTGGGATCTGAATACTGACTCTTCGTATTCTAGTTCGCACTGATTTCTTCGACGACATCTTCGTCGAGGCTGAGGAGCTGCCCGAGGGCTGTCAGTACGACCACAACGAGCAGCTCTGGGTTTGGGAAAGCGAAAACGGTCCTCTCTACTGGGATATCCACGAGACTGTCCGCCTGGCTGTCACCGGCGAGGAGTGGAACGATCAGACCCCTACAAAGCCATCCGTCGCCCCGGGCGAAGAGGCCCCACAGGAGGTGAGACTACCGCCCTACGTCGTGAAGGGGAGCATGAAGGCGCAAGGCCTGGGGTGCACGCTGTGGTGGGAGCTCTGAGAGAGTTTTGCTCACTTGCCATCATATCAAGATGGTTTATACGAATCTCTATGTCTACAGTCCGGGATGAGCGCCATCTTCCCGTCCCCGACAAAAACTCCTGGCGGGTATCAAGCCCAGATGCTCTCGAGCAGCCGGTCCTCCACATTATCAAGGACGGAATAATGCTCAATGACGGCAAGATTCTCGGCCTCGGCCAGAAACTGCTTGTCTGGATCAACGCCAGGACCAAACATCTGCTGCTGTTGGGGGCCCATCTGGCCCATCTGCTGGGTCATCTGATTGGCAGCTGGCAGGAGAAGAGCCATTAGCTCGGAACAAATGAGGAGCAGAGAATCTCCACGCCGAGAGGGGCCAGGGGGGAAATTCCATACCATTGTCACTTCCAAGGATGAAGTTGAACACAGGTTGTAGTCCAAAAATACACAAGAAATACCACGAAATGCTAGACATCCACCTGGGGTCCATGTCTTTGGTGGCCACACCGGCCTGGAGCATGCTCTTGAACTTGATAGTGAGGGGGAACGGCAATTTCACTGAGGTAGATTCATCTCGTCAGCGCTGCACACCTGGAAACTGTCTCTCGTTCGTCGTCTTTGCACCTACTGATCACGTAGCCACTGAAGAACGCGTTGATCCAGCTCATTATAAGTGTGTTCGGGATAATCATGGCCATCTGTCCCTTCATGGCACCCATCATGCCCTCCATGGCATTGGGGTCCGTCATGGGGTTCGGTGGCGCCTGACCCCTGTTTTCGGGCGCCTTGAGGTACGCGCCGGACTCGTAGGCTGCCGTAAGTGCATCGCGGCGGGCGTTGAAAGAACGCTTCGAGAGCACATGGAAGTTGGACCGCACATTGATGCCGCGCAGGAGGGAGCGCTGCTCGCGCTGGGCTTTCTGGTCAAGAGCCTTCGGGGGAGTCGCCAGAATAACGGTGACATAGTGCCGGAGGATGCCGGTCAGAACCTGAGAGCGCGAGGGGAGGATGTCAGTGTACATGTGAGGCCTAATGGGCTGCAAGAGGAGAGGATTGGTGCACATACCATAACCACCGTGATGGGAAGGAGGATCCAGTAGCTAAGGGAGGACTGTCAGCGCAAGATTTGATGTTGGAGACCACACTGCGTCGTATAAGCTCACAGTAACTGGGGATCCCTATGGATCGTCTGCACTGGGACTTGAGCCATGGTGCAGTCGCTGTCTGCTGCTGTGCTGAAGGCAATTCTGAGATATACAGAGCTGTCCCGGTCCTGATGTCTGAAGTGTGTTGTAGTGGTGGTGTTTGCGGCTCACCAGTGGGGCCCCTTGCCGTTGGAGCTCACCTTGATCGCAGCTGCTGGAGCTAAGACCCCTGAACGAATGGCTGTACTGGGCAGGCACTGCAGCTTGTCCCGTCTAAAAGAGACCCTTGATGACAGATTGGCGCAACCAACTTCACATTAGGAACATTATAAACTTCCCAAGTCTTCACCTAGCTTCACCCGGCTTACTTGCACATTACATGCTTTTGAGATTCCAAAGAGGAATCCTGAGAAAAGATATTCAGACATGGCAGTCTCCAAAGAGAAGATTACACTCTACAATCTGGCTGGTAAAGCTGCACTCCCATTCCCATCACCGCAACACGGCAGTCTAACTAAGATTCCCTCTCTCTCACACAGACCTTAAGAACACCTCCGACGATGCCCTCCCCAACTATCTCAACTCTCTCAAATTCAATCAGTCCCATACCCTGACCGATGTACGACTGGGGCTTGGCTACTCAGCCTTCCTCCTCAGTGCCGCCTGCTTCCTCTGGGACTACAAATTCGGCTTCGAGAACACAAAATACTATACGGCTGCCGCAGTGGTGGTCTACTCGATACTGAACTTGGCTCTGACACTCTGGATTTGGTTGAAAGAGGCGAATGTTGTCTATGTAGGAACTGCGCCTAGTGGAGATACGGTATGCTGTTACTCTCCCGCCTTTCTTCTTCTAGGAAGCTCTTCTCTGTCAGCCCAAGTTGTTGTCGACGAAATATCGCTTCAAGAAAAGGACACGCTTTCACTTGAACGAGGCATAAGCTGACCATTTTATCTTTTTACTTCCCAGATCGAAATAGCAACCTCTGCCAAGAAGAATGTCCCGATCTACAATCTCACCATAACGGTCACGCCCAAGTCCGGCAAGCCCCAGACGTTCACCCTCAGCCGCTCCTTCACTGAGTGGTTCGACGAGAAGGGCCACTTCGTTGCCACCCCGTTCCAGACCATGCTCGCCTCCAATATCTCTACTGTGGGCCAAGCAGATCCCAAGAGGGCGCTTGCTGCTTCTGCGCCGGCTGTGTCCTCAGAAGGCTTTACTGCTGAGGATTTACAGGCCATGATTTCCGGTGAAGCGTCGGCCGAGTCAACAGGCTCTGCAGCAAAGAAGGGCGGAAAGAGGAGAAAGGCGTAGATGTAGTGCGTCACGAGATTTAGCTGTGTCTCTAGAAGCTGTGCGTTGTTGAAAAGGTGGGTGTCGTCTTTTGTCGCCCAAGCGAATTGCTCAGTTGGGAAAGGCTCTCACGTTTCACGGAAGGGCGAAAACACATGTCGCTGCAGCAACCTTCTGACAGTTTGAGAATGAGCATCCACTACGTCAGCAACGAAAGATATAGATACCCCGTCATACTATTGTTGTTGATGTGTTCAGAACAATCGACCCTTCTCGCTGTACCTCGGCGAAGAGACGAATCAGCCAATCCCTCCAAAGCACGCGATTTGTTGTATATTTTCCAATTTCATTATGTGCCTATCCTTATGCCACTTTATACGCTCTCGCCGTATTGCGGGTAATTTTTGTTAGGACGAGGCGAAAAACCCCTAGCACAGAACAGAGCACTCGGTCCTCGAGTAGACGGGCTAACCCGCGAATGCTCCAAGTGAGCAACCATCTGATGGAAGATCAGATCACAACCTCAACAGAAGGCACACCGTGGTTGCCGAGATCACCTCCATCTAGGACAGGACAGGAACGAATACATCGGGAAAGCTTCTTTACCATTCTATGCCCTACAATACCCGGGAATGCCGCTATGGTCTTGCCTGAATGCCTGATCGCAAACACTATTGAACATCCTGAAAACGCAACACTCAATAAGACGAACTTTTCCGCTGCCCCCCTCCCACCCAACCCCAACGCCCCTGGTTCTTTTCACCACGCCCACTGTAGCTTCGCAAAACAACTAGAACAAATATTGAACAGTACGGAAGCTTGAGAAGCGCTGGATCAAGCAGGTAACTACTGGGGGTCGTTTGATAGCACACTAGCCGTTAAGTCATCATCTCTCTCACAATTGGTCGTGAAGTCGGTTATTCCCCGATCTTGATCCATTCATTCTTCGCCCCTTGTGCCAGCTGACGGACCTCGCGGGATTTGTCAGCGTAAACAGTTGCTAGGTGCATCAACACAACGTTGGCATGAGGTCGGAGCACCATCTCTTCGAGTCTAGCCGGTAGAAGTCGTAGTAGCTGAATCGATTTCTTGCGGACCTCAATCGGCTCAACCTTGTGTACGAATCGCGGCTTGAGGTCCTTGAGTGGTTCTTGCTTCCAAGGATTTGCATCCGCATTGCCAATCGGACTCATGTCCAGCCCCTTTTGGTAGACGCGTATGCAGGCACCAATGATGGTAGAGACGTGATCACGGATGGGACCGTTGTATAGCTGGAGGACGACTGCACAAGCCGCGTTGATGTCGGAAGGATCTTCTGCCTTTTGCATCGCCGCGAGTGCAATCCTGAACACCTCAGTTCTGTTCTCCTCGTATTGCTTCAACGTGAGGTTCTTGACGGCATGGAGCACGTAAATCGCATAGTTGACCGAGTCCCATCTTTCCGGGCTCAGAGGGTATGCGAGCCCCAGAACCGGGCGGATGCTCTGATAATATAGTCGTTGTTGGAAGAGACGCTTCCTTGCAGCGTGGTCATGGCGTCCTGCAGGAAGCTCATCTTGAACCAGGAAGAGCAATTGGAGGTTCCGCGCCATGTGTTTCCCCCGCAGAGGGCCACCATTTATCGGCGCGCGGCTGATCGCTGCGTACATGTCTTCTCCGATGAACCGATCACCACGTCTGAGAGCTCCGGCGAGCACATAAACGATACGGGAGAATTTGTCGAAAGGCATATTAGCCATGTCGCTCGCATCGCACAAGATGTTCTGGATCTCGGCCAGAAGCTTAGCCCAGGCTTCAGGCTCGCTGTCCCCTTGGATGCCTGACTGTAGTAAATGAGTGTCGTATTTGTTGGCAAGCTCGTAGGCGATCTGATCCCTTGCGAAGAGCACATGGGACGGAAGCTCCGAGATCGACCTGAAATCACCGACGAGCAAGTCGTGAATATCGTTACCCTGTCCAAGGCAGTGCTGTCAGTATCAAACAACATACTTTGAAGTATTGGGCTTTCTTACCAGTTCCAGTACAATCTGGGGGCGAACGGCACAGGCGACCCCACGAGACATCGTTGCAATGACGCCGTCGGCGTGGTATTCCCAGGAGCGGCCCTCATGGCCAGAGCGCAATGGACGGAAACATGCCACGATCTGCTGACCCAGGTTCAAGGCCTGCTGGGCCGGCAGACCAAGGTCAACAAGGACGGTGTGACCAATGTTACCCAGCGCCTCCAGGTATCTGTTCCTCCAGAGCTCCTGAGATTCCAAAGGGCTTATTTGAGAATCGACTCCGCCGGCGGCAAGGCTCAGGTGCTCACTGAGATGGAGATGAGCGCCTTCGGTGCCATCCTCCCTCTCCTCAGTAGCGGTCTGATACAATTGGCTCACAATGTAGATACCCAGCTGGAGGAATGAGCCCACGAAGGCGGTATCCTGCGACTTGGGCGCTTTCGCCAAGAGTTGAACCACCTGAGAGGGGTCAAACTGAGAGAACTGCCCCGAGACGAGATTCGGGAAGGTAGGCAGTATATCCTTGACGGCATTTTCAACTGACGCGAGGCTCCATGCTGCTTCCCACAGGACGGGATTGCCGAGGATCTCGCCTTGTACCTCTGGAGTCCGTATGAAGCCGAGGACGCCTTCGAATAGAGCATGAATGACCCAGAAGGAGGCCTTGACATTGGCCCTCGAGATGGAGAATATGCCCAGCAGTTTCAGCATGCTACCAGCAAAGATGCTGAAATTGACCACGCCCACTGATCTGACATCAGGTGTAACCGTGCAACCGATAAACGCAGCTTTGATACACGAATTTTGAAGAGCCGTGAAGGAACGCTCGGGAGGTGTTCCTGTCCAACTCCTCTTCTCGATTTCTCTGAGAAGACCGGAAACAATATTGCCATAACCTTCTGGATAGAACTTGACTGTCATCCTAAGAGCAATGCCAGCCGCAGTCTCGATGGTTTTGTATGCGTCTGAAGGAGCTGCAGGGCGTATACCGAAATCGTTCATGTAGCGGAATGCCAATGTTGAATAGATCTCTTCAAGCATGGCCTTGCTCCAGCTAGTCATACCATCGCCTCCGGTGTCTATCGGGCATGGCTGCTGAACGATTTGAGCGAGCCCTTCGAGAGCCTCCTTGGCGACCTCGACTTGCTCTTTATTTGGATCGTCCACCCCATTCTCCTTCAGCTTGCTGAGATAAATGTCACGGGCTGTCGTCAACATCAACTCATCTTGCTTATCTAGGTCACTTGAGGGCGAGGTCAATAGTTGCCGACGAGCACGGAGAAGGTTATTGAGAATCAACAGGAGGGTTTTCGTGTGTGCAGATGATTTCGGCTGAGCGATAGCACGATTGATAGTGTCGATGATACGAGGGCTGATCTGTCGAAGAGGCTCGAGATGTGCTCGTGCCACACTAATAAGAATTGAGCCAAGCTGTTCGGTATAGGTCGGATTCTCGAAAAAGTCCTCAGCGCAGTCGTTCCAGACGGTGTCGACGAAGTCCTTCAAATGAACGGGATCACTTTGCAGCGCAAGTCGCTTTGTAGACATCTCAAAGACTGATAGTGTTTCCTGAATTGCCTCTGGTACCTCGCCATTTCTGACCTCATACTTGAGTGAGGACCAGATTTGGGCAAGATAAGGCAGAACATAAGTCTCGATGGGCTCGTAGCCCTCGACGCATGCCTTGATGGTTCGGAGGATATCAAGCTAGTCAAGTCAGTATCAACATAGAGGGTAGGGGACCAAAAAGGTTCAAGCGACATGGGAAAGAATAAGACCGCTGGAAAAGTCCAGGTGTGAGATTATCTACTTTGGGAAAACTAACCTTGGCCGCAGCAGTGAGACTCGCTCCGCCGTCCAGCTTTTCCACAAGGAAAGGGATTGTGCGGTGAGCAAGACGCCCATTTGAGGAAAAGCAAGAGTTCAAGGCATCCTTTAGTTGCTGCTCGGTGACTTCGGGCCCGGCTGCAGTCGACCTGCGGATAGAGATGGGAAAGAAAGGAGAGAAGGACGCGAAGGCTGCGTCCGCAACCTCTGTCGATAGAACGCTTTGTTTGAGGATGGTGTTCAGATCGCGGAACCAGTGCAGGAGATTGGAAGGGTCTCTCTCCTTTCCAGCGAGGCCTAAAACCTGAAGGAGGTGCTCGCTCCCCTGGTGACGGCCCTGAAGGTATGTCCCGCACTTTCCAGTGAGAAGCAATCTCAGTAGCTGTAGAATCTCTGACCGTGTCTTTGCAAGCTGTTTGGTGTAATTCTCTGGGTCCATAGTGCCGATGGTGAGGAGCAGATCCTCAGTCAAAGAGAGGTCGAAGTTGTCCATCCAGACCAGACCAATCAGCGCTTCTGTCGCAGCTGGTATACTGGCACCCTGAAGTTGATACATGGATTTGAAAAAGTTCACGAACAATTTGACTACGTGTACTGTCAGAAAATTCCCTCTCCTGTGTCCCCAAAGGCAAGCTCACCTTCTCGCACTTGTAGTGTCGCCTTGGGCAGAGTATTCAAGGTCCGAGATATGAATTTGTGTGCTGCCATTCGTCATCAGCAGCGAACCTAGATGTCGTGGGCGGAAGCCAATGATGTGCACAGAACGCTTACCTCTTGCGGTCTTCTCAATGCTTTCCAGGTCTGAAGCCACCCCTCCATCGCCATCATTGTCATCATCATTTGTGGCAGATGCCCAGCGATGTATTGACATGGCCAGCTGAGTGGCTGGTGATTGAGGATTGTCGCGATGGTGCTTCCAACCAAACCTGACATCTTGGTACAGGTTAGGCGCAATCTATATGGCATGTGAGGAAGACAGGACTTACAGTCAGAGGCATCTGCAATGATATTGTCTTGCTCCTCAGCTGACAACCCATCCTGGTCGACAAAGCGCTCGGCAAGAGTTTCTAGATATGGCGGCATCTTGGTCTCCGTGTGTATGTGCGCTTGAGGTTGCCGAATCCCGGGGGGGGGGGGGATCACCTGAAAGGCGATTCACAGAGGAATGGAGAGTCACAAGGAGAGAGTTTTGGGTTGATATTAAAATAGGAAGATCAAAGAGAGAGAAATATAAGACTGTGATCCGCTGACGAGTTGGAAGCTGTTCTCCAATGTTGATGTTGATGTTGATGTTGATGTTGATGTTGGTGTAGAGAGATTGAACATGGGGCAAATATTGCCGTTCTGAAGGTGGGATGTCTAGCGTATGAAAGAGTGCTGAGTCCTTATAGCGTAGGCGGTCAGGTCTTCGGACCCAGGGCCTATGGTGGATGTTTGCCCTGAAGGTGCTAGCGAGCAACGCTATCACTCTTAGGGATGGAGGGGTAGTCAGGAACGCAGCACTTTTTAGAAGTCTGCTCCTGTTATCGGAGCCGATAAGAAGCAAAAAGTAGTTCCTGACTCAACCTCTTCGGAATAATTATTTGATTTGCGAGGGCAGCAGAACCAAATTCTTTTTTTCGAGGACCCCTTAGAGCCAATGTCCATGAGCCCAAGGATGAATATTGCACCGAGAATGGAATGAATTTTCCTCGTCTACCAAGCTTTGTCTTTTCAGAACGGCCCTCACCCCTGATCTCTTCTCCATTTGAGCGGATTGGTCTGTTCTTTGCAACAGGTAAGCCAGCAACTTGAAGACCTCAAGTTCAAATCACCTGAATACACCAGAAAACCTGGGGCCCATCATCATTGAGTGAATCCTTGTCTACAGAGCATCTGCTTGGAGGGGAGGCTATTCACAGCCTAGCCTCAACTGCACAGTTATTCTTGTGTAAGAGAATCCACCCGATCGGGAATTGAAGGCCTCTCAGAGGTTCAGCGTTGGTGGGGGGGCCAGGCGTGTGGCCTCCAGTTTCTGTCGCAGAGAAGTATTGAAAACATATTATTGACTCATGTGGTTCTCCAGCCCCGATTTCTTATTCCACCGTGACGCTCTCATCATTCCGACTGCACTTTGTCCAAATTTCTCCTCCTGAGCGCTCAGCCCAATAGCCCACTGGATCAGCAACGCGGTCAAAATCATGGCTACCGCACCGAAGACCTGCAAGGTTATACTTGCAGACTCCATTGCGAGGCGATTGCTCGAGGAGGTACAGGAAACTCTGCAGTCCATCGGCAATGGCAAGCCCCGTCTTGCTGCCTTCCTGGCAAACGATGACCCAGCTGCTGTCAAGTATGCTGAGTGGTCACAAAAGACGTGCGAGGAAAAGTAAGTGGCCAAGCGCCCTCTGACGCCGATCATTGTTGCAGGTGAGGGGCAGGGAGGCAGAAGCCTGGCCACTGGTCGAGGGTCGAGACGGAGGTCGCTGACAACGGATACACCCCCACAACAGTGGCTTTGCCTTCGACCTGCGACGAGTTGACAAAGAAGCTCTCGAGGAGGAAGTGCGCCTTGCCAACCAAGACAGCAACGTCGACGGTATCATCGTCTACTACCCCATATGGCCCGAGAATGTGTCGCAGGACAACTACATCAAGGAGACAGTGTCACTGGAGAAGGACGTCGAGGGTCTCTGCTTCCGGCACCTGTCCAACATGTACCACAACGAACGCTACCTCGACCCTCCTGCCAACCTCAAGAAGTCGATCCTGCCCTGCACGCCGCTCGCGATTCTCAAGATCCTTGAGCACCTGCACATTTACAACCCCATCCTCGCAGAGGGCAACAGGCTGTACGGAAAGACCATAACTGTCATCAACCGCTCCGAGGTCATCGGCCGCCCGCTCGCCGCGCTCCTGGCCAATGATGGTGCGAACGTATACTCGGTCGATATCACGGGCGTGCAGCTGTACACACGCGGCAAGGGCATCAAGAACCACCGACACCAAGTCGAGGACAAGAAGGACTGGGAGCTGAAGGATGTTCTGCCCCTCAGCGACGTGATCATCTCTGGTGTGCCCGTGGAGAGCTACAAGGTGCCTACGGATCTACTCCGTGATGGCGCCGCGTGCATCAATTTCTCCTCGTACCGCAATTTTGATGGCCCGGCAGTGAAGGAGAAGGCTGCTCTGTACGTTCCCTCGGTCGGCAAGGTGACGGTTGCATGTCTGTTGCGAAACTTGGTGGTGAGTTCCCAGTCTCCAAATACTTTCTACACTGTACTTTTCTACATTGTGCTTTTCTCAGTGTCTTTTTTTCCTTCTCTTCTTTCTTCTTGCATGTTGACTTATGACGTTATTCTGCAGCGCTTGGTTGCCAATCGTCCCACAGACAGCAGCCATCAGCAGGCCCGGAAGGAGGCCTTTACTGAGGGCTAGGTGACACATCCATCACACAAACACACGCCCTAAGACCGTGTGTGGCGTGCTATCTGAGAAAATAAAGAGAAGATACCCGGGGCTCTTCCCTCCCTGCACAGCCAGCTACTTTGCATCAAACACGGTTCAAGAGGGAAATGAAAATAAATGGGACTCGGTCAGGGAAAGGAGCAGGGAAAAAAAGTCGTGCAATTGTTTATTTGAAAATGGACCAAAATTGGTGTTTACCGGATTGTTTTGGATTGCAGGATATCCTACAGAAGAAGAGATGGCATAAATGGATGTCCAATTTATGATAAAAGCTTTCTTGGATTTTCCTTGTTTTGTCTGAGGCTCTTGGGGGGGGGGGGGGTTGGAGATTGTGACGATCGGATCTCCTACTTACCAGGGTCGAGTTGCATCGGACGACAGAGACACACATAAAAAAAAAAAGCTTGCTGCCGGTGTCCCGAATTGTCAGCCCGTCAGGACACACCCGTTGGCGCGCGTTTGCTTCCGTCTGGGCTGATCTGCCTTGATTTGCTGTCAGCGGACAAGACCCAGTGGAGAATGTTGGGCAGACTGCATACTGAAGTACTATGGTACGCATTGTATCAGACGAACACCGCTGTCATCCACCACCCAAATATGCTGTTGGTTTGCGCGCAGGGCAACTTGGTGTTGGCTGGACACTCAGCTTGGCCTCACTTCACTCGAGTGTGCCACCCATTTCTCTTTCTCGTTCCTTTTTTCGTTCCCTTCCTTCCCCTTCGATCTCGACTGTATCCTTACTCAAATTCAATAGCTGTGACACTTTGTCTCACACAGCCCTTTTTCTTCTTCTCGGCCCCGACTTCGGGAAATGATCTCACCTTGTCCTCCCTTGTCACTCGTTGTCAACCACCAACCCCCCTGGTAAGTATTCACTGCACCCGAGGCCAAGTGGCTGCGTCAGTTTCCCATTTGCTGGTCGTATCTGCAGGTGCTGGGGTGGGTGCAGTGGTCCGCTGCAGGTCCATCGGCAGGCCGGGGTCCCTGATGTGACAACAGATCTCACTCGCCTCACAGACCATTTATTTTCACCTGCACCTGCAGCAAGAAACCCCCCCACTCTCTTTTTCCTCCTACAATTCCTCTTCCCTTTCGGTCTTTTATCTTTTCTTTCTCTCTATGGTTTTTGTCCGCACAATACTATGGGCCTGTGATATACACACACCACGTGGATGTGTTGGACAATCCTGCGACGACGGTTCACCACGCCCGTGAGCGGCGAAACGAACAATTTGTGGCAAGTCGCCATTGCCCGTCGCGACCAATCAATATGGCAAAGGGCACGTTCTTCACCTCATGGCAGCTATGGGAGGAGATGACATTTGTAAGTGCTCCAATGACTTTTTCTCTCGGGGTTCATTGGCTCTCGGTCAATGCTCTGTGTATTGGTGCACGCTAGAAGTTGGGGAGATTTACCAACTCTCTACTACCTCTGCTGTGCTGTGTTTGGGGGAGGGGGGTTCCGAACAGAGATGCAGTTACCTCAAATACAGACACGAGAATCAACAATAGATACACAGGAGGACGGACGTGAAGGCACTCATGAGTTTTGGTATCTGTTAATCCAGATTTGAATGTCATTGATGATTCAATGCAGCTCTCCACGTTGTTATTGCTATTCTGGACAACGATTGGCTGCGCTGAGGAGGAGGACAGCAACAACCAAAACAGCATGGCTGACCTCACAAGTACAGGTCCTCGCGATGGGCATCGTCATCGTTTTCTTTGTCGGCCTCATCAAGCTATGGGTGGCCAACCGCCACATGCGAAAGTTCGAGCAGCTCGACGAAGAGAAGCAAGCACGCATCGCGCAGATGCGCAAGTCGGGCATCTCGGCCAGCCGGAGGGCCCGGCTCGGGAGCGGAATCCCGTTTGGGGTCAAGGCCCTCGAGAGTGGTGTCGAGGTCGAGGGCGTCTGGGTCGCCAGGATGGCGTCCATGGCATCCAGGCCACCCGATAGGAAGTGGAGCTCCAGGAGGAAGATCAGGCCCCCGCCAGCCTCGCCCGCCGGGATAGGTGAGCTTGGCAGTAGTAGAACTCACAGCAACAAAAGGGCGAGGAGGGGGTCTAGGGGTTCCAGCAGGCGGTCCGGCAAGATCTCTAGAAGGGAGATTGTGGAGCCGTCACAACAGACTCGGGAGAAGCTTGAGGACCTGTCCTTGTTGGAGGAGGAGGAGCGTCCATCCGGGGAGGGCTGGTCCGGCAGGGACAAGTCCACTGCTGCGGAGGAGAACCACAACCACAACAGCCATCACAACAGCCAACAAACTCAACCTGATACCAGCCAGGTCGGTGGTCATGTGGGTGCCCTGGGCAGGATCCAACGAGGTCTCAAGAAGATGACCTCGTCGGATACGTGGCGAGAGCAGGCTCGAAGACAACGCCAGGAGGGCAGGAGGCTGGACGCCAAGCAGTTCCATGAAGGAGCCCAGGCAAAGAAGCCACAGCGCTTCTACCCTGGCCAGGACAGCGCAGCAACGGCGACGACAACGACAACGACGCCTCTGGTTGCGCCCCAGGCCAGAAGCCATGCCACTCGACAGCGAGTCAACAGCCTGCTCAGCGCCCACGGAGCAACAGAGGTACCCGTGTCACACCACCTCATCCATCGCCGAGCTGAGCGAGATGGCTCTGATCAACAAGCCTTTACCATCCGACGAAGCGGCGAAATTGGACAGCAAACCTCGAATGACACGCCAGACACGTCTGCAGAGTCGTTCGTGACCAGTGTTGAGGTACCTCTGGCGCCTTCGCCCCCGTCACAGACACCCGCACAGGAGAGAACGCCATCAAGAGGTAGGGACGGCGCAAGCATGGCTCCAACCCAACCCTACAGTGTACCGAGGCGGTCAAGCTCCCTCCAGCGGACCTCGTCTCGGCGTAAGTCGTCCGAAGGGAAAGGCAGCCGAGACCGTGGAGTCGGTGCTGTCCACGGAGAGCCCTCATCGGCCGTCCCAGCCCAGCGATACCCTCCTAATAGCAGCCGGAGCGGGCCAGTCGTTCACACACGGACGCACTCTGGAGGCTCACTCCAGGAGCCGCACAAGCAACAGCCAAGGACTGCTTCTACCACGCCGAGTCCGACCTCTAGCTTCCGCGATGCGTAAGTTCCTCTTGATGCATGGCCTCTTGATCTGATGGGGGGATGAATTGAGCCGCTGACTGAGAATTGGAAAACAAGATACGCGAACACATCCAAGAGGAAGGTCAATGCGAATTTCGAGATCCTTCCGGCTGGCACCTTTTCATTCTCCGACCAGCAGCAGCAACAGCAGCACGACGCCATGCCGAGAAGCGAACCCGCCAGCTCTGCAGCGAGTGGGCGGTCGTCGTTTGATTCTCAGAGTAGTAGTGCAAGGAGGAAGCTGCAGAAGAAGAGGAAGAGTCAGAGCTAGCAACGCCCGGCGCATGATGGGCCCGCCATTCTCAATATTAATATACTCATTATATGATATCATGACGGCCGACTGGTGGTCGAACGGCTTCTCTTTCTTCGAGGGGCAATTCCATGGTCCAAAAGCATGCTTGCTGCCTTGCCCACAGCATTCAATACAGTCTAGTCACATTCCTACACATAGTAGGCAGTGAGCAGGGAAGGGGCCGACTGGGAGACTGCTTGCAGGTGCCGTGACGTCAAGCTCCGAGTTTCATCAATCAGCCAGTCATAAACAGCAACCAAGAGTAGGGTAGGATGATCTCTTCTCCTATTGCAACTCGCTCAATATATGGAATAACAATCGGCAGCGCCTTCATCATCACAGTCAAGGTGAACTTAGCAAGAAGAAAAAGAAGAAGGAGAATAAATCAAGGAAAATGGCCGACTGCGGCACTGGCCTGCCTTTTCCGGTATGCATACAGTGTGGCCCGGGAGTAAACAACCCGTGCCACTTTAAAATCGTTGGTGAGCATCAGTTGAAGCCATTCTACCTTGATGAACGCAAAGTACAAATCTCATCTTGAAATAAGTAATTGCTGACTGAATGGTTCCTGACTTCGCTAATCAGGCCCAACCATCGGCTTCGCGGTAGCTGTCTTGCTGGCCATCATTTGCTGGCCGCTGTCACTCTTTTGTTGCTGCTGCGCGACAGACGCAGGGAAGAAGTGAGTCAAATCGATCCTCCTCACCGAAATACACCACCGTGAAAGACAGACATATGCCCCTTTCTCATGTTGACCTTCTTGTCCACACAGGCTGTTGGCATTTCCAGTTGACTCCTCGGGCGCGATATCGAACTGCTTCCCGATATAACCCCTCAGAAATTATCGTGTACTTAGTAATGAACGGGGACTTGGTCGCCCGAGGTTTCTCTTTATTTGGATTTACGAGGTCACTTTACCAGATGCAGTCTCTATGGTGTACTCCTGTCTATGGAGGGGCATTTCCTTGGAATTCTCCTGGAGACTACTGCATCTTTGAATCGAGTTTTCATTGTATACCGGCTTCAAGGACAAAGTCTGATGAATGGTATAATTCGATATATCTGCATATGATCTTCTTTGTTTGCCCCCAAGATCAATCAGAGTAGGAAGAGGTGCATACTGTCAACTTCACACACACGCAACGAGAAGCTTGGAGATAGCGGAGAAGTGAGGCTGAGCGGCCGCATCCTAGCTCCTAATTTTATGTCCGAGAGAGAGTATATCTGAGTAATGAAGGTTTGATGCTACCGAGACAGAGGGGCCAAAATCAATATATATTGCTATACATTGTGATATATTCTGCCTCGAAATCTTCGTCCACTATATTCCAAGTCATGCCGGAATCCTTTTATGTTTTCAAAATTCCTTCTCCATCAACTCTATTATCATGGCGTCTGTCTCACCTGCCCCCAAGATCCTCCTCACAGGAGCGACAGGCTACATCGGCGGCACGATCCTCACAAATCTACTAAACTCCTCTCACCCAACTCTGGAGAAAGCCACCTTCACCTGCCTTATCCGCGGCTCGCTGGAGCGCGGCACCCTCCTATCGTCCACCTACGGCGCCCGCGTGCAGCCCATCGCCTACACAGATCTGAACGACCTCGAGCTCACCACACAGGTCGCGTCAGAGCACGACATTGTCATCAATGCAGGGATAGGCTACCACGCCGCCTCGGCACAGGCTCTGCTCCACGGCCTCGCGCAGCGCAAAGCCGCGGCGGGACGCGATGTGTGGATGATTCACACATCGGGAACCTCCAACCTCGGAGAGCAGGCCATCTCAAAAAGGTGGGTGGAGGAGGATGACCCAGACAGAGAGTTTGATGATGAACGGGACGATGTCTATGGGTACGAGAAGAGCCGGGAGGAAGTGCACTCGTATATCCAGCGGAGCACCGAGCTGAGCGTTGTGGACCAGGGACGGGCGCTTGGTGTCGAGACGGTGGTCGTGATGCCGCCTCTCATATATGGATTTGGCACAGGGCTGTTCAACAAGAAGAGCGTCCAGATCCCTTCGTACGTCCGGAGTGTTCTGGAATATGGGCGCGCGGTGGTTTTGGGAGACGGCACAGGTGTCAGGGATTTCCTGCATGTGGAGGATCTTGCTGCACTGTACCGGATCGTCGTCTTGGACATATTGGAGAAGAAAGGGATGAGTCTGCCCAGGGCGGAGAAGGCAATCATTTTCAGTGCAGGTGGACGCTTCAGCTGGATGGACATTGCACAATGCGTCGCAGACGTGTGTCTCAAGGAGGGCAGAATCAAGGACCGCCAAGTCAGAAGTATCGGCCTGGAAGAAGGGGTCAAGATTTTCTCCTCCTATTTGGAGGAGGTTGACGAGGACATGTTAGAGCTGGGACTCTCGGGCAACTCGCGAACAGTTTCAAGCGTGGCGAAGAGATTGGGGTGGAAACCCACGCGGACACAAGACGACTGGCAGAAGGGCCTGGTAGAGGACATACGAGCCACTTTACGTGTTCAATAAGCTAGGATCGTTAGATGTCAGTTCAGGATCAAACATACATCAAATCTAGGTAGAGAGATTTCGAAGAAGAAGAACACATAAGTGACTTCCCATCTTTGGACATAGAAGATCCTTTGGTCTTGACCATTCAAGTACACCCAAGCGACTACAAACCCTCTAGATTAATGTTATTGAGTGTGCCTCACCCCTAAGCCGGCATAACAATGACATTTACGAGTCCGCATTGAATCTTTCATGAGCGTATATTATCGGTACGAGCAACATAGACGTCGTCACCGCACCATCAAGCCAATAGACGCGCTCCAAAAAAAAATTTCGTAGATTGCCGCCGAGAGAATAGGCTAAGTTAACATCTTTTTGTCAGGTTCCTTGGAATGGCACTCAATCGACCCAGTCATATTTAAACATACGGACGTCACATGTAAAACCCGTTCAAGAAGGTGGTCTTCTGGATGTACAATATTGTGGAAGGAAGAAGACAATATTCTGGTCCAGAAGAGAGCTGTCGATTCCCCCCCCCCCCTCCCAATGTGGAAAGCGATATTGTGGCAATTGTTGGGGTTGCCAGTCAAGTGCGAGGAAACGGCTAAGGATAAATTGTAGTCTTCTTAATACTCCTCTCGGTTACATCCGATCGTCCGAGACGTTCTACGGAGGGACGTCTCCCTAGATTAGGCGGAATATCACTGGCTAGTTGTTATATAGAGCTGTTTTCCATGTGCACTTAGACGGACCACCATGGCCACCCTGAAAATATATCTGGTACCGAGACTCTTAGATATATCGAACGCAACCAGAGAGGGCTCGTCCTTTTATAAACATATAAATTGCTGGCTGCCATGCTACTTTGCACCAGCCACAAAAAAAAAAAAAAAAAGAAGAAGAAAAAGGCATTAAGACCTGTCTCCACCGAGCAGCCTCTCCATCCAACAATCCTGCAAAAGGAAAGGAAAACCCTATTATAGAATCATCCAACACAATGTTCAGCACAAAGGTCTGGCTTCCACTCCTCCTCCTGGCAGGCTCCTCCCTCGCCCTACCAGAGCCGGACCACATCGAGCTCGTGCCCCGACAGTCCTCGAGCGCAACCTGCAGCGTGGCCTCGAGCTACCCAACCGTGAGCGTCGCCAGCCTCCCGGACCCGTTCATCACGGCGGCCGGCCAAAACGTCACCACCAAGGCCGAGTTCGACTGTCGCGCCCAGGAGATCAGCAAGATCTTCCAGCAGTACGAGCTGGGCGACTACCCGGGCCCCGCCGACTCCGTCAAGGGGACGCTCTCTGGCAACACGCTGACCGTGGCCGTCACCGTGGGCAGCAACTCGGTCAGCTACACGGCGTCCATCTCGAAGCCTTCGGGCAACGGGCCGTTCCCTGCCTTCATCACCATCGGCGGCGCCTCGATCCCCATCCCGGCCGGCGTGGCCACCGTCAACTTTAACAATGATGACTTTGCTGCCGAGGACTCGCCTTCTTCTCATGGTGTCGGCAAGTTCTTCACGCTCTTTGGCGCCAACCACAGTGCTGGTGCGTTGACGGCGTGGGCCTGGGGCGTTGATAGACTGATTGATGTGAGTAGCCCTCTTCCTCCTTTCCTGCTGCACCTGATGAGTCCGGCCCTGAATAATGTCTCCATCTCGCCTCATCTTAACACCCCTATGATGAGATCATGATGTTTATTAACTAGGAAACAGGCCTTGGAACAAGTCAACGCAACGTCCGGCATAGATACGTCACGTCTTGGTGTGACAGGCTGCTCGCGCGACGGCAAAGGTGCCTTCATCACCGGTGCTCTGGTCAAACGGATCGTCTTGACTGTACCGCAGGAGAGCGGATCAGGAGGTGCAGCGGTATGTAACCTCCACCAGAGTTGATCTCTTCTTTCCCCTCTCTTCTCTCCTCCTTTTCTCCTCCTTCTTGCTGACCACATGTAAAAAATGATTACGCACGCACCTCTAGTGCTGGCGCATCAGCGACTCTCAGTTCGCAGCAGGCGCCAACATCCAGACCGCCCACGAGATCGTGACGGAAAACGCCTGGTTCTCCCCCCGCTTCAACGCCTACGTCAACGAGACCTCCTCTATCCCTGAGGATCACCACATGCTCGCAGCCCTGATCGTGCCCAGGGGTCTGTTCGTCATTGAGAACGACATCGACTGGCTGGGCCCCGTCTCTACGACGGGGTGCATGGAGGCAGGGAGGGTCATTTACAAGGCGTATGGAGTCCCGGATAATTTTGGGTTCTCGCTCGTCGGCAACCATGCCCACTGCGCGTTTCCCAGCGCGCAGACCACGGACCTGGACACGTATATCAACTACTTCTTGCTCAATAGTAGTACAGCCCCTGGGGACATTCAAGTTAGTTCTAGCCAGGTGAATCTGAGCCAGTGGGATGGGACCTGGAATGTTCCAACCTTGACTTGATCGAGAGGAGAGAGTTGGATAGGTCGTCTGGATGCGTGTTCTTGGCATACGTGTTGAATTTTTGCTTCATGAGTTCTAAGGTAGCCACAAGGAGACAATATAACATGAGAGAGAGGGCCTGCTTCTCCGACAAACTTTTGTTTTTTCCTTTCTTCCCTTGCCCTGGTCCCATGGGGTGGCACCAGCACCATTTTACTCCCCCTTGTACCTGACTTCGCAAGGCTTGAACTTACCAAAGGCCTTTGCAAACTCAGGAGTCGATGCGATGCCTTTCAGGTACTCGACCGTGGCGGGCGCATTCTTCCTCATCTCGGCGTCCAGCAGAAATCCAGACGAGAAGAACAGGGCTGCCGAGACCATGAGGTCCGCAAGGGTCAGCTGATCCCCGACCAGGAACTTCTTGCCACCCTTGACCGCAGTCTCCACTTTGCCCAGGGCGCGCTCAAATGCAGCCGCCGATTTGCCATGCTGGGCCTCGTCGTACGGCGCGAACTTGAGTAAGACAAAAAGCCACGGGTTGGCGTTGGCGACGAGCTCAGACTCGGTGAACACCGTCCACTCGGTGATCTTGGCTCTGGTCTGGGCGTTCTCGCCGAGAAGCTGGGCGGCCTTGGGGCCCGAGGCGGCGAGGTACTCCGCGATGGCGGCATTCTCAACGAGGAGGAAGCCATCGGCTCCCTCGAAGGTGGGGACCTTGCCCAGGGGGAATTTGGCGAGGAACTCGGGGCTCTTGTTTGTAACACCCATTTGAAACTCGGGAAACTCGAGCTCCAGGCCGTTCAGGGCAGCGATGACTTGCATCTGCATAGGGATTAGCACAATGCATACGTAACGCGACGGAGGTGTGTTGCAGTCATCATTAAGTACTTCATATTCATAATAAGAAGACTTACACGTAGCACCCGAAAGTTGTTGGGGTATGAATAGACCTTGCCGAAGGGAGCCATGGCGTTTCAGTAGGTTGTTGAACAGAAGGGAGTTTTTTAAGACAAGAAAAAAAAGGGGGGGGGGGGAGGGATGGTGAGTCGGCGAGTTGTCGAAGTACTGTTAACTTTGTTGAGTTGTCGAGAGAAGATGCTCTTCAAGACAGGCTGGGAACGCCAATACCGACTTCCGAGCCCTTACTATTATATCCCTCGCTCCCTTGGTGACCAGACTTTGCCATTTAGTCAGCAGGTACATATTCCTCCTGCTCCTGAAGTCTTACAGGGTTTTGCTCGCTCGGGCTTCGGACCACTTTGCGGACCCTTGCATCGCGCGGCTTTGCGGTTAATCCGGTGGCAACACGATACTGCACCCGGGCCAATGACTCGACCGGAAAGACGACACAGGTGGGCCATGAGACAAGAGGAAACTCCCAGATGCTTTCTGATTTTCCACTCTTGGTGCACACAAGGTAACATTGAGGCTCTATCCACCTCGGATGCATCACGTCTGGGCGGGTAACAAGTATAGACAAGCGGGTCATAAGGGCGCGCCCGACTCTGGTCGACCAAGCCACGAGTCATGAGAAGAAGTTTCTCGAATGAACAACTGTCTGTCTGTCTGTGGGACGTTGTCAGTAGTTGCATTGGGGAAGTCTTGTACTGCAGTGGAATGAACCCACAGCTACTCCAGATGAAGAGGAGCAAACTGATCGTATCCGTCGTCTTTCAATTGCCTCCCCCTAATGATGATAATAATGATTGATAATCGCTACGTCTCTGCTGCTGGCTCTCCTTTCCCTGCGACGAATCGAGAGGAAGAAGGTTCCCAGGCGACACCACGTGGAGGTCGCAGAGTCCGATTTCTGTCGCCCGGGGGAGGAAACTTACAGTGAGAAAGACAGACGAAGGTAAGCTTGGAGAGAGAGAGAGAGAGAGAGAGAGAGAGAGAGAGAGAGAGAGAGAGAGAGAGAGAGAGAGAGAGTCTAAAAAAGGTAGCGAGCGGCAACATATCCGAGGGCGAACGCACCAGCGGCGATGCCGGCGGCGATCTTCCACGAGAGCGTAGGAGAAGGAGAGACTATTTTTGAGGGAGGGAGAACCACGGGAAAGGGGGGTCGGATGGGCTGAGCGAGTGTGGGCTTTCGTGGCCGTGGAGGAGGTGAGCGCGTCGTAGGAGGCGGCAGAAATGAACGAGTGCTAGGCTTCGGCGCGATTGGCCGAAGAGGGAGCAGCTTGGAATCGACCGGGGAACTGAAGTCCAGGCTCGGCATCCAAGTGAAGCGAGTGGCTGGTGAAGGGGAAGAAACGAGAGAAAGAGGTGAGGCAGGAAGGAGAGGTAGAGGTGGTGCCGAAGTTAGCGAGAGAGAGGACAATGAACGTTGGTCCAAGAGATCAACGCCAGCAGGCGAGGTCTTAGGAGAAGGAGTGACACGTGAGATGACTGGGATACCAAACTCTGGCTGCTGAGGATCTTTAGGAGACCCGAGTGAGGACGAAAAGAGCGAAGATGGCACGGGGGAGAGATCGTACAGTCGCCTTGGCACTGGTCGATCCGAAGGAGTGGACATGACAGATGCGGGTGCCATGGAGCCGTACTGGTCATCGAGCCACCTGTCGACGGATGCAGTGCATCGCGATGAGGATGAGGCCGAGGCCGAAGCACTGGAAGAAGCGAGTGGTGACATGGCAGGAAGGCCACGGGCCCGCGAGGAGCCTCTGGAGGAGCCAAGTTTGGAAGAAAAGAGCGAGGTAGGCACGGGAGACACACGAGCTAGGAAAGAAGGAGAACCTCGACGCAGAGGAGACGCGTCAGGTAGATCGTGGAGCCAGTCGTCGATGGAGGCCAGCCGAGCCCTGGGCGTCGGCGATAGGAAAGAGGGATAGGACGCAACCAGGGTGTTGGTAAAGGTGCGCGTGCTTCTCTTGGGCATTCTCCAGAAGCGAAGGCCTGCAATCATGCCCAGGAGGGAAGCGTACTCAGGGAGTGGGAGGCAGCAAGGGGAAGCATCTTGGGAGTCAACAGCAGAGTTGGATCCTGGGCTGCAGACCGTGGTGGCCCCAGAGCTTGCCGTAGATTGTGAGCGAAAGGACCAAACCGGAGATGAAGTGAGAGGCAGGTTGGCATCGGGACTGTAAGAGTGCTCGATCCACCAGGCAGTCGTCAACTTGGCGACTCGACGAAGGTCTCGTCGCACCTCGGGTGCTGGGTCAACGCCATCTCTGGTACGAGGGAGACCCAAGGTGCGGCGCGGCGTGGTTAGTAGAGTCTTTTTGCTGGGCGGTGCACGAGTGACGATGGGTGAGACTGGCCGAGCAGCGGCAGAGGGTGTAGAAGGTGTGGAGCGGGTAGAAGGGGCAGAGGGGGTAGAGGGAGCAGTAACGACTGGTTTGGGAGGAGGAGAGGAAGTAACGATTGGCTGGGGAGGAGAAGGGGAAGTAGTGACTGGCAGGGGTGGGGGAGGAGATGCTCTGGAAGGAGAAGCCATGGCAGTGTCAAGGAGCGACTGAAAGTTGGTCATGGCGTTCTTGAAAGAAGCAAGCCGGTCGGGCGAGAGCTGTGCAAGATCAACAGAACGTGCAACAAGCAGAGACTTTGGGATCAAACGAGTGGTTGGCTTGTCAGGAGAGCTGTCACCAGGGAAATGGACGCGCACGATGTCCTTGTTGTCGTCGTGTTGTATGTTGCTGTGTGTAGATTGCAAGGCCGGTCGTGGGCGGCTAGATGGCGAGATGAATCTGGCAGTCTTGTTTTTTTGGTGCCTCGTAGGACTTTTCTTAACACATATGGGGGTATGAGAAATGCGGACTGAAACCGCAGACCTCGAAAGGCCGACGCAGGAAGAAATGGGAGATGGAGGCATTGTGTGTGTGTGCGTGTAGCTGGTTGTGTGAGCGAGGTGAAGTTGTAGATAGAAGGGGTCTGTGGAGAGGAGAGAAAGAAGAAACGAAGAAGAATAAAAAATAAAATAAAACAAGGGCGAGGATGGCCGCGGGTTATATATAAAAGGACACACATAGTCAGTCAAGCACAAGATCACTGTGTTTTCTCCGAGAAGCGCGTCTGTGATCTCACCAAGCCAGATTGAGCAGAGGAGCGGTGCCACGTTCATGTCATGATGTTCTTCTATTGCCTCATTTCTTGTCCGTCCTCAACGTTGGTTGCTCCTAGTACCCAGTCCAAGCCTAGCGGGCCGCGCCGTTGCTCAGCTTCAGTGGCCTGGACTCGAGAGGAAGGTCCAAGCTAGTGAGAATAAAGAAGTCGTTGGCCCTATAAAGAACCCCACCAAGAGGATCTAAAGAAAAAGTGAGAATGATATCACATCACATGTGATTCCTGTTGACTAGTGGAGTCTGAACCTTATGAATGGATATGGCTTCCCTGCTAGAAACCCGTCGCATTGCACAAACCCTACCTAGCAACTGTGAGTAAGGCCCTGTGACGTACCACAGCCGCGGATGGCATCAGATTTAGGTGTAGTGTCGTACATGTAGTGTACGATAGAGATCTTCCATGAGACGAGGGATCTGCATTTCATACCTGAAATATACATGCCCAACGTCGTGATGGACGCATCGTCTTGTAGCGTAACCTCCTCTTTCGATCGGGATCATAGTATATCCCTAGCCATCACCTGGCCATCCTCATGGCACCGTATGCGTGCTAGATGCTCGTAACAAAGGTTTCGAGTCGGCCGATGAAGAAATTATGAACAACAATTTGCCGTGGTTGTGCACTCTTGAGACTGTGCAAACACCCGCGCACACGATATCAAGACCTGTTGGCATCTGGCCCCCCAAAACCAAGTATCAATAGCATCGAGTCTAGATTCTGAAAAGTTTGCGACTCAGTGTCAAAGACACATGTAGCGGCTTTCTCCCGAAACAGGAAGATGACTGGAAGCTTTCCAGGCTCGATCTGTTCGAGAACATCTGACTTCTCGGTTGCAGTGACCAGGTACCAAGTTGTCCAAGAATTCAGGGCCTGCTTGAACAACCCCGAATGGTCTGTGGATGACACCACATTCATCCCATCTTTCGAGGTGATCGGCGGAACTCCGAGCTCGGTGTTTATGGCCACGAAGGCAACAGTCGCCTTGGTGGTCCCATCTGGGAAATACAGAAAGACACGCGCATCGGCCTGCGGATCGAAGACGGGTTCCAACGCAAAAACACTCTCAGGCACGTATGCTCGCCATTCTTCAGGGATGGGCGGCACGGTTCCCATGTCCTCGAGCTTGAACTCCGGGGCGTCATTGTTGAGTCGGGCTATCTCATAAGGAAGTTGGAAGGTAGCCTCTCGAAACGCCTCGCGCTGGTGATCCAGAGGCTGAGATCGAGCCATGTTGAAGCCTGTATCAATGGCAAACGTGGTTCCAGTCAATGACGCATTATCATGGCCGAGGATCCATGAGCCGGGAGGGAGTGTGTTGAGATCAACTTTTGGCGCGGCCTTCTGTGCAAGCAGTCTGCGAATGAATCCCATGACGATCCAGCCTGACGCAATGCCCACACACACAGCAACTACTTGTTCTGGTGCTTCGAAAAGTCTGCGTGCAGGTGTGTTATGGAAGAGCCCTCGAGGTTTCGACAAGTCAGCTCGACCGCTCAGCCACGAATGACTTGGGAAGGTGATCCACTCACGACAAGGAGCGTCTCTTGAGGCCATTGTCAGAATAGGCTTAGGTCGTAGCGGCGAAGTCGACGTGTAAAGGAACGATGTATCTTGGAGACCAAGACCTCCGAGCGCCACGCGAGATGCGCATTTCGATCCCCTTCCCAGCACCAGCACGCGATGGTGCAGCGCCGACGCTGCAGCCATGGATTCGAGTAGTTTTCAATGACAGGATGATGAAACAGACGTAACAAGGTACATTGCCTCCTCTTGACGGACGTAAGTATGAGGGTCTGTGCCGATAGTTTCTTTCGAAATGATGTCGTGAATTATTGATTTCCGATGTGCAAAGAAGTCCCAGTGCAGTAGAAACCTTTTCCCCATCTCAGTGCTGTAAAGAATCCCTAGAACTCCTGCCTTGTCGTTAAAAATAAGCCTGCCCCTCCCCCGCGCAGACCCTAACCCTACTCACGGCTCTCCTCTTTTTGTTTTCTCAACCTTTCTTCATATACACATGGTTTTGGAATCGGAGGAGCGGAAGGGGGTTCAGGCTTGAATATAAGTAAAATCATATTGGATGAGGCAATGGCTGACGGAAATCACCTCATGAACACCTTGACGGCAGTGGCTACAAGCATCATAACGTGCAACGGCCCGTTAGGTCAGACACTGACCCGCACTGTAAGCCACTATCCTTGATTTTGACCACTGAAAGATTAGCCTGAGCGCAAGCCCAAAAGTCTGATAGGGCCACAACTTGGAATCTTCGCCAAAAGGACCAAACTCCTTGACTGATCAACTGGATACACAGACAGGGAGCCCTGTGCCTATCGCGTCCTCGTCGTACATAACATATCGTGTTTGATGAGTAGACGCTGACTCATCCAGCGCTGTGTACTTACTTCAACCAACCCTCTTCATTTGCTGGCACACCAAGGGGGGCGGCTCGGAGCGGAGCAGAGCAGCCTCAACGAACAGGATTCCCCGATCATCACCATCAATACATCATGTTCTGTGAAGATTGCAGTGCTGTCATTCTTGATGACCTGAAGATCGGCGGCTTCGTGGTCGACGAGAATTCTGCTCCATTCCTCATGCTCGACGAAGACGACAAGCCGGGAAGGCTGCCGATCGACTACATTGTCCACGACACCTACCCAAGCTTACCTCGGCTCACCCTGTCCAGTGAGGGTGGATGCAATCTCTGTAAGCTATTGAGGGAAACGATTCAGTCTGAGGATGTCCACCACGCCCTCATGCGGAGTGGGTTCGACCGCGGCAGCGAGACGGAGGTCGCTCTGACGATGCAGTACATTTGGCGAGCAATGGTTTGCCCATTTGGTCTTTCTCTCTTGATCGTGAACTTATGCCTGAAGAAAGATAATGGTACATCAAATCTGGAGATGCACGCCCTGATCACTGGACCTTGACCCTAATCCTTGGGTTTAGTCACCAATGTAAGCCACTGGCTGAGGTTTACAATCGAGTCGACTTCAGACGGTACGTGTCTGTATGCTTGGTCTAATCACAAGATGTCTCGACTGAGAAACAAGAATTAATTACACAGATGCGTGTCAAAGCTGGCTTCGCATCGATAATTTCGAAGCCACGCCGATCAATTCGCTGGACACCAAGTCTGTGTCGTGGATCACGAACAAGCTGGAGGCTTGCTCAACGGTCTGTCACCCAGTGCTAGAAACACAATTCGTACCATCTCGCCTGGTTCGTGTTGACTGTGACCCTCCTCGACTCGTTGATGCCCGTAAACTCGCTCGGCCACCCCGGTCCCTCAGATACGCTGCCCTCAGCTACTGCTGGGGAGGGCCAGAAGAGGCCAGATGCCAGCTGAAGACGAAGCAGTCGACAATAGAAACCATGCTGGAAGGCATCGCAGAGTCCCAGATGACGCGGGTGCTCAAAGAGGCTATTCAAGCGACGAGGGCTCTCAACATTGCCTATCTATGGATAGATGCACTCTGCATCATCCAGGGCGACGCAGAAGATTGGGAAAGAGAGTCTAAGATGATGGGAAAGATATACAGTGAGGCGTACTGTACTCTATGCGCCTTGTCCTCTAGATCCTGCCTTGAAGGGTTCCTGCGGGTTCAGCCCGCACCACTGAGCATCCCTTTCCAGTCGAAGCTGGACCCTAGAGTACGCGGAGCGTATAGCCTTCGTTACAGGGGCATCATCACAACTGATAGCAGGTCACTGGAATCAATCAGATACAGCGCAATGTATGAAGACTTTTCAACCAGCAACTGGGCTCGGCGCGGCTGGACCTACCAGGAATACGCCCTGTCCAAGCGAATTGTTGTCTTCAGCAACAATGCTATCCACTTCATCTGCCCAAGTGGATCCGAGACATTCGGCCACTCAAGTGATAACGACGAAGAAGACGGCGTGGACTTTTTCCAGGTGGACCACTTGGACTCTAGCTGGACATCAGAGATGGCCTACAACGAGTGGTGCAATGTAGCGGCGGACTTTTCTCGCAGACTTCTCACATATAAAGGGGACCGATTCCCGGCCATCTCTGGTCTCGCTGGATATTTCGGCAATCTCCTTGGAGACGAGTATCTCGCAGGCCTGTGGAAGAAAGACCTTTGGCGTGGCCTATACTGGGGTGTCGGTGTGAACGTTGCCCCCAGCTGGACTGCACTGCTAGAGCAGTTGAGCGGATCGAACGCGTATCATGCCCCGTCTTGGAGCTGGGCTAGTCGAGACCGGATGGCCAGTTTCGGTGAGGCGTCATATGATCACGGTTGTTTTCCGTACGGGAGTGCCAGCTATATTGACGACTACCGTCCTGAGTGCAAGGCGATCGAGGGCAAGGCTGCTGAAGATGGGCCCGGCCGCTACCTCAGTGGGAAGGTAGAGGGTGGCGCACTGGCAATCATGACGAGGATGTGTCCGTTACCTGGGCCATTCTGCCATGATTTTGACACTTGGGTCGGGGACAGGGAGAAGCCATTGCTGAATTGTGCTGTGGACTGGCTTGGAGGCTCTGACCCACCCGACCTGTGGAAGGATATATCGCTGCTTCTGCTGGGCAGCGCCGAGGGCCGTGAGGAGTGGGCCGGAAACGACAGAGTGGCATACGGACTGGTGCTTTACCCTGTTCCTAAGACAAGTGACACATTTTTCCGCGTCGGTGTATTCTTCTCTCAACCAAGCAATGGAGAGGGTATGGCGCTATTTTCCAAAGTCAAGGAGAAGTCTATCATGGTGGTTTGACCCCTTGCTGAAAAGCTTACCTACATACTCAAGTAATTACTGCAATTAAACATGGATCTATCCTAGTCACGAAGAGATAAAACATGTTTAATTAAGTGCAGACTGAAAATTAAAAGTTTCGACAGATCCACTATCTGATGACTATAAGGCATATCACGCTGTTCGATTCTTGCCTTTCACCTTCAACTTTCTGCACACACCTTTCCCTTTCAGTTCGCCCTGATCTTACAATCCCTTGACACAAGTTCCATAGCACTGGATTGATCCGAGTCTCAACTGCTTCCCTCGTTCCACGGACGGCATCTGGTCGCAGCACAAAAGCCGTTGCAGCAGGGCGCAACATATTGTCCTTGGATATTGTAACATTCTCCTATATTTTCGCGCGTAAAGTGGTCAGTCATGTGAAGGTACATGTTCATGCTGCAATACACTTCAGATAGCTCAACTTACCGTACACTCCGAGGCACACGCCGCTACATTTGACAGAGATGATGGGTTGCGGAGGTCCAACTGCAATCTCGTTGATGGGAAAGAGGTCCTCTGGGCGCTGCACCAAAGACGGTGCGAAGGCTACTTGACTAGCAGTCTTGAAGGTGCAATAGTGGTACGGGTCATAGTTTGGTGACAAGATGAGGCTGACCGAGAGGTCATTATCTATAGTGAAACTGCTGTGTGAGCAAAGGTCACTGTGTATACAGTGTCCCGTTCCCTCAATTTCCCGGGCCTGTTTGTGACATGACTGGGAGAGTTCAGAGAGAGTCCAGGTGATATTGCAGGGGACTTTATTATGAGGCTGCGCAATCTTTCTTTGCCTACCAGTGAAATACTCCTCTCCATCAGCTGTGATATTCAAACTGTAAGATGCAGGGCCGCCCTGGAAAATCAGTGACACGGGCTGAGGAGCATCGCGTTTATCGACATGGTCCTGAGTGCTAGGAAAGGCTTGAACAGAGGCAATGGCAAGGAAAGCCAGAGGAGATGCAAAAAAGGTCTTCATAATGGAAGAGCTTTGTTTTGTTGTTTGCAGAATGATATGTTGCCGGTGGTGGTACCGTTCACGACTCACTTGTGCTTCAAAACGGGGCAACTGATTTGATTTATACAAAACTCACGATGCAGATGTTCGGATCAAAGTAGTAATTACGAGGTATGTGCCAACGCGTAGTCAGTCCAAGATCTTACAATTGCTACTGATAAATCTCTCACCACTTCAGCTGAGTTGAAAGAAGTGAAGGAAACCAGTACTCAGCAACCTGCTAAGCAGAGGCACTCCGACCTGACACATGCCTATTAGCCTCTTTGAGCAAGTATCAGCCCTAACACAATGAGCTGGACAATAGCGCCGCGTGACCTGAAGCCAGTCTGTTGGCCATTGGGCTGTAGAGATATACTAAGCTAAGTGAAGACGTTGAGTGCTTTCGGCTTGGCACACTAAAATATTCTCACAACTCGTATCCATAGCATCGTAGCACAAATATCAGCACGTATTTACCTAGCTTCTGCGTATTCCACGGGCGCATGATCTTCGCTTTCTGGTACTAGAGCTTCTTTCTGAGGCCATGCGTTTTTTGTGGATTATTTTATAAGCTTACTCGATAGTCTCCACAAGAAGTCCGCAAGGAAACCCTTGAACCGAGACTTGACAGGTGTCAAGCGACCCAAATGCTGAACTCGGGGAAACGCGAGCTCGAGACTTTTAGCCCCAATGACAGTTGCAGATGCACCGTATCGGACTATGGCACACTACTAGCTGGACAAAGCTAACCCCACGAGACGCTTGTTGAATCGAGACCCTAGATCGAATCGTTTGGCTTTTGGCCTCACTAGACGAGGTAATAGAATCTAATGAAATTTAGGTAAGGTATAATTACTCAGACGCCAAGAAGAGCAGTCTCAGAGAGCAAATTAGAAGAAAGTATGATCCTTTTATCCTTTCCTGGCCCAGCCAATTCGTATCGCTCCGAATCAGATTTGACGTGGATTCACTACGAGAGTTGCGGCCCACCTTACCAGACCTCCTTCTCTTCCATCTCTTCGTTCCCAGTCCTGTGACATACAGATCAGCTGTGAATTACAAAGACAGCCTCAAGAGTAGAACGACCGCAGCACCGTAAAGAGATATAGTCTGAAACGGAAAAAAGAGACAATGAGCAACGTACCTCGTAAAAGCCATCTACCGCGACAGGAGTTTGGTCGAATATCTGCAGCATAAGTAGTCAGTACAAAACACGGACACTGGCATGATAGGTCTGCATCTCGAAGTACATACTTTGGCTATAAATTTAGTAGCAGCTTCGTTACTTGCTTCCCAGGTGCTGTTATCAGGTCAGTCTACGTTCTGCATCTGGGAAGGGGAGAAGTATGGCAGTCCTGGATGTGTCGGCTGCTCCCACCAGCTCATCATAGGCAGTGAGGCCTGACTGTGGCTGAGAGGAGACGAGATGAGTTCAATAGAAGGGTGAAAAACTTACAAAGCTACGTTTTCAACAACCTTGGCCCCTGGCTCAACGTTGTCTCCAAAGATCACAGGAATGAGTTGATGCCTCCGTTCGGCCCTGGGCAGATCCCACCACGAATTTAACACGGCGTCCATGAGCTCTGTGCCGTATCCCTGACGCCAATACTTCTTTTTCACACATATCTCTCCCTCAGGCCAACCACAGCGTGGGAGGTCCACGCAGTCGAGAAATCCTGCCTCGCCAATCATTTCGCCGGTAGAGCTCAGGAAACCACCGAAATACCAGTGACGAATGTCGTGGGGTGCTTGCAAGTTCTCGATGAACTTGCGCGTCTCCTCTATATCACGGTCTGCCCGACCCCTCGTAGGTGCTGAAACGGGGGATTGAGTCGTTAGCAATGACATTGTCGTCCTGTACACTGCGTGGTGTCTTTCAAGGGCTTTTGGTTCCTTTCTCTGCTCATCCTTCAGAAATGACAGCCGACGTCTGAGAAGCCACCCGATTCACATGAAATGGCTGAAATGGGAGACTGCTCACAATAATACTGAGTCTCCTGCTCCGAGCGAAGTGCATGAAAAGTTTCCAGGTCCTCTGGCATGATGGGCCTGACAATCAGGCGGTCCGTCTTGATATGAGGTCGTTCTGCGATGGATGGGAGTGGTTTGATTGGAAGTTTCACGCGATAATTGAACCATGGCATAATTTTCTGGTAAAGACTCTGGAACTCCTCACCCTCGAAGGTGAGGTGAACTGTCGGCAGCGCCATGTCTCCGAATCGAGGGTATGAGATGGCTTGGGTCATTCCGTCTATGAGAGGATGAGCGTTCAGTTGCTCCTCCTGAAGTCGATATCGACGATGTTTATGTTTAAGGATCCTTTGAAATGACGATCAAAACTAGTCTGGTGGCCAGGGAAGAACTAGGAGATTGGGAGTAGAATATTGAATGTCGCGTGGTTGCCCACAAGACAGCGCGATCCCCGAAGGCTAACTCGAGAAAGAAACACTGGCTTTTTAGGCGAGTACGTGGCAGTGGATTGCAATCTCAGCGGGCCCTACCGAATTTTCCAGGTCAAACGATACTTGCGTTGTCGAAGGAATTTATGGGTCCAAGCAGGCCCACAGTTAAGTAGTGATTGTGACAGGTCGGGTGCAGAAGCTCAAACGTTACTTGCTCAGGTTTCCTCAGGGGCATTTAGAAAGAGACCAGGCGCGGCCATATAGGCCAGGTGCACGTCTGCTATGACTCTGATAAACTTTTTTCTTCCTTCGCGCCCCTCCGCCCGGGGAGCCTACCAAGATAGTATACTTATTGCGCGTTGACCACGGACTGGTATGCTGTTACGTAGTACTTTATGCTTTGACGTCTTTTCGCGCCCATGGATTAGGCTCAGGATTCTGGAAGGAGGATGCTCTGCAATCAATCTTATCAAGGTTCATGACTCGGGCAGTGCAATTACATTACCTCCAGCAGAAACCTAAAAAGGATTCGAACGCCCCAAATTGTGCTACCAACTTCCCCTCTGCGGAGTTGTTGGCTCAAAAAAAAACATATAAGGATGATTGATCTGCAGGATCAAACTACGGGTACTGCCAACCAACGGCAGTGTCAAGCGTGGCCATGATCCTGACGGGACTCCGGGTACTAGTTCCTTGACCAATTGGATCGATCCCGTTCTGTCCCCGGCAACTTTTGGAAGACTATGTGCTATGGTGCAATAGTACGTCCGGTCAGAGCCCACAGCGCGCACTGAGGCTTTTCCTCTCTCTCACTTTCCTCGGCATCACAGGCTGGCAGCCGCCATCTCCGTGCTAAACGCGCTGGCTGATGTTCGTGCAAATGAGAGACTAGGTGTGCTTATCATGAACAACAGAGATACCGAGTCGGGAAAGAGATGCAGTCTACAGACACGTTGATGTTCGTTCGGTAATCAAATGAGAAAAGATGCCAACCCCTTCCACATGCTGTATAGGGCGTGCCAGTCAATCTTTTGTACATTTTCGGGAAATATAGCAGACTGGGGTCTATAGGGGGTAAGTGGGGACTCGGCTCACTTTTTCAGATCAACTTCATGCTGCAGGAAAGGGATAAATGAGGCATGTCGATTATGTAAGCCTGAAAGTGTTTCCCTTGAAGCATATCATCTGTTATGCAATTGTCCTGGCTAATTGCAAGAACTGCTTCATAGTGGCCGGAAAATCTCAACATGGCATGAAACATTTTGAGAAAACTTGCATATCATGGAGAATATGTTTCTGTAGATCTTCCGACAACTACACAGAATGTCGTTAGTTTTTTTGCTACCCATGTAGAGACAAACATGTTGAGGGACGGCAGTCACTATCACCCGGATATTTCTTCATCCGGTGCAAACTGTCAAGATGTAATATTATTAGAGCAACAATTGAATTACAGAGGGACCAAGCCAAAGATGGCAACTGAAAACACTTCACAAAGATGACAGCGCAGTGGTAATCAAGGAGTCATCTGGTGCTTGGGTTGCATGGCATTCAATGCATTCTGGCAAGGGCTGCCCCCCGCACCATCCCCCCCAGGGTTGTGATTCGATCGCATCATGTACCTTGTCTGGATGCTTTCCCCATGTGTGAAAAAGGTATTCAAACATCAACACATTCAAGACAATGCTACTATCCGATATTCCCTAACCTTTGATGCAGCATATTCGGTCTAGCATGAGAGAGAGAGAGATCCTATCAAGTGCAGTACAACAGCCGGAAAAAATCATGCAGTGGCTCGGGTCAAAGATGCCCGATTTAGGTCACACCCAAGACATGGCGCATTTCCACTGGAGAAGCCCGCCAATCCTCACGTTTGACAAGTCTAGACGTCGATGCAAATTTCTCGAACACATTGCCGCAGGACAGCAAAAACCATTCATTGAGCCTCTAGCACTAGCCGCAATACGGAAACAAGGGTGAATTCAACGAATGCAAGACGTCAAGACAGGCTGGTGCTGCAGCTTGAAAGTGGGTCTCCCAACATGAAAAGCTGGGTTGGCCGGTGAGGTCGAGGTGGCATTCTGGGGCATTGTAGGGCAGGGTGGGACCTGGAAGCCTTTTTCAACAGCTTGTCAAGCTCAGAAGAGAAAATTGAGGGGGAGGGGCACCAGAAATATGGGCCCTACACTGGCAGGTATGCCGTCATTTGACGAACCCCTCATTTTTGAGGTATAAAACGTGTCCTACGCCCATCGTATATAACCCAAGCTCTGCTTTTTTTTTTTTTTTTTTTTTGCGTGAATTCCTCTTGCATTTTGTCTCTCTCTCTTTCTTTCAAAGTCGTCAAGTATCAAATCTACCAAAGGCTCTGTCTCCCTTTCTTCTCCATTCCTCCAACAACTTTCAACTAAGATCCAAAATGAGTTCTGGAAACAAGGTCAAGCTTATCTCTGGCCAGGAGATCCCGTAAGAACCCCGCGCTCGCTTCATCCTCCGCTGATCTTAACTGACCCCCAATTACCCCCCTCCCCTCCTCTCCTCGCCACTCAACCCACGTCTTGCATGATCACGCAGGTTTTTGAGCTGACACCGCCTTTCTTTCGCGTCATAGGACTCTGGGCTATGGCACCTGGCAATCTGCCCCCGGCGAGGTCTCGGTCGGCATCTACGAGGCCCTGAAGGCAGGCTACAAGCACCTCGACCTGGCCAAGATATACCAGAACCAGAAGGAGGTTGCCGAGGGTCTCCACAAGGGCATGAAGGAGTTTGGGATCAAGAGGGAGGATCTCTTCATCACCTCGAAGCTGTGGAACAACTGCCACCGGCCCGAGCACGTGGAGAAGGCGCTCGACGACACCCTCGCCGAGCTCCAGCTCGACTACCTCGACCTGTACCTCATCCACTGGCCCGTGGCCTTCCCGCTGGAGGGCGACGTCGGCGAGGTCCTCTTCCCCAAGCACGCCAGCAAGGAGGACGAGGTCGCGCTCGACAACGGCGTTTCTCTGGTCGACACATGGAAGGCCATGATCGCCCTGCCCAAGTCCAAGGCCAAGAACATCGGCGTCTCCAACTTCACCGTCGAGCACATCGAGACCCTCATCGAGGCCACCGGTGTCGTCCCTGCGGCCAACCAGATCGAGAGGCACCCTCGCCTCCTGCAGAACGACACCCTCATCCCCTACTGCAAGGAGAAGAACATCCACATCACGGCCTACAGCGCCTTTGGCAACAACAGCTTCGACCTGCCCCTGCTCATCACCCACCCCGTTGTCACCAAGATTGCCGAGAAGCACAACGCCACCGGCGCCCAGGTTGTGCTGGCCTGGTCGCAGGTTGGTGGCCACAGCGTCATTCCCAAGTCTGTCACCCCCAGCCGCATCGCCCAGAACTTCCAGGAGATCAAGATCACGGATGAGGATGTCAAGGCCATCAACGAGATTGGCGAGAAGGAGCCCATGCGGTTCAATGTTCCCCTGACGTGTAAGTTCCACAACATTACTGCAACATCCTTGAACAGGAAGGAGAGAAATCACAACTTCACGCTGCATGGCTGCGTGTGTGCGTGTGTGCGCGTGTTACGATCTGGTGCTGACGACGAAACCCGGTGCAGACAAGCCCAAGTGGGACATCAACATTTGGAACGACGAGAAGGAGACAGCCGCCACCAACAAGGTTATTGTCAAGCTCTAAGCTTGTCAACCGCCTCATAGGTATTGTTTCTCAGTTGGGCGCATCGTGAGGGCAGATTCCTGGCAATAGTTTATTAGACTTCAATAGATCAAAAGAGCAAAAATGCAGTACATATGTCGGGCTCCCAAACTTGTCTTGCAGTGAACATCCAAGCGTCAGATCCACGGTCCAGCGACTGTCTAATGATGACTTACGGATAACTTGTCTCTCCCCAATGTTCATATGATTGAGATAATATGTGAGAGTTATCATCACGGTCCCAGACAAAGATGAGTTCAGAGCGGATCCATCTGTGCACTATATTCTAAGCAAACCGTCAACCATTAGTTGACCAGAAGAGACAGGGAAGCATGCCGAGTACTTGATTTAGTATGTAAGTGGACAAAGCCTCAAGTTTTGAACCTCTTGTCAAGTCGCCGTATTATTTGGTGACTGACGGTGCTCACGGCAAGAGTCGCCCCTTCCCTGCCACACAGCGGGGAAAGGATGCATGCTCAAAACTAACGACACCCCGTGTGGGGCGCCAACTTGAGATCATATTTCCTGACGACACGAACCCCCTCTCGGCCTTCACATGTTGATAGGTTTCCAAGAGGAACTCCAAGCCCTCGCAGTAAGTAAGCAGAGGCAGCACACGACGCTCCTCTGATCACCAGCTCGCGATGGCAGCACGTCATCCATTCCTGAGCCTGCAGCCTGATGAGGTGCTGTTTACGAGCCAGACGATTCGCAAAAAGTACCAAGGCAGAGACATCTTGTTCCGATCCATCGGCATCAAGGAGCCGCCCCGTGTGCAATGCGTGGCTTTCATCCAGGGCAAAGGCTCAGCCCCGCCGCGGAGGACGTATGTCTCATATCAGATCAAAGGGGAGCCCACTGTGTTTGAGGACATCATCGACCTCTCCACTGGAGACACCTTTCAGAGCCGCGATTTGGGCACAACATGCTACCCGCCGGCGACCAACTTCGACATGTATAGGCTGGAAGACATCGTCATGAACGACCCGCTTGTCCAGGCTGAGATCGCCCGACTGAAGCTCCCAGAAGGCGCCGTTGTCCAACCCGAGCCTTGGCCCTACGGTACCGAGTCTGCCACACCCGAGAAGCGCCAGTACCAAGTGTGGATGTTTCTCAAGTCTCTAGACCCGGCAGCCCGAGACCACCCATCTTCAAACCATTTCGCTCACCCTCTCGATTTCTCCGTCGTGGTCGACGACCTCACCATGAAGGTGATCCGCATCGACAGGCTGCCGATGACGCCCGAGGAGATTTATGTTAATGAGGAGGCGGCGGCGAAGCGGACATGGCAGCGGAACCCAGATGCAGAATACGCATCAGACTTGCAGCCCAAGCTGCGAGATGACCTGAAGCCTATTCACATCAGCCAGCCAGAGGGTGTCAGCTTCAGCGTCTCCGAAGATGAAGTCGTCGAGTGGCAGAAGTGGCGTTTCCATGTGGACTTCAACTGGCGCGAGGGCGTGGTCCTGCGAGATATCACCTACGATGGCCGGCCTACGTTCTACCGCCTGTCTCTTGCCGAGATGACGGTGCCATATGGTGACCCCCGCGTGCCGTACCACCGAAAGAGTGCGTACGATCTGGGGGAGGGGGGCGCTGGCTGTACATCGAATGATCTCGAGTTGGGCTGTGATTGCCTCGGTGCCATCAGATACTTCGACCGCTGGATGAACGACCACGAGGGCAAGCCACTCACACTGAGAAATGCTATATGTATGCATGAAGTGGATAATGGTATCGGTTGGAAGCACACGAATTACCGCACGGGCCGTGCTGAGGTGACCAGGAATCGGGAGCTGGTGATTCAAACAGTGAGTCGCGCATGTGAAGCGATCAAGGGAAGAAAATCACAGAAGCTGACAAATGTGCACCCAGATCATGACCATCTCGAATTATGAGTATATCCTGCAGTGGATCTTTGACACAGCGGCGAATATTCACTACGAAGTTCGAGCCACAGGAATCATGTCCCTCGTACCAGCAGATCAGAGCGTAGAGCATGATATGAACTATGGAAGTCTGGTGTCCCCAGGTGTCATGGCCCCCATACATCAACACATCTTTTGCCTACGTCTAGACCCTGCTATCGATTCCTACGACGAGAGCAAAATCATGTACGAAGACGTCAAGGCACATGGCTGGAACGCAGCAGCCAATCCCTATGGCGTTGCCTTTGGTGTGGAGTCGACCGCCATCGACCGAGAGTCATTCCTTGACCTCGACGCAAAGCTGAACCGTGCCGTCAAGGTTGTCAATCCCAACCGCAAGAACGCAGCGTCACACAAGCCCCCTGGCTACAAAGTTGCGGTTCCTCCAACGCAGCTGCAGCTGGCTGATCCAGGCTCCATGCACACCCTGCGCGCCGAGTTTGCAGACCATCACTTCTACTTCACCAGGCACGATGAGGATGAGCTCTACCCGGCAGGCGAGTTTCCGTGGCAGCATACCGGTGGGACTGGTGTGCGGACGTGGGCTGCGAGGAAGAGAGAACTTGGGCCTGGTGAGGGCGTGGTCTGGTGTACCTTCTCGTTCACGCATGTGCCAAGACCAGAAGACTGGCCAGTGATGCCGGTGGAGATATTCCGTGTAGGTTTGAAGCCGGTGAATTTCTTCGAGAAGAACCCAGCGCTGGATGTGCCGTCTTCCAAGCAAAGCGTGAACAAGAGTGTGGAGATTTCGAGGTCACAGAGGGAACTGGACCTCAGGCAGAAAGAATGCTGTGGCTGAAAATGCTTGATTGAGGCTTCATTACAACTAATTATTCTTGGTTCATGATCCTGTGCTCAACCTCCATGACTCTCCGAGTTCGAAATCTGCCATGAGACCGTAGTGATCGGTGACGAAATCGAAATAGCCTTCCTCCTCGAGCCCCCTCCGGGCCTCCTCATCCTGCACTTTGACACCCACACCGACCTTCTCGAGCTTTTTCACTCGAAGAACAGCCTTCTGAGGGTCCATCTCGTCGCCCTGGCAGAAACATATCTTGTCCATTCTCTTATGGGGGTACCTGGTATCCTTGCTCTGCGGGCCCCACGTGAATCCATCCGGATCGCCCTCGCTCCCTCCCAGCTCGAGATACGCGTCCTTGAACCCATTTTCCTGTGGCAGAGTCTCATCCAGCCTCGAGTTCGCATTGCAATCACCGGCGATGATACCAGCAACGACCCCGTCTGCCTCGTCTTGCAAGAACTTGGCACACCCATTCCACTGGATCGGCCGCAGCGGGGGTCTCCCAGCCATAGAGTCCAGATGCACGTTGCACAGCCTGACGACCGCCGCCGGCCCCTCGCCGTGATCCTCTGCACTCTCGTCCTGGTCCTCCGAGGGCTGCCTGCGGACAACAACAACAACGTCCACCAAGAGAGCCTCGCGCTCAAACTCGCTTACAAAGGGCAGCCGCGCCACGTCTCTGATGGCCAGCCGCCGGTCCACGAGCGTCACGCTGTTGTACGGGCACCGCCAGGTGTGCGTCGTGAGGTCGCTGACGTGGAACCCGTCCTGGACCCAGCCTGTTGAGGCGATCTGGCCGAGGTTGTGGGACACCTGCGGGGGCCACTCGTGCGCCAGCGGGTTGTTGAGGTCCAGAGGGGCGGACTGCTTCATTTCCTGGAGCATGATGATTGTTGCTGTTGTCTCTGGGGTGGTGCTCTCGACGAGGATGTCGTGCAGGTGGGACAAGGCTGCGCGCATGCGGGCTTGAGGCTGGGGGGACATGAAGTCGATGTTCCAGGTGATGAGGCGGAGGGCGGTGATGGGCGTAGACGGTGTGGCGTGTGTGGCCGGCGCGGTGGTGCGCGTGTTGGGATCAGTCGGCTGCCATTTGGAGTCGATGAAGGTGTAGTAAGGCTGGGAGCTGGGTGTGTAGTCCTCGAGCTGCCGCTTGGTCAGCCTGGCGACGAGTCGATCTGCTGTCATGGTGTGGTGTCTTGATTTGAACAGAGAAAAGTTGATTTCAAAAGTGTTCCGGCTCCTCTTAAGCCTAGTAAGCATAGTATAGTTTGTTCCAGAGAAGGAAGGTGTTGTCTGCTGCTGGTCTATTTGGCTGAACAGGATTAATGCCTAATGCCTGGAAAGCAGACTGAGCCACAGCCTCAATGGTCATAAGCTGTGGAATTCTGGCACCTCACACCTAACCCTGGTGATATGCTACTATCATTATGGTCACCCAAAGTGCTCACGTGAGCACCAGCGAGCGTTGACAACTTGGAAGCTTTTATAAATGCTGATCAAACTTGTTGCATAATAATGTTGACCAAGTTCTGCGTCGCTGTTGCCTACTTAGGCATCAGTACTCGACTGAAGGGCGACTGTCATGTGTTCCCAGTTATGTGCACGTCACATTTCATTGCATGCCCGTGTAGCCTCGTCTCTAAATGAATCAATTGAAGAGGAAAGGGGGGAGGGGTGGTCTCAATTTTCATTTGAATCATACTTATCTACTATCGCGGTGCGAAGGCTAAAAAAAAAAAATTAATCATTGACCAGTGCTTGCTGCCTTCGAAACTTCCGATCGCCTCAATTATGGATCTCGGCCTGAAGACCAGGAAGAATTTCAAGATCTTCCTTGGGATACACATATTTACCATCGGCAGAGACCTGAGCTCCCTTCTTCTTCCTCTGCTGCTGCTGCTGGCGAATCTTCACCCACTCTTCCGTGGTCAGGTGCTGTCCGAGCTCAGTAAAGACATTTGACGTCTTGCCCAGACGCTCCAGGAGAGGGCTGTTCTTGATCGGATCCAGAACGACATGGTTGTTGGGCCTAAATCTCACAAGTGTCAGATCAGGCAAGGATGTGAGCTTTGGAGAAGAAAAAAAGGGCAGGACTGACCTCGCAAAGTACAAAACACCCAGACGGTCGATCTGCGCTTGGTCCTGAGGAGGTGCATGCACGCGGTGGATACTCGACTTGATGAGTCCACCCGTCAAGGCCGTCAAGGCATCGCAGGTATTGATGGTGATGGTTCCGTCCATTGGTTTCTAATATACGGTCCGAGTCAGCTTCAGGTCCAATAAGCAAAGACGTGCCCGAGACAGCGCCCGAGACAGCATTGCTTACAACCCACTTCCAGTTCCCTTCGCTGTTCAGGATCTGGAGACCGCAGACTGGTTGGCGGAACAGAAGAGTGATGGAGCCGAGATCAGTGTGGCCTGGTGTATACATCTGGCCAACCTGCTTGTTCTCCTCGGGAGATCTGGCGGCATAGTGCATGTATCTCAGGTGGTCTTCGCCCTGGAGGTCATACTGGTGGTCCTTGACAAGCTGGTCCTCAGGCAGCTCAAGAAGAAGAGCAAACAGCTTCAACAACTTGACGACGACCTCATCGTGGCATTTCTAAAAATGGATCCGTGTGTCAGGCTAGGGTTTCTCATGGAGATGGCTTGATAAGTCTATACTTACACGGGAAAATCTCTCAATCTCCTTGATATTGTCTTCGAGCACGGGGGGCTGCTGTCGTTGATGGTAGCCATCGAATTTGGGGATGTTATAGACCTGGATGTTATCCTTGATGCCATTCCCGAGACTAGATGAGGTGAATAAATAAGTAACTTCTTGAACATGCAACACAGTGGAATTCTTGTTGACTCACATTCTGGTACCAGCAGGGCGATATCCATTGTAGTTGCCTCCAACCAGGGCATCTTCATCGTGATACTTGAGCTTCTCCTCCAAAGGGAGAGCGTAGAACTCTCGACCGAGCGCGAATTGCCTGTCAACTTCCTCCTGGGAGATGTTGAAGTTTTTCACATAGAAGAAGCCGACCTTTGTGACGGCGTGATCCAGCTCTTTAACGAGCTCTTCCTTGCCGCCTGGCTGGTCGAACTTGCTGAGATCGAGAGTGATGAGCTCCGCCCAGTCCACTGAGATGCAATTTTGATTAGCGGGGGTACAATTACTTGTTCGAATCAGGAGCAATACTATGTATAACTTACAGTCTTCCTTGGTCACTGGGACCTGCTCATATGTGTCAATGATTCTTCCAGGCATCTTCCAGACTTAGAGAAATAAGATTCTTTTGGGCAAGTTTTTGTCTTTACAGCTTCACTGGATTTAGTGACGTCCTGATATCAGAGAGCGTTCGAAGACTAAATACGTTTGAGGCTGGACTGATATGCCCCTTCCAGCAAAACACCTCGGTGCATGCTACTAACGGGCACGCAATACGTGGCATTCAATTTGATTCTGACAAATTCATTATTTCAAGGGCGCGACCCATCACGACAGCATGCTCGCATGTGCCACCCTTAGCCCCTCCCTCCTTCCCAAGTCCGTGATGTTCCCGTGACGGCCAATGGAAATACACATCAATATCGGCCCTACGTTGCACTTCAACAACATCTTTGGGGGTTTCGGGAAACACCTGGACAGGTATCCCGTCCAACGCGGGGTTTCGATTGTGGTGGTTCTGTATTCGTGCGGAGAGACGAGCACGCCATTGCTTTGAGGAGCACCTCATTTTCTGGATCTCGGGAGGGCACTCCAATCAGTCACCTTCATCTTCGCAGAAAGGACAGTGGACCAAAGAAAACAATCTGTTCTTGAGCCTATGATGGGTCTAATATTATACACAGTGGTGGTCGGCTGTGGGCCATGTGCAAGAAGACACTTCCAACTAATCAGATCCTAACGGCAATATCACAAGGGAGTAGCGAGGATGGAACAGAGCGACAGCCGAACAGAGCACGCAATCCAGGCCTGGTCCAACATCACTTTAGCGGCAGGTATTTGCGGCGAAAATAACACAAGAACCGCAAGGCAAGTATCGACTAGGCAAGGGCCAAAATATTCGTCGCCCACACTCAGCATGGCTAATCGTGATAATCACCTAGGCCGTGCTATCAATGGCGACAGCAAAGCGTGTGGATCTAGTATGCATGGTGCTGGAGCCATCAAAATAGTTTTCCACAGCGTTGTCTTTTATGCTGTGATAAATTGGAAGTTATGAGCAAAGGTGATCCGGAGTTGCATTGCTTTCTTTGAGCTTATTCACTCGCAGTACGAAAGGACAGCCAACCAGCCAGCCAGCCAGAGCTGCAAGAGAATTACCAAGAATGTCCGAGTCAGGTATTAATGAGGAGCCGAAAGGCCGTCCTGATATGACCAAATTATCGCCATGGAAACTTTTCAAAGAAATCTTCAACTGGTATCCCTCCGAATATTCAACAGCCGAAAAAAAGTAAGTCATGGCGCTGTGAACCTGCTGAGGTTGTGCTTGCATCGTTATACTGACAAGTATTCAGGTTACTGTTGAAACTGGATGTGTCGATTCTTGTCTTCGCATGTCTTTGTTGTAAGTACTACCTCCGTTTTTGTCGTGACTGGATTATCTGCATAATTACTGACCAGATGCCTCACAGTCTTCGTCAAATATCTTGGTACTTATGATAACCGACATCCAGCGAGCTTCAAATTGAAGACCCGGTTAGCTGACCCTGACCTTGTGAAGATCAGACAAACATCAGCAACGCCTACACTTCCGGATTGAAGGAAGACTTCAGTCTCTATGGCAATCAGCTCAATTACTTCAATGTCTGCTACTACACAGCTTATGTGGTCTTTCAAGTCCCGGGGTTGCTGTTGCTCTCGCGCCCAAAACTGTGAGAATCCAAGTCATTATGACAATCTGGCTCGCAATTTGAAGACTGACGGCTTACAGCGCTCGTTACCTGTTGCCAATCCTGGAAGTCCTCTGGGGGGTGACGACATTTGCACAGAGTCGAGTGACCAATGTCCAACAATTATACGCACTACGCTTCTGTAAGTTCCAACCTGATACGCACCACCAAGCCCATCTATCATCAAGCCGATTTTAATCCCTCTCGAATAAACCCATAACAGTGGTCGGAATGTTCGAAGCACCCGTCTTCGCCGGGACACACTTCATCCTCGGTTCTTGGTATTCGGGTCCTGAGCTCTTCAAGCGTGCAGGGACCTGGTTCATCTGCAATCCGCTCGGCTCGATGGTCAGCGGCTACCTGCAGGCCGCGGCGTACACGAACCTCTCGGGCGTCGGTGGCATGGCCGGCTGGAGGTGGCTGTTCATCATCGACGGCATCTTCACGATTCCCGTGGCGCTGATTGGCTTCTTCATCTTCCCCGGCATCCCCGACTCGCCGAGGCCTTTTTATCTCACCGAGGAAGACACAACGCTGGCCAAGGCTCGGTTGGAGAGGGCCCGTGTTCGCCGGCCGGGCAAGTTGAACCTCGATGTCTTCAAGAGAACGTTCAAGAGGTGGCACATCTGGGTGTTTGTGTTCTGCTACATGTGAGAAACCGAGACCCCTCGACCAGATCAATAATCCAACTTTTGAGGTTTTCCAGTCACTAACGATCAGGGTTGAAGATGCATGATCATCTCCTCGTACCCAATGTCATATATGAATCTCTGGCTGAAGGCCGAGGGCTTCTCGGTCGTCCAGATCAACGAGCTGCCGACGGCGTACTTTGCCATCTACGCCGTTGCATCCTGGCTGGGCACCACCCTGGCGGCCATCTACCCAGCCTGGACGATTTATTCCGTTCAGACATTCTTCACCTTGTTCTCGATCCTAATCATGATCATCTGGAATGTGCCACAGACTCTGAAGTAGGTCCGCCCCCGCCCTGTGGCGTCTCATCATGTGTCCACGGAATTCAGGCTGACGACGGTGTAGATTTGTCTGCTGGTACCTCCTCGGATTTGCAGGTTGTGCAAGTCCTATTTTATATTCGACAGTCAATAGCATTGTCAAAGATGATTCAGAGGAGAGAGCTCTCATCCTGGTACGTTATCGAAGCATCCGACTGACAGCGGCGCCATCTCTCGACCTTGAAGCTGATAAAAATACCTTTGCCAGGGCTCCATGATGACGTTTGGCTACAGGTACGTAGGCCCCCACAGTCTTGTCTTCTCCGCACCAATATCAACAAACTGACAACATCTCTTGAATAGTTTCCAAATATGGGTGCCATTACTTGCCTTCCCAACCGCAGGTACTTACGGTGCCCCAAGGTGGCGTCGTGGCTGGCCAATTTCATTCGTCTTCATCTTCTTACTGTGGGCTGGATTTATTGCGGCTATAGTGATCCACAAACGACAGTAAGTGTCTTCACACTCGGTGCACTCTTCCAAAGTAATGCTGACTTTGCTTGTTAGACAGAAAAAGGCTTTGGAACCCGCGCCAGAGAATGATGTGGGCGCGTCTGAGGAGACGAGTAGCGAGGCTGTATCCGTTGAAGTGATTGCCAATGACAAGGCTGGCTAGAAGTATCAGGATCGGCAAGACGGCAGAGTGGGCCGGCAATAGGCCGATGCAAAAGTGGTGGCTGGATGTGACAAGTCTAGATACTGGGCCTAGGCAAAAACATAACAGTTGAATTGACAAGTATTTCCATTTCTTCCAGGCCCTAATTTTATGAGTTCTGGATCTGCAAACTCCAAACGCCCAGTGATGCACTCTTCTTTCTTGTCTTCGCTGCTCTCCAACCTCGAGGATAGTAGTAGATAGGGTATTAGACGAGGAGAACGGCGTTGACGCACCCATCGTTTTCGGGGTTGTTGGTGACCTGGGCGTACCTTCCCCACACGACCTTTCCTGACGTGGTCTGTATTGTGCATTAGCGATTGTGATATCTCTCGAAAACTTTCGAGTACCTGAACTCACCGTGAGACCCAGCTCGGACACATTAACCTCCAGAACGGTGCCCTTGCTCAGGACACCAAGTTGTGTGTAAAGAGGGTTTTGGGGGTTCTTCTTGACGGAGATGATAGGCAGCTGCACCGTGACTCCAAGCTCGGGATGGGTTACTGAACTGTCATGTCAGCCAAGATCACGCTCCTCAACATCATCATTAAAAGCATGCACAGGGCACCAAGGAAAAGGTGGACGGACCGTTCGCCTTCTTGTATCTCAAACCCATAGGCCGGATGAAGCGCTCGTACTTGACTGGCCTCCGCGTGAAGTCGGGTCCAACAAAAGTCGGCTTCGTCACCATGCGCTTCCAGCCCTTCTTCTGCGTCTTCTTTCCCGTGCTCACAACCTTGAACATCTCCTCCTCAGAAATACCGCGCACCTTGGGCAACGGCACCGCAAATCGCGCAGCCTTCTCGGACCGCTTGTTCTTGATAGACGAGCTCAGCGCCTTGGCAGAGGTGGGATTGTTCCGGTCGAGCAGATAGGCGGGGACGGGGTTGGCAGGGTCGTTGTCTGGGGCGGCGGACTTGACGTTGCGCTCCTCGTGGGCCTTGATCTGCTTGCGCATCTGGATCTTCTCCTTGTGTCGCTTCTGAGCGTGCAGCTTGGCGCGCAGGCCGCGGAGGTTCTGGGCTTTCTCGGACGCCTCGTGGCCCTCGCGGGCGGCGCGCTTGCGGGTGCGCTCTTCATGGTCCAGGCGGCGACCATGCAGCTTGGTGTGCCGCTCCATATACTCATTCTGAGGCTGTATGCGTGGATAAATTTGTCAGTGTCCTGTCTGGATTGAACGGACGAGAACCAGAGTGTGGCGGGGCACGCTCTTTTCTTTTTCTCACTCACCATCTTGACGTGTGACGCCCTCGAAGGGGACTTGGATCAGATTTGAGTATGAATGCTGGAGCCTGGACGAAGTTGGATGGCAGGGGGAGAGTGGCCGTCGTGGAATGTATGTGAGGAGGTAGACGATTCGTTGATGAAATTACTGCCGTTGCATTGCGATCAAAGAATGGGTTGCAAGACGGACGCTTTATCGGGAAGTTTTCTCTTATCGCAGAATATCCGGCTTAGTCATGTGTCTAGCCGTGGCGGCTGCTTTTGCCCATGAAAAGAGAAGGAAGGAAGGAGGAAATGCAGGTGAGAACAAGAAGGATAAAGACAGCAACAGAAGGGAGAATGACAGGTTCTTTAGCTGAATGCAATTTTATTAGAACGTGAGTATCATTTCAAACATATTTTCTTGAGCGCCTCTTGATCAAGGTCTCCTAAAGACCATTGTACAGTGGTGTGGAAAAGCGGGTAAATATACCCCTAACCCTGCGATTTTACTACAAGCCTAAGATGGACATTCCTATACTTGTTTTGTTGGTTCTTCGGACGAGATGCTAGCACTGCTTTACGCTGGGTGTGTTCGAGAAGCTCTTTATTCAGCCTCACATCCATGCCGTCACCTCCAGACAGTCCATACAGCGAGCCACACAGATTTGCATTCTATACGGTGTCGGAATGCATTGGCAGCAGAGAGCTTGCAGTCGCTACTACTTTGAGGCTCAGGATCGCTGGAGCAGTCGAACGCTCGATATATCATAAATAAAACGATAGCACAGGTCTTATTCCTATCGTAATCATCACACTGCTTACAGGTCTACCGAGTGTTGCTGCAACCTGATTCGAGACTGATACCTTCACAGACTGTGCCTTTGTTGTACCATGTGAGTTTGGTCGGGTCCAACATCTCTGAAGTCACCCACCGTGCCGTCTGTGTGTGAGTACTGTCGGTTCCGACATCACCCAGTGGTCCTCTCACCCTGTCCCTTTTAAGCCCCCCGCCGTCCATATGCAGCTTTTCAAGTTCCTCGTCAACACCACTGATAGACTCGTCGCAAGCTTCGCTCCAGTCCTTATAGGTAGTCCATCTTGGGAAGCTTGTCCTCCCCTCGGCCAGCGCTTGGAATATGACCAGCTGATCCTGGAGGTACTCATCCACAACCCCGGCTTGCTCGTCGGCTAAAGCTTTCGTCACAGCTCTGGAGACGTCCTTGCAGAGCTTTTCTTGCCCCTTGCCCTTGCGCTTGCCACTATAGAGACAGTCTCGGCCCCAGCGCAGTGTTTCTGATTTTGCTACCAGGAGCACGTAGATTCGAGACTCATGTCTGCTGTCTTCTGGCTGCTTGAAGTTGAGCTCTGCCTGGGGAAAGAGATTTGTGAGGTCTTCTCTCAAGATGCTCTCTAGCGAGCCATGGAGCTCTGCAGGTGTGATGATGGTAGCGTCCACAGATTGGACTGCCAGATCATCGTGAACCCTGCTCGTGCCGACATCATCCTTTAGCTTGAGCGTGGTACCCAGAGGAAGCGGGTGAATCTTGAACCACAGAGAACCCCTCGACTTGGGCCCCGCGCTCCAACCCCTGCTTTCGAGATTCCTCTGGACTCGAATACTGAACCATGCCTCCAGTGTGGGCAGAACCACCTGGTCCAGATACTCGTAACTCAGCGAGAAGGACACGTTCGTGCCCCCTGAAATCGTCAACTCGACAGGATCTCCACTTTCATTGCCTGCGAAAAGGAGAAAGGGGAAGACCGCCTGTAAGATGAGCAGCGCACTGGCGGCAGGTGATTCAGCATAGATCTTGATGTTCCTCTCTAGCAGGTCGCCTGGTCCGCGCTTGGGACAAAATTCCAAAGTCTTACTGCCGACATCGAGACCTTTCACGTCGGCATTGGTAGCCTTTGCTAGCCACTCGACCGAAGTGACGTGCTGCGATTTGAGCCCTGGTAAAATGATCATCGTGAGCCAGTGTGTACGCATGCTGGTTCGGATGATGGTACAGCTCACCCCCTCCTCGCGGCCCCGAGCGGTTGCCTCTCACGTTGGTTATCCTGACTGGTTTGGACGTCACTGAGGCAAGGGCGATGGCAATCCTCACGAGTTGGCCCCCGCCCTCGCCAGTCCGGCCATCAAGCTCGATCATCTTCGGCGACTTCATTGTTGATATGCTGCGGTGTGTCCTTTGTGGGTGGGATTGTCGAAAGCTTCGCGTGGCATGAACCGAAAGGAAGACGCAGATAATTATCAGTTGTTGACGAAATATGTCTGCGGCCGATTGGTTGGGAGTTGGAATGCAGCCTATTGCAGAAAATGAGCTGAGCCACCACGAGGAGCCCGTTTAGCCAAAGCGTGACTCATTCGGTGATGGATAAAACCCTTGAGCCACCATCCATCTTACATATCACGAACGAGAAGAAAATGTTTGCTGGAGATTATGTTCGAGTTTTCCTTCTTCCCCTGTTCTTCCAGAATGCTCTAGGGTCTACATTTATTATTGTTGTGGTCTTGCAGTTGAGTACAGGAGATTCAGCGATGTGTTCAAGTGGCACCATCTTGTGCCCTCCGTCAGCTCTGAGCCACAACCTCGCCTAAATCTGATGCCCATACGAAAGAGACCAGACTCTTAGCAGACAGCATTCCCTCCTATAATTAGAAAGAAAGACTCTATGGGTAAGACTCAAAGCACTGGCCCTAAGAGACTATAAGCATCGCTGCAAGATTGGCAGGTCCATCGGCCCTTCAAGAGTCTCGGCATTCCGAGCGTCTCCTGTGCACATGTTGTTGGGCACTGTTCACTCCAAATGGGAATACTATGTTCGAGTTTGTAATCATAGCATTTCAGCAAATGGGCTGTAGCAGTGAAGCCAGAATTGGGAGAGCATCTATACATAAATGAGACTGCCACTCGCAAAGTTTGTGTACATCCCGAGCCATGGATGTGCCGATTCACGGAAAACTTGTGCAACGCGGAAGACCAGTCATGCTGTAAATAATTGCGCCTATTGAACACCCAAGAGTCAGGCTGAAAGATGAAGCTAACAACAACTTTGGCAATAGAGTGACTTCCGGATGTCTCTCTTGACCTCTTGCAGGGCTTATCAATATTGCCAACCCTGGTGGCCCGTATTTTGACTGAGTTCCACATTGTTGGCCTGCGGTGGAGAGGGCTGTTTCAGCGTTTTTACCTGAGCTATAATTGCATCATCTAAATCACTGTCAAATAAGGCTTAAAATAGACTCCAAATTAACAAGGAGCTTATTTTCCGTTATCTTGTACTTTTACTTCTCGGAGGCCTCTAACCTCACTGTAATTATTCACAAGCGAGCATCAACTGCATGTGAAGATTCTGAGATCTGTTCTACCAGGGATACAAGCTTTGTGTCGCAAAGTTGCATCGCCCATGAGATCCATATCCTTCTTTTTCGTCATGCATCAGTTGCCTATACTGAATGCCCCAATCCAGGTTCCGTCTGAAGAGGCCCCATCATTGTCACTCGATGAGAATCCTGTACATAAAGTAATGATGACTGTCTCCACAAGAAACTCACATGGAACAAGAGTTGTTACACCTGGTCCATGATTCTGATTAAACGTTACATATTGACTTTCAGAAAGAGTTCATCATTTCATACAGCATTTGTCGGCGGCGATCCAATCTAATTATGCTTTGTCCAACTAGAACGCGGCCATAATAAGGTATTGTAAAGCAAACAGTCCCTTTGAAGTCCTACGATGAAATCTACAAACGATCTTCTGAAACACAACAGCAACCCTATTCCCCATCATCTGTACTATTGTTACAAACTCGGGACAGGTTGCGCTAGCATTCTAAAAAAGAATGATATGCTGGACAAATTGTCGTCGTGAGTCAGTAAATGAAAGGACCTGTCGCCGTCAAGTGAAAAAAAATAGCGTCTCTGAAAACAGTAAATTCAGCCCACGATCATGCCGATCAGCAAAGACCGGTCTCTACCTCTCCTTGCTCCCGCACGTGGCTTGTGAGGGAAGAGAGTGGCAATGGCGACCACATGTGTTGCTATTTATTTCTCCCATTGCTGTCCCCCCCCCCCCCCCGGTGCCCAGGTGCCGCCAATGGGGGAAGATCTGCCGCCCGTCCGACCTCCTTTTCATTAAAAAGAGAAACGGCAAAGAATCGCGCGCGCACACCGCGACTTGGAATGGCCTACCGGCAATCAGGGAATGCGCATAAGCTCGACGATCTCCCGCGCGGGCGAGAAGAGGTCGGGTATGTTTTAGGGCTGAGCTCAGGACGACACACTGTCGATCAGTGTCCCGCGACGTCTTGACAAGATTGTGATTTTTTACGGGAGGGCACTGGACGGGGATGTGAAGGAGCAGAAACAGCACTGCGCGAGCGGATCAAGCTCTGGGCTGGCGTGAACCTTCAGTTCCAGGTCCCTACTTGCGCACCGGAACTGCCCAGCTGGGACGAGACACAGACGAGACCGTGGTTCACATTAGAAAAGACTGCCCTTGACTAGGCTCTTCTTCGACTGCTGTACGCCTGACTTGACGATCTCATCCCGCGAAGTGAGTAGTATAACTCTCGCATTCAGGCTGAGAAATTTCGCCAGTACGATCACGTGGTCCTCCTTTCGATATTTCTCAAGTAAATCACGATTAATATCACAGCTCGGCATTTCGGTCTAAAAGAACTGGATCAAAAGTTCACCTCACCGGCGCCAGGGACCAAAATAGTGGCAGCGGCAATAGAAGCACCCGTTCCTGACACATGCTAGGCAGTGGCGACAAGATCGAGGCTAAGGCTAGCTGCATGTACTATAGTATCTTACGTGTCGTCGACCCCCGTCCCATAAGGAGGAGAAGGAGGTGGAGGAGCCGGCTTTAGTCTACTCACCTACTGTAAGCCGAGTAAATTGAGAGATTTAATGGGATTTTAGGCCGTCCCCCGTCGAGTGCGAATTTGTGGAGCGGCAAAAGGCTAAAGGAGAACATCCATGTCCGTGCGAGCGAAGGCACCTGTGTTGTGTGGCCCCGGGGGCCGTGGCGGAGGGGTCATCACACAGAGGCTCGTTGACTGTGACAACCTCGTGCCGAATGGCGGTGTGCTGGGACTTTCAGTCCGGCCCACATTCGGCCGGTGGGATGTGTGTGGTGCGTTGCGAGACATGGGGAGGGCGATATGGGCTGGCACACCCCCCCCCCCATCTTCTCCACCTCTACCCCCCTTGACCTCTTGTTCTTGCTGCTTTCTCTTCTCTCTTTTTCTTTCTCTCTCTGTGTGTGTGTGTTTCTCTTGCCTCTCGGTGTCTCTGTCCGTTTTTGTATGCATATGTCTCTCTTTGTGCTTGAAATACGACGACGTACAACATTGCGTAATGCTTTTGTACCGCTTGAGCAAAGGCGCCGTTGGGATGGGATGAAAACCCCCAAAGGAGGTCGGACAGGGGTCGTATCTCACACCCTCCCTCCACACAGTCGGCGGCACCGGTAAGGGGATAGTGGTGACATATGCTGTATGTGAGACCCGACAGCCCTACCCTCCAATCACAGCAGTGACACTGCCTGCCTCTTCGACAATTTAGCTGCATCTTGTGAAAGGGGGGAGGGAGTGTGTCGCCCGTCCCAAGAAGCGCGGAGAGGGCCCGGTAACAAGACATTAAACCTTTTTGGTTGAGAGCGCTTGGAATGAAAAAAAAAAAAAAAAAAAAACACCAAAAAACCACCAGTGCAGTGAGCGGGGAGGCAAACCTTTGAAAACAGCCAGGGTTGGTACTACCGGCGGTATGAATCGAGAGGGTTGGGCGCGGATATGTAAGTGGCTCAACCCAAGTTGGACGCTCAGAATTCCGCTATTGACAAGGGGATGAAGCACCAAAAAATAACAAAAAAAAACCAAAAAAAAAAAAAAACCCCCCACACCAACTAGAAGAAGGAAAGAAGAGGGCATGTGTCGCCCCAAAAGACTTGTGTGTGTACCATTGTATGAGTAGGAAGGAAGGCGAGAAGGAAAGGGGGGGTGTGAAGGTGGGTGCCAAGGGTAATCACGCAAGATGGCAATCTGGTGGAAGTCGATGTTACGGCGAAGAATGGCATCCTCATGCTATTGTACAGCCCTGGTATAGTGGCATGGGCCAACCGCTTCGTTTCAACACCGGACCCTGATCTTGGCACGAGGCTGTTTCCGAATTCGTCACTGATCTGTCTCGAGTCGAATTCTGTGTGTTTTTCTGGTCTTACCAGCTCTTCACATGAGAATGGGAAGTTATGCAATTTCAATTGCAAACGAGACAAGGGTTTGAAACCAAAGAATCGAGGCAGAAATGATCATGATAGGAATGGAAAATAACCGATGGCTCATTTCAACCAATTTCGTCTCCGCAACGGCATCTTCTCGGGGGGGGGGGGTTTGGTTGGGTGCTGGGTGCTGGGTTCCCGGGCTGCTACAATAATTGTAAAGGTGCTGCCTTGTACCGGTACGATAGGACTTGACAGGGGAGGTCTGCATTGAGAGTTTTTGTGCGGGGCGGGCAAAGGACGAGAGACAGGGGTGGGAAGAGGAATGCAGAAGAAGAAAAAAATTGAGGGTCCACAGGACCCGGAAAGGAATGGATCCTACAGCAGCCATCTACGTCATTGTACAGCGAGGGTTAATTCAACGACATCGCATGTGCTCCATACACACCCACCGCAGACATATGGACTGCCACCCTGAACTCTGCGCTGGCATGTGCTTCTCTGTCTGTCTCTCTGTCCCATCGCAAGAGGCCAGCACATGCATACGATCCAGCACCCAGTCGATGACCATTCTCTTCTACTTTTCATGCCTGGCTTAATTTTTGCTTGATAGGTGCAGACTCTCGATACGGAATGTGGATTGAGGCCAATATCGAAACTCTTGGGTAAAGCGACGGAGACTTGAGCTGAGATGAGGTGAGATTCTGTGCAACGCACCAAGTTTATCTTCCACCTCGTCCCACGGTACTATTTACAATCATAGTGCTGCCCAACCCAGCCTGCGAAGGGGGGCTGTGGATGTATGAGCCTTGCGGCCCCTTAAAAGAGGGATGTATTTTCTTCTTCGACTGCCTATCAGGAGGACCCTGAAGATCTGTAGCTCATGACAGGTGGCGTCCCGTGTCGGTTTCTTGCCAAACAGCGCAATGATTTGCTGGCTAGGCGCAATTAGGATCTAGTAAGCTTAGTTTGGTCTTGCGCTGGTACCCTTCAGGGGCCTTGCAGTTTGACTGAACAGTACTTATGTACTCTGGCACAATACAACCAAACACTACGGTACTATAGCACACCCAGCATAATAAATCGGCTAAGCAAGCCTTGCATGAAGAAAGGTCGGGGAAAGACAAGGGCACCCCTCTCGTTGTCAGCTGTTAGGTCTACAGCCCGGCGTGATTCTTGAAGACACCGGATAAGATGCCGCAGCCAATAGAGACGTTGAGATAAGCCCAACCCTGAGCCTTCCCCACCACAACCCTGTTCTGCTTGAAGCTATGGAGAGAAGAGATATTCGTAGCGTACACGCGTGCAGGTCGGGGTCTATTCTGCATGATAGAAAATTTAGCGTTTCTTTTCCCCTCTCTGATTCATCTTATTCAGCCTCTCAGACGAGGTCTGAAGATGGTGAGTCCCCGTGTTGTCGACAAGAAAACTTGACGCCAGGTTGTCAATCTAGCGGCTTCTGCGGTTGCGACCTCCCTCGTCCATCCCGTCTGGTATGGCCCACCTCCACTTGGTACCCGCAGAGTTCCTGACCCATCGACGTCATCCGGACCTCCCTGTTCCCTGACCGCTAACGTCATCGCGGCACAAAGGGACCTCCCCAACCTTGCTGGCCAATCGCATGTGCCGTAGGACCCGCGCTCCAACGTCACCCATATTTCTTGGCCCAGCAACTTGAAATATTTCTGTGCCTCACTCGCAGCAAGACCTTGATGGCCTCGGGTCCTTTTGGCAACTTGCCCGTCAAAACCTGCCACTTTGTCTGGCGCGAGCTTGTTGCATACAGCCTCTTCGTCTCCTATATATATTTTTTTGGTTTTGAGAGTACGTATACTACCACCTACTTACTGCGCACTAAAGAGTCGACGGGCTCTGCACAATCGGAGCATTCTCTCCCGAACCAAGATATCAATCCTGCAGTGGGCTCCGCCGCACCGGGATGACAACTTTTTGCTGAGTCGTGTGTGGCATGGGACAGGAAGTATTGTCTGCCCAGCTATCACGCCTCTTTTCCCAGATCTCGTGCGCCAGCTGCGTCACGCCTGCTGTTTTCCCCCGCCCTGTAGATCCACCTGTCGCCCTGTGACTGGGTAGTTCGAGGCGATACAGCATCATTTCGCCAGTTTCGAGAGGGGGGGGAAGTTGGTAGGACGGGAAACAACGTCGCCGAGGAGGCAAGGCTCTGACCAGAAAGCGATCCAACCAACCACGACCAACTCTTCACGCAATTAGTTCAGTGACATAACATAACAAGCTTCACTAACGCCAAGGGGGCATTCAGGTGCTCTCGTTGTAAGTCCAATCGTTGCGTCTTCGCCTTCGCCCCACAATCACATCACCATCCACCCCCTCCCTCACCTCCTCCCAACCACCCCTCCCTCTGTCAGTCTCCCCTCTTCTCAATGGCAGACAAGTCATGCTGTTGTATGTACCGCGTGCTTTTTTTTTTTTTTTGCCTCCCCATCCTCCTCTTGCCCCCATTGACCACTACCCTTTGGTTGTCTGTCTCTCCAGCTCGGAAGCCCCACACAACGTTTTTGTGTGCATCTCTGTGTGCATACTCTGGTTTATGTTGCTGCAGCCTGCAGCCCCGTGAAAAAGATGAGCCATCCCACATCAGGAAGCCGATCGACCGACACACCTTCTCTGGAGGTATCACCCAGTCTTTTGCAAACTTCCGCTATGGTGGCGACGATAAGCAGCAGTGTTGCTTCCCCCCCCCCCCCCCGGCCCCCGGGGCTGACTCCACCATCTCGGTCAAGCGTGTTTCAAGTACGCATGTGGGGGGCAGCACAGCCCAAAGAGGGGTGGAGACAGACCGCTTCCTCGTCGCCTGCATTTCCGCGGTGGATGGCCAGCGACACAACCTCGTTGGGTAGCACGCGCTGCCATTCCCAGGGTCGGAGGGTTGCGTTGCCTCAGCCCCCCGCAGCCTGAAGACGAGTAAGAACCGTGGAACGCTCGCATGCAAGGCGGGAGATAACCTCCCAGTCCTTTCTGCCTAGGGCATTATCATGTACGCGCAAGCCAACGTCGCCGTGCGCTCTCACTGCTTCATCATCCTCCCCGCTGCCCGCGCCGGCGGCCGGTGCCCGGCCTCCCGAACGTAACACAACGCCGTGCTGGATAGGGGCCCCTACCACAGGCCTCGCACGCTGGCCTAAGGATGCCCGGCGAAACGGGGCTCTTCTCTGCGACGGCAATTGGCACAATCCGGGACATGATCTTCAGGCCTTGGGGCTCGGGCAGGAGCATCCGTCCCGTTCTCTAGAGGAGCGCTGGAGGCTCTCTCGTGCTCCGTACCAATCATGCCACATACGCCGTCGCAGTGCATGGGTTGCACCAAGCTTCACAGAGCGGCAAGCGAGAGCGATTCGGCCCAATACCCTCAAAGTGTTTTGTCGTGCCTTTTGATGGGGAAGAAGATCAGAAGGGACCCCCCCTCCTCCTCTCCTCCTTTGCCTTTTCTATCTTGGGGGCGGCAGTGCACTTTACTTCCCTGCTGCGTGCTCTCTTTTTTTTTGTTTTATTCGCCTCCCGTTCACCCATTTGACCGGGCTGAAACCTTACTTTTTTCCTTTCTGCTTCTCTTGGTACCTGATCGCCGCCTTTTTTAGTAAGACTCGAAATGCCTGCCTCGTGCTTTCCCAGACAAGCTGAGCCGCCTAGTGTTACCTTGGTGCAACGACTCGCTTAGTCATGTCCTTTGCCTCACACTTTAGACCAGATCCCCATTGGGCAATGATTTCCATATCTCTTTCCCTCCCCCGCCCCAACGCTAATACTATCGCGGTATAGCACCTCAGATTTCCAGCATGGGGGGTTTTGGGAGGGGATGAATTTGGCATATGCGACCTTTTGGTAGATTCCATTTTCATGACTTTCCTAGTTTCGCGGGACTGGCCTCGCGTACTGTACCTCTTCCTTCACACCTCTTTTTCCTTGACCTCCTTTTACCCAGTGGGGGTCGGTGAACAGAGAGCCCCCTGCTCTCTCTCTCCTATTGCTGATTGACAGTTTTACTACACACCCTCCCTTCTTTCCGCCTTGGGAGAACCTGCTTCCCCGGGGTTCCACAACGTCCAAGGCTGATAGGCTAGAGGGACATCGCCCCCCCCCTCCCCGAGGCAGGAAAGCACACACGGTGACCTCACCTCGCCTACCATGGCAGCCCCGCGTGACCCAGATCATTTTTTTTTTTGGCTCCGTCGCGCATATCGAGACGAAGTATGATTGAAAGCGAGGTAGTTGGGGAATTCTTCAGACAATTTGAATTCTTCCTGCATGATCAAGAGGCGGCGGAGAGGGGAGGGGGGGGGGGAAAGAGGGAATCTAATTCATCAGGCCACAGTGAACAGACAGCAAGCCCGGTTCCTGAAAGGAGAGGGTCGATGGCGTGCTGGAGCAACCCCCCTCCTAAAAATCTTGTCCACCATTTTCCTTTTGGTTTTTTTTTTTTCCTCCTAAAAAGTTCCCCGGGGGGAGGGGTGCTCCTTCTCTTTTACAGCCCTCGGTCAAGCAGCAGGTCCGTCTATCACGGGGGATGAGTTCCACCTCAAATGATGGACAGGACCAGATAGACTTCAAAGGGTTGGACCCGATCGTTGGACCACTTGTTTCAAGACCTTCAAGGGGGTTTTTTTTTTTTCCCTTCCTTTTCCTTTTCCTTTTTTTTTTTTTTGGTTGTCAACTGCTTGAAGCGGACCGCCGCCGCTGACCCCATCCAAAGGGGGGAGGGGGGAGAAGGAAAAGATGGATTGTGGTGTGGCACGTTAATGACCATGCGACGTATAGTTGTTCCAAATAAGCTTTTTATCTTCTTTCTTTCTTTAATCTACCCATGGCCGCGCTGATCGCAATACCCAACCACACACACACACCAGAGAGAGGAAGCAAGCTGTCTCCTGCCCAACGACACATCATCCGACCCCCGGGGTCCTTTTTTTCACTTTCTTCCCAAGAGGGTGGATAGGATGAACACGCATAGCATTGACCGCCGATCAGAGGAGAATGGGGGGAAATGATCAGCGGGTTCGTAGTGCAGGTGGGCAACTAATGTTTGCGATTTCATTTGCCCGCGCGTCGAGACAGAAGGCGACCACGTGCCTAACCCTCTTCAACCCCAGATCTCCCGTTTGAGGGAACTGGCGGTGACGATCCGCTCCTCGCCGATTGGGGTTTGAACTGTAGGTGAGATTTGATTGAATGTACCCGTGCCGCTGGTTTGGAGAGAGATTGACTTTTTGAGACTATGCGACACTTGGTGGTGTCCATGAGCGGGAGAGCCCGAGCAGCAAAAGTCGTGCAAATGACAAGCCGCACCAAATCCATCTTGAGTGATTCGCGTAAACATGTCGAGACTTTTGCTCTTTCAAATCTCTTCTCAATTTGATCTTACATGTGTCGCGCAGCTCTTGTCGCACAATTATAAACGAGTGGCGGAGACCCATGTCCCTTCATCACAGCTTCTTTTCCCTGATCCTTTGGAAAAATCCCAGCCTTCCCCCCTCCCCCAAATATAAATACAGCGACCTCTAATAATCGTACCCAAACCGTAGTGACCATTCCCTCCTCCCCCGCCATGTAAGAAAGCGACCGTGTAGTTGTAGTAATTAGCGAGTGTGCAGAGTTTGCCGGGGCCTGGTATCCTTGAAACGAAAGACATTAATCCTCTGGTGGAGGACAAGAGAGCAGTTGAACACCATGCTCGGAAAGCCGAAAGCACCCAGTCACCTCTCCAAACCATGCGCAAACCCAAGACCTGGACCGTTGTCAAACCTTAACGCCGTCCGCCCTGGTCCTTTTGGTACCGTCTCACCCGCGGGAGAGAAGATGACCCCGAGCGACCCGCACCACCGATAGATAATATCAAAATCCCACGAAAAACATGACAGGCAGAAAGAAAAAATGGGGTTGTTAAAAAAAAAAAAAAAAAAAAAAAAAAAGGTCGTGAAATCGAGGGTTAAAAAAAAAACCACCACCAAACAACTGAAAGTTGCTGTGCCACTCGGGGCGGATGAGAGTGAACGTTGAGAATGCTCAAAAAAAAACTGACAGTCGGCGGCGTCGGCGAGTAGAGATCCACCTTCATGTCGTCATAAACCAACACACCCGCAACGCTCTCATCCGGGACAAGTCGACAAAGCAACCGGGTATCATCTCGCGGTTCCCACTCTTGCGACCCCAAAAGTGAAAACTTTTGCCATCCCTCTTGTGTACGATTCCAGCCTGGAAATGCACAACGCGACCCAGCCTATAATCCCCTGCCAATACTCCTTTGTCTCGGCTATGCAGGTGATCATAACCCGACCGTGAATGAAGTGAAGGATATACAAAAGCCGTATGTGGCAGCGAATGGTGAGAAAATGAAAAGCGTCATCCTCGAGGCATAGGAAAGACGTAGGAAACGCAAGGAGAAGTGGCGAAATCTTCGCCTTCGCAGACCGGCGCGCTTACTCGCCGCGCATATTGGTACAATCGGATCTAGGAACTCCGTCTTTTTTCTCTTTTTTCTTTCACTTTTCTTTTTCAGTCAGATTGGTTCTGGTCCTCGCTGCCTGCATCTGATTGGGCTTCGCCCTTGTGCACCTTTCGATGCCGTCGAAGGTTTGAGACCACGGAGAAGTTGCGCCCGCAGTTTGGATGCTCACACTTGAATGCTACATCAAAGAACTCGTGTTAACCAATGGACTCAATATGTCAAAAAGTGAGAGGCGCGAGGAAATGGTAATCGAACTTACGCTTCTCTCCAGTGTGGCTGTACATGTGAGTCTGTAGGGAGCTTGGTCGAGTGAAGCGCTTGTCGCAAACTTTACACTTGTGTTTCTTTTGCGTGCTGCTGGAGACCTTGGAGCTGAACTGGCCCATCATGGACTGCGGCGCGGGTGGCTGCGTTGCCATCAGACCTTGAGGGCGAGGGAGAGTCCTCGACTCAATATCAGATCCTGCGGTGGAGTAGTCACTGACACTACCGTCGATGGAGCCGCCGTAGTAGGGGCTGAAACCGGTGGAGGAGACGCTCGACGAGGCAGAATGGGTCGAAGGGAAACCATAAGAGTCACCGGATCCCCTCCCCCTGTTGTTGTAGACACCTGCGCGGGGGGTCTCCTGGCTGCCAGTGTCGAACCTCATCTGGACCATCTGCTGGGCGACCTCGAGCGGCTCCTGGTAGCCTCGTGGGTCCCTGGCATGGCGGAAGTCCACAGGCTGAGCGCGGGGCACGCGCGGCAGGGTCATGTCGGCCGGGTCGTACGAGGCGGTGGAGGAGATAGAGGACTGGGAATACCTTCTGGTGTCTGCGTCGGACGAGATGCCGAAGGGGTGTCGCACAGCCGAAGAGGTATATCCCATGCCGTGCTCATAGCTAGTCGGCGACGTAGCGTATGTGGCATGGACCGGAGAGGCTGCGGTCGCGTGGTAGGCTGGGTCGGAGTACGAGGATGCGGCGGTCTGGTGAGGCATCCGGCTGATACTCATAAGATCTTGTGGGAGAGAAAGTAAGTCGGGGCGGCCTGGAAGAGGAGGGTCCACCATACTCAGAGGGCTACCTGCTGGGGCCGAGGTGACGGGCCCGCCGGAGCTATACTGTGCCATTGGGGCAGTGACGGGCGGCCGGGACGAAGGCTGCTGCGAGTGACGATCCATAGCCATGGGATTGGGAGGCATTCCACTTTGTGTGACGGGCGAGCCCGCGTACAAGGCGGCAGTTGATGGTGCCGTCGACGCCCAAGGGTTCTGGAAGTGCGGGTGTGAGGTTGGATACGACGAAGACATGCTGTCTACTGGTGGGAATGAACCGTATCGCTGTTGTTGGTTGGGGTCTATTGTCATTGTCATGTTGCAAGTATGTTATGGGGGAGAAACAATAAGAGTAAAAAAAGGATGATCCTGTTGGTAGGTTTCTTGTGTGTGTGTGTGTGTGTGTGTGTATGTGTGTCTTGTGTCTGTGTCTGTGTCTTGCGTGTATGTGTATGAGCGTATATGTTGTGTAGTTGTGAGGATGATGATGGAGAGGGGGGGGAGGAGGTTCGAGGTAGGTATAGATAGGTCAGAGCAGAAACAGGGTGCTTGGACGAGAAGGCCGAGTCTTATTCTCTCTGGGCCCAAAGAGCAGACAGAAGAAGACGACGGGTCAAAAGATCCAGTCAGGGTGTCAAGGGTCTTCGATGCAGACGCTAAGGGACCACCTACCCTCTCTGCCTCTCACGCCTCTGTACCTTGGCGCACCCAAGAACGCTAGGGTCCTGTAGCTAGCTCCATAGCCAACCGTGCCAACCCGGCCTTCGTAGTGTCAGTGCAGAGGAACCACACCCGCACCCGCACACCCGCTCCTGCACCTGCAGCTTGAGAGCAAGAGCCGGGCAGGGGGTTGCTCAGGCAGGTGGGGAAGAGTGCCAATATCATGTTGCGGGGGTGTCAGGCTAATAGGGGCAAGGATGGGTCGGGATGAAAAGACGACAGGGGTCGGGCGGGCATAAGACGGAGGTGACATGTAACATGGCAGGGGTTGTACGGCAGAGGGATGCTCTGCAAGGACCAGGTATACAGACTCGGTGAGGGACTGAATGTGTGGAGTTAGATGGGTGGGGTGGGAGAGGGGGGGGGTTGGTCCATATCCTGGGGCCAAGATACAGAGAAGAGGGAGGGGGGCGATGAATGGTTCATGGGCCAGGGAGGGTCCAGGATAACACTGATGAGCCCTGAGCCAGCAGTAACAAGTTGCCACATATTGTCGTAGAATGTACATAGTAGCTGCTGCCGAGCTCTTAAGAGGGTCCGAAGAGGGACACATGTGAAGATGCCAGCATACTAGAAGAGGGCCCGATCCGTCTCAAGCTGGCAAGGGGGGCCCATATCCAGCCCGACCTGGTCTAGTCGAGATGAAAACAACTGAAGCGCTGGCGCAGAAAGAGACTGAGCAAGAGAAGCAGGCAGATAGACCAGACAGGCAAGGCAAGGCAACACAGTAGGTAATCTCGGCAGATTGTTCAGTAGTATAGCCATGAGATCACAACTACCCTCCCCCCCCTCTCGTCTCCCCCATTCTTGATGATAACGGGAATGTACAGTACTCTTCCCTGTCTCGGCTCTTCTGTCTGGGTAATAGACGCCACTGACTTAAGTTCCCCAATAGCTGATTGGAAACAGGGCGATGGGCGAGAGAAGCTCGCCCGTGTCTTCCTTGGCGTGCTGGTACATAGTACATAGAGAGCATAAATGCTACATAGTGCGTATAGTGGTGATGGTTTGTACTATGGTGCCTACAGACCAGCCCCAAAAGATTTCAACCCTTCCCCCCTCCTGCACCCCCACCTTATATGACCATCTCAGCCACCTGCATCACTCAAGTCCTTTCTCGCTAATTTTTTTCTTTCTTTGCTGTTTCAAAAACATCTTTTCTAGGGATGGATAAAAGAAGTAGCGGTCCTCCTTCCTTCTCTTCTGGAAACAAAAAAGCCCTGCTATTCTCAATTCCTTCATTTTGTGCCAAGCATCGTAGGCCACTTGCTCATGAGTCGACCTCGATTGGATTGGCTGTAATGTGGGCCCCTTGGTATCTTTCCAGGAGAAGACAGGGTGCCCCTGTGACGTCTTTGGTGGGCGGGTGTCCAATGTACCGCAACCTGGCTCAAGGGTGACCAGGGGTCTGAACCCAACAGGAAGCCTCCCTCTCCTCTTGGCGCGCACACTGGCACACCGGCACATTACGTAGCCGTCATCTCAAGTCAGCGGACGGGGAAGGCATTCATTGACAACCCGCACCTGCTGTCGCGTTCCAGCACCCACGACCTGGCCACATTTTGGCTTGTCGATGTCTTTTTCTTGCCCTGCTTTCTATCGTGCTGGTAACACCTCAGGCCCGGCGTACACTTAAGCACTCATTTTTGGCCTGAGGGCGTTGGAGCATCCCATCCCCCATCCTGCCAGGCCAGCATACGCAAGGCAAAATCCCCATTTACCCGCTCTTGAGGTTTCTACTAGTAATCTCTGCTCGCCTTTTACCGCTCGTGGTTTGGTACCTGGCCTTGCAGGAATCCAACCCCAAAAAACCCACTGGGTATCTGGCCACTGAGTCAGTCAAGAACCCTCTCTGACGTACTTTTAATGTATCATTGGTACCGCGCTCCTGGAGACTTGGACGACAGTGGATCAGACATGCTTGAATCCTATACCAAATCTCGTCAGCTACCTCTCTCCAGTAAGGAGGCGAGCAACACGCACAATGATGTGAGGATGATGGCACCAAGATGGGGTTCATTGCCATCTGGCTCCGCCTTTTCAGATTTGGACGGGGACTGCAAAGAGGAGTAGGTGGGCTGGGTGGCATGGCAGATGCGCTTAGTCCAGCTCGTGCAAAATTACCGACCGACGGGGAGGCCAGTGGTCAATCACACCCCCCCCCCTTCCTCCTCCTCCCCCACGAACCTTTTTTTCTCTCACCCCTTCCCTTCCAAGGACGTGAGCTTGTCAAACGAAACGAAAAGAGACGTCAGATTACGGCCAACCCTCCCTCCAATTTGGGAATTGCGTCCTTTTTCCAGGTTGGCTCCCTAATTGAGGTTGCTTTGGCTGCCACTGAATACGTCACACTTGCCTCGCCATCCGTGCAGCCTCAACGTCACCCTCTCTCCCTCCGTACAACCCGTCTTTTCCTGGCTATGACCTGGACGAGGGGAGAATGTGCAAGTGCATGCAAATGGAGCCAAGATTCATTTCGACCAACAAGTCGCGGTGCGTTTCGCAACAAGACACACTCTTGTCCCTGTTGCATTCCAGCCTCAGATATGCAAATGAAGTTGGCGGTAATAATGTGGTAATGTGGTGTGCTACGTACCCTTGTTGCCGTACATACCATCTATCAGTTGCCAGAAGTCGCCGGGCGGCACGGTGTCCCAGAGCTGGGGGAGACCCTGAGGTCAGACCTTGCCAGGGCCTGTGTGGGTCCTCTCTGAGCTGCGTACAGTGCAGGTGCCACTCGCTGTCCTGCCCGCAAGAGATCCATAGCTGAACACTAGGCCCACAACTTCCTCCAACTAAAATTCCGCGGCTGACGGGTTCCTTGGATTTTCAGTCCCCCAGAGTTCGTTGCAGCCCAACAACGAAACGGCCTTCTCCTGACTTGGGGATTTGGTCTTGCGTGCCACTACTGCTACTAGCTACTACTCTGTACTATGGTTTGACTACCAAAGTACAGTGGTATTTGGCCCAGGTCGCATGAATCGACCTTACATCCGCAAACCTTCCAATCAAGACAATCGCCCTCGTGCAGTTTTTACCATGCATTTTGTGTGAGGTGGAATCTTTTCAAAGACACCTGTTCTCAAACATAACGAGAGGGAGGGGGTCGCGCACCCCGAATGTCAGTCACGGACTGGCCGCCACACGCGACAAACAGAGGCGTACCAAGTTTTGCGAGAATTCGACGTCACCATGGGGTCAGGGAATAAACTTCCCTGGCCATATCGCTGGTGGGCGGCCTCCATACCATGATCCGCTCGCTTGACAACAAGATACCAGGACACGCACACCTACATACACACACACACACACACACACAAAGTTAACCAACTGGAAAGCTGAAGGTTGAGCTACTGACACAGTGGGAGGGGGATGACGTGAAGATGCCTGTCGTCAAACTAGGCTGGGTCATCTAGTAAAAGTACCAACGACAGGCATGCAAGCTCACTCGTTGACCGGCTGCATCAACTCATCTTCGGCACATCCACTTTGAGAGGTGCGCGGCCCAGGTGGGCCCTACCTAGCCTACTTGGCTTCGCTGGATTTGGCTGCACAATTTGCAGCCTGGCAGAAAACGGTTTGGCACAAGTCTCTCTGGTGGATCCCAGAACGCGATGGCATCCTGTCATGGCATCCATGACAGGTCGATAAGGTGACCGAAGCTGCATTCGCCCTCTCCCTCATCACAGCCTATGCAGGAATCTAGAGCACCCGTCCCGCCAATACGAGAATCCCACCTTCTCAGCAGGCAGTTTTCTGCAGCGAATCGTGGAGCGCATCGTGCTATCACGGGTCCCCCCTTCTTCCTCATCAGCCAAAGGGGGGATGAAGAGGGCCTTGTCCTCGCACCACCTTATCCTGTCCACTCCACCTTACTGCCTCTCCTTCGAGAAGAAAGCCCTTGCCTGGCGGCGACTCAGGAAGCTTCCGCTCGAGGTCGGCACCTCGCGCAGTCGGTACCAAAGCCAAGGTGCCATGCTCGCCCCCGCCGCGGATCGCTGCCTCCTGCCGGATCTTTAGGGAGGGCAGCACGTGTCGCTTAATTGGAGATCTCCGCGTGCTAGGGGGGGGGGGGCGCGGATGGAAAATGCATGGACTGCCCAATCTGGAAGAGCACAGGCTGAAGAGGTGAGCAGGGTCCAGCCCCGATGTCACACGTCCCCATCTTCATTTCGTGGTGCCCGAGCCCCGGATCAACAGGATTGTCAGATTCAAGCTCAACGACAAGCGGGACTTCGAAACGTGGGCAGTGCCCATCTTTGTGGTGATCCAAGTTGCTCTGTGTCCCACCCGTACGGAACTTTCTGTAAGATTGGCAATGATATACAGCGAGAAACGTGGGTGACATGCAATCTCATCGAACCAGGCTTACGGCCTGGTTGCTAAACCGCTTTGATCACTCAAGCCCACAGGTACGGCCTCGAAAAGGCGAGTTGAAACATGATTCTCCATGGAAGTGACCAGACGAGTCTGGGGAAGCAATTTCCAACCGACGACGGCGACCTTGACGTTGGCGGGTCAGGTCGCCGACTTGGAATCAGTCCTACCTTCCCTCCTCCCTGGCAAACCCTCCATCTCATGTAACCACACGAACTGGTGTGATGAAGCAATTACAAAAGTCATCCCAGCAAAAACTCGAAATGAACAGACATCGGATCTGACATGGCCTCATGCACTGCCTTACACACCTCCCCACAGGCACGATGTCACCTTGTCGACAGCTTGGAACCTTCTCGGGCAGGGCCCTCGACATATACAGTAAACACAGGAGAGGCAGCCCGGGGCGGAAGAAGCCGTTTCTCTCTTGGCTGCCAGTCATCCATCACGGTGGCAACGCCAATCAATGCCACAAAGACTCGAGTACGAAACGGGTGATCTCTCTCTCCTCCCCCCCCCCCCCCAAGAGTCAGAGCCATGTTGTTGAGCCGCATAGCAGGGGGAGTACGATATTCAAAAAGAAGAGGGGCGGAATGTTGCTCGCACTTCGCTGACGCCGAGAACAAGGAAAGCTCAGACGGCTGCGTGTTTCTGCGGTCCCAAGGAGTTGGGACACAACCGACGATCATGTTCCTGTGACACTGATTGACAGCTGCTCTGCCGTGCAGGTCCATTTCATCGATCCCTTGCCATATATCGGTTGATCGTTTCACTCGCTCATGTATATTACCCGCCAGTATTTCATCACGGTCTACGCCAAGGGCATTACTCGCATATATGAGCTTTCATCAAGCCAAGTTGTATCAGACAGTAGCGAGGCATGTCTTGGATCAATCGGGAGTAGACTCGTTATTTGGCCAGGGGTTCCATTCTTGTCCCAAGAGAAAGGCTCAAGTCTGGTCAAAATTGGGGGTCGGAGTGGGCTGGGCAGGGTGATTCTTCCTGGACAGAGTCGAGCTGTTGACATGATGGTCGTGCAGGCAAGGAAGGCCCCGCTGGGATGGGGGGGAGAAGGGGAGGTGTGTGTGCGACGCCGTCGATGCACAAGTGAACATCGCAATTCAGGTAATCTGCGCCCTGAGATTGAGTTGACCATGGGTCCCGATTTGGTACAGGCCACCCCCGGATCTCACCAAGAGTGGCTCCCAGCACGTGAGCGACGAAGGAAGGCCACTGAAGCCTACTTACTCAGTAGCCTACTATCAAAGCACTACTATTTCGTACAGTATGCGTCGTCGCGGAGCGGCAGAGGGGGTAGAGGAGATGCGGAAGACGTGAGCCGGGCTGGCCGTTCACCGGCAAGAGCATCCTCAGATTCCGCGGTCACGAATATGGACCAGGCACAGAGCCAACTTTCGCCACACAAAGCTCCGCTGGCGATGTCTGTCGGGAGACACCCCCGGCGTGCGGCCAGGAAGCCGACGTCTAGGTTCCGGGTTGCAGAGGGCCAAACGGCATGATTCAACCCGTGCCTCTGACACCTCGAGGGAGCCTTCCTGAACGGGACAGCCTCATTTAGGTGACCCTTTTGCACCCGCAGTCTACAGCCCAGGTAAATGCCGTGGGAGATTGCTTCAGGAGGTCGAATTCTCCGCCCGCCGCCGGAGCAAAGAGGCATTCTCTGGGGGCCCACCGCAATGATCTGCGCAGGGGACTGTCTCAGGATCGACAGGGCCCAGGGTTCTACACCCTTGGAGGGAGAGTCGATCAACTGCCGCTTCTGCACTGTCTGGTGACACGCAAGTGGAGATGAGGTTACACTGGAGGCAGCTAGAGCAATCTCACGAGCAAATTTCTTGAAGCCTCATCACGCCTTCACATGATGGTGTGTGTACGTGTGTGCGTGTGTGTGTGTGTAGTATCTGCCAAGCGGGTGTGGGATGCGCAAGTCGAAGGCGACGAATTGTGCATTTCCCGACCACGAGACGTTACTATCAGCCCAAGAGCCACACCTTGAGAAGAAGAAAAAGAAGTAGGACGAGGGGGAGGGGGCGGGACCACAGTTCGCAATCAAGAGGGTCTTTTCTTATGACAGCCTCGTATTGATATCGATGAGGCGACTGACGACGTCTTGGCCCCCAACGAGGCTTACAAGCAGTTGAAGAAAGAAGAGAAAAGGGCAACAAAAATTGTGTTGATGCAGTCTTCCGCCAGGCGACACGATTGGAATAGTCCCCCGAATCACAACAGCAGTCGAAACAACGAATCATCACGGGTGCACTGGCCAGCAGTTCCAAGTGGACGAGCCCCTTACTGTCTGCCGACCCGAGTTTGGCTGACATTGCAATATTCTCTGCATACCATTTTGGCATGTGCATGGGCAAAATGATCAAAATACCATATTCTCTCACTCGAGGTAACTTTTTTTCACTGAAACATTTTCTTGCCTTTTCTTCAGCCTCTATGAGGGCATGCGCGGCACAATGCTGATGCTGATCTGCCGGCGCCTGCCTACAAGGAGGTTGGTCTCCGATGCCGACGCGAGGGTTACAAGCGTGAAAATTGATGCAGCTTTTGACGTGGACAACGACGGGATGATTCAACGGGAAGGAGTGAGGGGGGGGGGGTGAGGATTGAGATTTGTGGCTTTGGACGAAGGCGCCCCCCCCCCGCGAACGTGATTCCCGGCCGGGAACAAGCTTATTCTGACCATAGTAAGCTGGACCCTGCATTCCCTCCTGTCATAATCTGCCATTACTGTGGTAATTTATAGGGGCTGACAGAAACTGAATTGCACCATACCGTACTATACCTACTATGGTTTACCATACACGCACTGTGATTTGATTTTTTTTTCCCCTTCCTTCCTTCCTTTTCTTCTTTTTACCAGGAGCAGGCTTGCCGCATTGTTGAGCTCGCACTACTGCAACCAAAGACGACGATATCGGCGTGTTTGTTTTTCGTCTCTCTCATTCTTCACAATCTCTGCCCTCGACCCGCTCTTTTTCTTCCTCTCTTCTCTTGGCCCTTTCCTCTACTCGGCCAAACGGTGCCTAGTCAGGCAGGCCCTAACGCAAGCGCCACATTTGCAGTGAGGGTTTTCCCTGGTTTCTGTAGTGTCTTTTCAACAACGTATCCTCTCTTTCCCTATCTCCTCCCCCCCCCCCTTTTTTTTTTTGTATTCTCTCTCTCTCTCCCCCCCCCCCTCTCTCTAGCTTTCTCCGTTCCACACGAAGAGAACAAACACCGAAACGAAAAGTGGGGGGCTGAAAAAAAAAGAGCCACAGCTTTTTGCAAGCTATTCTATGTCGGAACAGGGGAACTCATGCAGCCATGAAATAGATAGACTAATTGTATACTAAGGCTTGCGGGTGGCTTCAAAAACGGGCGCTATCGATCCGGAAGACGATGTCCCCGCGACGCGCGCACTGCTTAGGCTACCCGATCTGCAAGCCACAATCGACCATGTACGCCATGACTAGCTGAACAATTATTCCCCCCCCCCTTCTCTTTTCTTTCTTCTCGTTTTGTTTCTTCTTACTCTTGACTCTCCATCCCCCACCCCTTTTCGTTGTTCTTTTATCCGGCGGGGCGGCATGATATCGTGTTCCCCATGGCTTTTGACATAATCGACTCCACTCCCACTATTGCTGGCGCTGTTAGCTCCACCCCCGTTCACCAACCTTTCCCCCCCCTCCCTCTTTCTCTTTTTTCCCCACCTCATTCTTTCCTTTCCAACCCAAACTCTCAGCAAGCGCTAGAGTGTCAGTGCGGCGAGGCGTGCACATCGTTGTACCCTGTGAGGCACGTGTGCTATTTTATAGTACTATCTGAGTAAAATAGAAAGCCTATATGGGACTAAACAGGGCTGCAAAGAGAAGGCGAGAAAAAGAGAGAGGGGGGCCCGGGGGGGGGTGCGAGAAGAGAGAGGGACCCTGCTGCAGCAGATCAGCTTGTGCAAGGTATAGCTTAGTAGCGCTTCTGCCGTCTGCTCTCTCCTCCCCCCCCCCCCCTCTTCTTTTCTCTCCATAGCTCCACCTGGTTTCGTTGTACATGCTATAGTACATGCTATAGTACATGCTATAGTATTGTGGCACTATGATATGCCTTCAAATGCCCACTTAGGAAAAGACGCGTATTATGGAATGGCACAAGTGGTACCGAGTGATAATACAGTCAGCACTGGGTGGCGATTCGACATCCTGGCGGCCACGATACGCTCAAATGCTGTTGTGGTCTCATGCGCTCATCCTGGCGAGTTCACTTGTGATGGGCAAGAAAACAACGTGTAAGGTCTTGTCAGGTCTTGTAAGACTCTTTGGAGATTGTGAATTAACAATCATCAGTTCTTTCTGTTTTTCTCCCCCTTCGTGTTCTTTTCTCGATTCTCTTTTCTTTTGCTATGTCAACATGACATATCCCTGGTCTATGTTTGGGGGGCCATCGTCCTGGCATTGCCAGCTGCATATTGTCGATTTGGTACAAAGGTGGAGGTGGGGGGCGCTGCCCAGCCTTGGGCTTTCATGTTAATGAGAGGGTGACACAATTACGGGACCCAAGGCGCAAAGAATAGTCTCACCGCCGGTGTCCTCGATGATGATCTTTGCTTCGGTTCCAGACAGTTGGTTTTTTCTTCTCCATACGTCGGAATCCGCCGTTGCAAGCATTTTGCGAAGCGGTATTAGTGCAGTTGGACATACGAGCCTCGCCTGATGTGCCGTGTCGACGGCCATGTCCTGCAGTTGCATCGTGTAGTAGCACGTGCCACCCGATTTTCGTCCCCTTGTATTGTCACCCCATTATTGCTTGTTTTGTTTTTGTTCCTTTTGTGCAGATCTCCTGTTCCGTCATATGCCCCCACGTTCTCAAGAAGTGCCTTTTTTTCCTTCTTCTTCTTCTCTCCCTATCTCAGACATAATTGGGTGTGAAAGGGGGGGGGTATAAGAAAGCAAAATGTTGCAGAGTGACTGAGAGACGTTGGCAAAAGAGGGTTCCGAGTCGCCGCCTTGGCGCTTGATTAGGTGCCGCCACTCGTGATCGATCAGATATAATAAGTCGCATCGAGATCTTGATATAGGCGGCGGCGCCAGCACGCCTCATTCTCGTTGCTAGGTAGACGGTACAGGCGCCGAAATGGGACGGGGTAATTCTCACCACATCGGCCTACCACGAAACCCTTCTCTTCTTGTTTTCTCGCGTGCCTAGACTAACCTCGAGGAAAGAGAAAGGGGGGGTCTACTTGGATACGCGCGGCAGAACAGGGCGAAAGTGCAAAAAAGCAAAAGCCGAAAAATTATATACATAAGAGAAAAGCCGAAGAATGCAAGCTAATTAGTCCGGGAAAACCAACAGGCGGGACAGCTGACGGACATTTTTTACGAGATGGTCTGTCTGTCTGTCTTGATTTGTTTGTTCGAGGGAGAAGGGGGGGGGGGGGGGGGTTGCGTCATGTCGTTGCTTCTGGTACGAAGATGTAAGATGGGTGGCTTGCTTGCCGCTCGCTGGGCAACATGCCTTGATCTCGCATGCTCAGCCTGCCATTTGTTATTGGCCTTGTTGATGCTGAGGAAAGACTGTATATCCTGGTCGTTTGGGGCGGAGGAAGCAAATTCCCACACACGGATGGGGCGCGAGCAGGCGAGCGAGAGAGGTGGAGGGAATGTATGGTTTTAACAGCTACCTCTCCACTAGGAGAAAAAGCAAAGGGGTGAAAGAAGAAAGGGGGAGAGAAAATATCGCATCGAGGTATTTATTGATCGTGAAGCATGTAATTGTTGTGGGCTCTGACGTGTCGAGAGCCGCCGAGACAGGACCGAGCCGGAATCAAGAAGGTCATCAAAACTGATAGGCCCAGCAAGAAGGCGGGACGGGACTGTGTTTTGTTTCTCAATTACGTTCAGGGCATTCCTATCGTCACAACGTTGGTCAATACTGCCGGCTAGATGCCGTTATGTAGAAGATGAATAAGTTGACGAGGCTGTTCGTGGTTGATAGACGATAACTAGACCAAGGCTGTGATGTAATAAAGTGTAGCACATTTGCCAGAGTGGGCAGCCTCCCTTTGGTGTATACTCGATAAAGGTATGGCACAAGATTTAACAGAACAAAGAATTATATTCATGTTTCTGATAACCTGTGAGGATATTCGAGGTAAATGGCTCCATTTCAGCTATTCTTGTCTGGTTGCTGCTGCTGATGCTATGAAATCAATGATCAGATCTATGCCTCAACGACTGCTAACTAAACCATGGGCAACTCGCTTCGTAGAAGAATCACGGCATTGACACTGTCCATAGCTTCAAGATTCAAAAAGAAGAGGGGCAACGAATTATCCAATAGCGAAACCGAGAAAAGGACCAGTCCGAATGCGGTGCTGCATTGTTTGATCTGACGATGTAATATAACCTTCTCATCGAGCCAGCTTGTCCGTAATGTGATGACAGCAAACTCATAGATCTCATGCATTTCAAGGTGTGTCACATGTAAAATTGTATCAGATAATCGCAGTGAGAACATGTTTGGTGGACGATAGGCTCTTGACATCAGACTCTTGATGTCAGCCAAATCGCCAAACCACAGGTTGAGGAACACCCAACTGTTTGTTTGTGCACATTCTTTGAGGCAAAACTCCAAAACCCAACAACAACAAGATTCTGGGGCCACAGCGCGAAGTATACCCTTGTCCAGCCCTTTCCCAAGCCAAGCCTACATAGCAGAGTGTGTCGAAGGCACTGGGTGGATTAACAGCAGACTGCTCTCAAGTCGAGCAATTGCCTGGCGCAGCTACCCTAGGTGCAGATGGTGCTACCCAGATATTCAAGTGAGAACGGGGCATAAGCTGATACAGAATAAAGAAAGGGGAAATTGGCATCACGAGTTCAACTGTGGTTGTGAAGTGAATACGAACTCTTGACCGTAATCAACAAGCCAAGTGCGTTCTGGAAGCTGGTTCTAGATCTGTTCTGGCAGCTTCGCTTCTCATGATTATCTAAACTTACTTCTGGCTTAAGTATTGAGGTTAATTGCTCCATATCTAAAGGACGCAAGTTGAATCAATTTGGAAAAAGCAGGGTTGTCCAAGAGGAGGGAAGCCTTACAAGAAAATAGCCACATCCATGTTGCATGGCCCTGTCACAGCCTCACAGAAGCAGACACTCTCACGCCAATGACAAAGGGTCACAAAAGCACCAACAACCTCCAATGCATTGATTCAGCCTATATTATAATGACGCCCAGGATCACCCCAACACCTACTTACTACAACACGATAGCCAGCTCTCCTCTATCGATACCCTCTTCTGTCAAATTCGGATAATAGGGGACCATCGCATCCGCTTGCATGACATACGCATCATTATACATTCGCCAGAATGGCTGTCTGACCTTCCTGGCCGGGTGGAACAGGCCCGCCCAGACGTAGTTCATCACCAGTCCTGGTCCAATAGCCACGCGAATGGCCTCAATTGCCTCGATGACCCGGTCGATCACGTGCGGGGACTGCTCGTACGCATTAGGCAGGATGAGGTTCAGACAATGGAGCATGGCATCTTCGAGTCCGAGACCGACGACGCCTAGAGCAATGTGCTTGACCACGGAGGCGGCGGTCTGTCGGTGCACTTGGTCCCTGTCGATCAGGGCGTCCTCGAGCAGCGGCACCACGGCATAGACATAGTCCTTGGCCATCTCGCCGATATATTCGAAAAGGAAGGAGAGCGATTTCAGTACACCGGTGCGCACGTTGAGCTCGGCGACAGAGGCGTATTCGTTCATGATGGCAGGGAGAACTGTGAATGGGGCACACGTTTCCGCCACAATACCGATAGCCTGTAGACGTGTTAGCGGTTGAAGTAGACATGAAGAGAATGCGTGTGTTCAATTCAGGTAGGAATATGTGTAGGGCGAAAAGAGGGGGCTCGCAAAGGGATTGCACTTTTACTCACAACAGCGGTATTGACACGACTCTGGCGCTCTTGCACTCTCAAGTTGGACAGTAACGTTGCCAGCACATCCTGCGGACCAATAGCTTTGGCGATAAAACCAAATGTATTGTTGGCAGCTCTCCGAATGCCCTTCTTGTGCGCTTTGAGCATGTCGAGCAGCTCGAAACAGATACGCATCCACTCTCTCGCGTTGACGGACTCGGGCCCTCTGTCTGCAATTCGTCCGACAAGATCGACGACGTTCTCCTGCACCCGCTCGTGGCGATTTCGCAGAATGGGAGTCAAGCGCGGCAGCAGGTCCTTGATGGGCGGCTGCATCTGGTTGATACCAACGACGGTCACGATGGACCGCAGGGCGCCGAGAATGGCGCCGAGTACTTCGGGGTACTCTTCACCCAGATATTCGTACAGCACGATGCCGAGTTTGCCTAGCAGAGCGTCCTCCCCGCACTGCGCCATGACCATCGCAATGCGTGAGATGAGATCTGCGGCCTGCTGGCGAGTCTGCGCAGTCTTATTATTGAGTCGCCAGAGAATCGTGCTGACAATCTGGGGGAGGTATGGCTTGGTGCGAGTGCCAAGTGCGTTTACACACGAGCCAAACGCGTTGAGAACGACTACATCCTCGACAGACTGTTCCTGGAAGGAGTGTAGAATTCCGTCAATGAGCCGTTCTTCCAAACGCTCACCGATGTCAGCGGCGCCCAATGAGGCGACCAGCTTCTCGATCGTTTCCACGGTCATCTTGCGATATGCTTCACTCTCGTCTTTCAGATTGCCCACAATCCTTTCTAGGATCTCGCTGACGCCAACTTTCTGTCCAAGATCACACGTCGTCTCAACGACCGATCGGTAGTTCCGCTTGTCGAGAGCAACTCTCCGAACCCAGAAGTTGGAGAAAAAGTCGTCAAGTACGTGAGACTTGAGATAACCAGCCGTCACACCCTCTGTCTGTGACATCTTGGACAGAACCGTCAGGACAACCCGCCTCATTTCATCGTCAGGGCTCTGAAATTCCCGCAGAACGACGTCCATGATCTGCGAGGTATAATAGTTTGCATACTCCTCGTCCATCAGGGGGATAATGAATCCAACAGCCTTGAGGAATGCTGCCAGGTTCTTTCCCCTCTGCCGCTTGGTGCCCGTCCACAGAGGGTTGAGGATGCTGTCGAAGCTCTCAATACCATATGGGTTGGCAGCTTCTGCCAATGCTGCTGTTGCAAGAGCGGTAACGGTGCGCACCTTGGTCTGCTCGTCGTTGAGGTTCGGCCGGATGCACTCCACCAGGTCAGTTAGATGAGGCAGGACAGAGCAACCCATGAGGATAGCAATTTGCTGTACAATCTTGACACCCGTGTGCCTTGCCTGCCAACTCTTTTTGGTCCTGGTAACGGCTCTCAGGAAGGGGATGAGGGCAGGTATACCGAGCGCTGATGCAACGACAGCAAAGGCCCGTGCTGTGGTGTTTCGCACGTACTCGTCAACATGGTCAATATCTGGCCGCATGGTGCTGATCATGGTCGATAGCCCAGCGGCTTTCGCCAGGTTGGAGATGATTTCACGGCCTTCGACCCGGGCATAGTAGTCTTGGTCGATGAGAAGGGGTTCGATGACTACCAGAATCTTGTGTGTGTAGGGTCGCACCAGCTCGTCGAGCTTGTACAAGACTCTGTCGATGACCTTGACAAGCAAGTGGCGCTCCTGGTCCTCGAGGGTGCGCTCCATGAGCAGAGGCAGGATCTGGTTGAACAGCGGGCCGGCACCGAAGCTTCGTGCATTGTCGGTCAGCTGTCGCAGTGCAGTCTTTCGCATGGGCGGTGTACCGTTCTTGATCTTGAGCAGCAGCCTCATGATCTTTCTCTCCTTGAGCTCCTCCACGGTCAGGTGGTCCTCGTCAACGCTCTCCGTCAGCTTGGAGAAGTATTGCATGTCCTCCGGCTTGAAGAACTGCAGGTCGCCCACACCGGGGATCTCCTTCGGAAGCTGGTGTGCTGCCAGTCGAGAAGAGTTGGGGTCTTGCATCATGAACCCGCCTGCTGGGGCAGGCGTCTGCATTAGCTTGTGTGCCGGAGCACGCACCGGGGCGTATCCTGGAGGTGGCTCGAGGACCTTGTACCCTTCCGCCTCGCCTGGCAAGATGGCATCGAGCTCTTCGTCGCTGATGGGCGCGTTGCGTGCCGAGACCTCGGCCCCAAGAGGCGGCACAGGCACCACTGGCGTTTGAGACGGGTGCATTGGTGTCGCTAGTCCTGCATTGCCGACGGGCGTAGCAGCCGGGGCCTGGTCCCAACGAGAGCGCTTCTTGGGAGCCTCTGCTGCCCCAGGCATGGGAACCGACGGGGCCTCGTCCCACCTCGATCTCCTCTTCGTCTCGGGCGCAGGTGTCGGCTCCTCGATCGTCGCTACGTCCCACCGCTTCTTTCGCTTCCGTCCAGCAGCAGCATCCGTAGAGCCGGCCTCCTGGTTCTCCTTGTCGCCTTCGGTGAGTGTCGGTTTGTGTTCCGTCTCCTCACTCTTCACCCCGTCGCCATTTTTTATCTTCTCCTCGATCGCCAGCCTGACTCGCGCCTCCTCGCGCTCCAGGTCCGCCTTCTCCATAATGTCCCTGTACGTCTCGCCCTCTCCATCCGCCGCGCCTGCCTGCCTGTTCGCAGCAAAAGGGTCGGCGCGCGTGGGCGTCAGCACGCGGTTGAACCTCCTCTTCTGGTAGTCCGTCTCGCGATCCGTAATGCGGTTGCTGCGCTCGCCGCGCCCAGCAAGGACATCGTCCTCCTCGACGCCATCGCCGCGTGCGAATTCGTCGATCTGGGCGCGCGTCGCCGTGTACTGGCCGATTAGGCGACGGGACCTGTCATCGCCGCCATCGACGTCCATGTCATCATCGTCCGCGGCGGGAATCGAGGTGTGGTAACCGGCAAACTTGTCAAAAGGGCGATCGTACAGTTCAGTGTCGAAGGCCTCGGTCAGACTGGCCTTGGTCGAGGACTCGCGCTGGGACGAGGGATCGCGTGCGCTGCCTTTCTTGGCTGCTGCGGCGGCGTTGCGCTCCGCCTGCAGCTTGCGGATCTGGTCGAATTCAGAGTCCGACATGGCTACAATTGAGTTGACTACATGTATCGTGGTCTTGAGTCGAAAGAAGAAAGGGGGAGGAGTCGGTTCGGAGAACGGGTGTGATGGTGTTGTACTGGCTGTGGCGATGTCGCGAAAGAGAAAAGAGGTGTCGTTGAATTTGGCACAAGGCTGGAGTGGATCACTTGTACCGATACTGCTGCTAATGCTGCACTTCCAGAGGTGAGTCCTGCTTAGTCAGTTGCTGTGCTCCAGGTTCTAATTTTCACTACCTCAGAATGGGCAAGGTTGATTTGACTTCTGCTAATGCCATGAAAACGGGAACATAGAAGGAAATGCGCTTTTACATTCCCATCTTTCACAACTAATGTACCTAATTCTTGAGATCAGATTGTTGGTTGTCCTCAGAAATAAAAAAAAACTAAATCACGATTTGGCTCTATTCATAATGTGAAGGGTATCTCGGTGTCCCCACCCAAAACTCCAAGGTATATACAGCTGTGAGACAGCCTTGTCTCTCTTGTCCTCCTGCCTTTGTTTTCATCAATACCCCAAACCATGATCTCTAGTATTCGAGGTTGCAGTAGTAAATGCCCACATTGCTTTTCTTCTTCTTTTCTTGTCCAATAAACTTACAAACCCATGAATGCAACCTTTCTGCAATGAATCCCGAGGTGTCCTGGCGCACACGGCCTGTGTGTAAAAATGCGAGGATGTCGTCAATGGAATGTCCTGACAGACCTACCAACTGTAGTACTCGAGGATAATGTGAAGAGCAAAAGATTTCTCGATCTCCCTGAAGAACTGCACCTGGATTTGGACTTGTCTTGCGCCCATTGCTTAGCCGTGACAGGGCTCTCAGCGCTCTAGTCGGTCAAGAAGCGCCACTGTCCAGACTCCCTTATCAGGGTCGAACACCTTGGTCTTTTCATCGAGGGGCAGGTAGTTGTTGCTCTCCTGCAACACACCACGAATATCCATGATGATGTCGTCAGGTAGGTCCATCTCGTCCTCCTCCATGGCCTTGTCCTGAAAGAGCACCTTCATGGCGGGTACCTTCTGCTTCTCCTGGCAAGAGAATTTGATGTATGGGTTCAGGACCCAAACCGTGATTGACTCTTTGTCACCCTGCAGGACTATCTTGGCCGAGCCAGTGCGGGCCTGCATTTCCAAAAGTGCGGCGGCCAGGCAGTGTGAGAGGCTGGGTAGGCTGGCAGGCGGTTGCGAGTCAAGAGAGGGGTCGGCGAGTTTTATCTTCCACTTAAACAGCGAGAACGCGTTCTTCCGATGCTCAGAGTGGCCGAGGTGGGTACTGCAACCGGGACAAAACACTGCGGTCGGCACGTTGACAGAATTCTGCGAGACCTGCATGAGAGGGCTGGCTCCGTTCTCAGCTCCATTTGGTCGCACCTGTATCAAAATTAGCACATGAGTGGTTGTGGATGTGAGCATATCGATATATGTAACTCGGCGCAATCCAAAGCTATCCATGACTTTGGATGTTTCTGCGAAAGGGTCGAGTCGTTCCAGCTCTCTGCCCTGGAGCAGACGAACCGCATCGCCAAGACGAGGGTTCATAAGCACCCGGGCAGCTCGCCTCAGGCAAGGCGAGCCGGATCATTCTTTCTTGGGCACTTGTATCGATACACTGAGACATGGAGGAAGATCACAGGGATCTTCCAGTCCAGCGACCTTCTTTGTGCCCGATCTACATTTCCGTTTGTTGGAAAACGAGGTCAGGAGGATTGAATTCAGAGTACTGCATACCGTGAGTGCCCGACAATGATCCTCGTAGAACCACATTCTCATCAAGTCCACAAAGCCGACGCCTTCCTGCGCAACGATGGCAGAGTTTGCACCATAGCCGCGCGAGGCGAGTGCACTCTCCGAAGCCTTCTTCTCGTCCTGTCCGTCCTGGCCGCTTGCCCCGTCCGTCTCGCCATGAGCGTGAGTAGTTGGCTTATGACAATGCCAAAACTCCATCATCTCTGCCCAGTTTTCGCTGGGAAGGTCTTTCCACTGCCTCAGGTCGCCCTTGGACACGATGAGAGCCGCACATTCGCGACAGACAACGTCCACGTTGGGGTGGAGATTGGCTGCGGACCAGGGCACAATGTTCTCCACGGCACTGCCAGTGAGCTCATCCTGTCGGGGTACCAATCGCCAGCTCATCTTATCCAGACCAGGGGGTATCACCTGAGGAAGGTGCTCGCCTGCCAGGCGTGACTTAACAGGAAGAACCAGCTCGGTGGTGACGCGCTCATGATAAACCAAGAGTCGCGATGCGTCGGCGGAAACAAGAACCTTTGTGCAGTGGGTGGACGGGGTAGGGAGATGAATGACGACCGACATACGACCAAGCTTCGGCAGAAACTCTGCGTATAATGAGGGCCGAGACTGCTGTGTTGGCAGGGTAGCAACAGCTGGAGGATCGGGTGGGCGGGAAGGAGGGGTAGCCATGACGGCCTCGACCAATGTGATCACAGCTTATATGTACAGAGGAGAGTGTGGGAAGAAGTAGTCACGTTGAGAAGACGACAGTTGATGCTCAGGTGATGTTGCGAAGTCCTAATGTGATGTTGGAGTGTTCAAGTTGGGAAGGAGTTTGAGCAACAACGGCCAGTGGAGATGGGCGCTACTGGAAGCTGCCTACAGACTTCAACCCTAACCCCTGGAAAGACGGCATATGAGAGCCTTGGAAAGGAGGCAAGACAACCTGATTGAGGTTGAGTTTCTATGGAATTTTTTTCGAGAAGAAAGAAGGGAAGGAAAAGAAGGATGCCAGTCAACCGTGTTGCTCTTTATTACACGTCAATATTCGCGGTTTGCTGCAGTGCTCTCCGGGCTTGCGCCTCCACCCTTGATCTTGGTATCTCGATGTATTTATTCCGAGGCCGAGAAGTCGCTTGAACACTTGGTTGTAGGGGCGAGGGGGGCTTCAAATTATTGTACTATGTACTTAGGTTATTATGATCAAAATCATAGTATTTCACGGTTAACATGCCCTTCCTTGACTCTAAATTACATCTGATTATCAAATATCGCTGATCATCGTGGCCTCCCCGGCTCTTGCATTCACCACAACCCGCCCTCTTCCTTACTGAGGTCCCATTTCGGAATGCCCCAAGATATCATGACGAAAGAAAATGAAGTTGATTGTTGGAAATTTCTATGGACCTTAATTCATTCTTGTTTTGATTGAGCTATTTTCCAGTGAAAGGTAGTGATTACTGTCATGATGCTTTGATGGCTTAGGCATAAAATCACACTGGAACATGTCTTCCACAGGTACGTTGTATCTATCGTTCTCAGCTTCCACTTACGGTATCTAGTCAATGAGTCTTCAAATGTGCTCTTTGACTGTCGTTCTTTATGCTTGATAGTCTTGGTCTGTAAATACGTCTCAGTTTTCAAAGACACCTTCAGTACGGTCGCACTAGCAGTACCTGATTATATTTCTCTACATCTCGACTTTGAGGTCGCAGCAGCAGTGGCTTAATATCTCTTCTCCAACATACTTAAGCACTTGTTGGCAAATGCAGGGGTCCTTCTCGTATACGCTGGCCCTGGTGGTAATAACATGCAACACCATGTACCTGGAGCGTAGCATAGATTTCTAATGTCAAGTAAATTATCTTCCTCCATCGTGCCATCAAACCTTAAAGGCTGAAGGCTCTTGACAGGCGCAATAATGAAACCCTAGCGCTCTGCTTCGATGAAATCTCAGCCTCAGTCAAGCCCAGTGTGACCTCGTCGAGCGATATTAGAAACCTTTTCAGGCTCTGAACTGCATACAAAGGGGCCAACTCATATAGACTTTTTATTAAAGGGTCGAGAATGGTAACTTTGGGGGCCCTGCTGAGGATTCTAGACCGTCCAGGCCGCCTGGGCAGCCTCGCAGGATTCGCCTTACCTCTGCTTGCACCACTTGTAAAACACATCCAGCCAGTACCTAACTCTGGACTTGGCTGACCTGGAACTCACAAGACATCCACTTCACATGCATGGCTCCATTCCACAAGAGCCTGATGGACGAGGTTCACATGGCGTGAGGAGAAAGGGAGGGGGGTAAGAAGAAGAAAAGGACTGGACGGTGTTCCATGGCTAGGTAGTACATACATGAATAAAGTTTTCGGCGTCAGTTTCTTGCCAGTAATTAAGTAATAAATGAACTATAAACCTCGGGTTGGCAGCTCGGCAGGTGTGCCTTCCGTTGACATCTCAACCGCCATCCCTTCGTCTGATTTGAAACGTGCGTCCATCGGAGTAGCATCGGGCGCCGACTCCAACCCCAAATTCCTTCCCTGACGGCGGCGCATGACAGCAAAGCCCAGCCCCGCCACCAGCAGGCCCATTCCTGCCGCTGCCGCTATTGCGACGCCAGCCACTGCTCCATTACTCAAGCCGTTGCTGCCCTTTGACTTGCTGTCGTCAGACGACGTGTGGTCTGCCCCCGTTGTGTTTGTGGAAGAGACGCCCGTGGCTGTGGCCGTGCCGGCGTCTGATGCCGTAGCGCTCGCTGTTGCAGACCCCAGGGTCACAGTCGTCGCCGTGGAGCTCGACCCGCTGGTCTCAGCAGCCAAGGCCATGTATATGTTGATATACCCATACGCACCACATGCGACCTCTGAATTTCCAGGACACGCCGCGCTGCACGCGGTATCGGGGGCAGCGTACATGCTCATCGTCGAGACGGGTATAGTCTTGTCGCAGAGACACTGGCTCGTATCCTCGAGGCCAAAGGCGCCCGTGTAGCCCTCTAGTTGCCCGCACGAGTACTGACAGGACGACGGGCTGTTCCCGGGTTGACCCCAGAAGATCTTGCCCTCGAGGAGTCGGTCCGCGCCCGGGTCGAAGAAGCAGCCGACGTAGCTGTAGTTGGCCACAGCGCCTACTGTGGGAACAGAGCGGCGGAGAAGCTCCACGTTGTTGGCATGCCAGACCTGTGTTGGGGCTGGAGGCCGGGCAGTAGTTTTATGGGCGTCATGTCCGATTGTTGCTGATACAGGCGTTGAGCGAGGTGTGAAGTTTTGCGCGCTGGAGGCGATTATTTGCAAGGAAGACGAGATCAAGGCAATTAAGATGAGATCTTGATAAAAGCGGCAAGACAACGTGGGCTGCATGTTTTGGAAATATTAGTTTAGTGACCAAGAGGTTTATGACAAGGAGAAAGATTTTCAAGAGCCTGAAAAATCATGATGATTTCTCACTCCAGAGCCTTGCCTTTAAAGAGGTCTGGCCGTTTCAATCACTGCCTACAGTTTCCCCTGAGACCGCGGGCCGGAGGGGAACACAAGACTATAGTATGAGATTTCAGCTTTCCTAGGACGAAATTTGAAGGTTTCCCCGACTGCTACGTTGTCATCACTCCGAATCCTATGGACCCCACGGCACCATACTGCACCACTACCACTACATCTGACATTCATTTTCAATTGTCATTGGATATTATATCGAGGGCATATGTATGCAGGTTCAGTACCGTCAACAGTGGAAGACGTCAAGGTGGTCAAGCTTACAGGTTCCTGTCCTGGTTTTGCTTATTTCTAAGTTCTTAAGTGCTTACATTGTGTACCTCAGCGCCTAGAGTCAGAGCTGCCAGAGCTATGCGGTGATGTAATTACCCATGAGTAATCCAAACCAACTTTCCCCCCCGACACAGTGTATTGCAGACTGCGCCTTCTGCACACTATATTGGATCCTTTTATACAACATATCCAAGGCCTTTGATTATCCGAAATTCAACCCTAACCACGGCTGTCGCAACAGATCCATGGTCGACAGGCGCTCCTGGGGATCAATTCTCATGATCGCACGGAGAAACGACACGAAAAGCTTCCGGTTCTCCGCATCCAGGTCATCCATATAATCATCAGATTCCAGACTGGGAAGCTCGAGGGGAGGGGCTCCCTTGACGTAGCCAGCCTCGTCAAAATAAGTCTGCACCAGCTCAGCGTCCCCCTTTTCTAGAAGGGCTTTGGGGAATGGGCCGAAGTAGGTAACAATCTCATGGAGATGCTGCCTCAGGTCGTAGTGACCATCGGGCGGGCCCCGGCCGTCAAACATGCGCACACAGCGGAATACTTCAAGGAGGACGGCTCCGAGATTCCACCAGTCTGTGGTGGCATCCCAAGGTGCTTGGATGAGCACCTCGGGCGCGCGGAGGGTGACGGGCTGGATGAGCTCGCTAAGGTGGTTGTCGGCCCACGAGGAAACGCCCCAGTCGCCGAGGGCCACTTCAAAGTCCAGAAGAGATTGGCCAAGTTTGAAGTAGAACATCTTGAGAGACTGTGATGGCACCGGTGAATATGTGTCAGCAAGCCTGTCCTGCACCACAGATGGCAACTGCTTCAGATATTCCGATTCGATGAGCGAGGTGTCCATGAAGTTGACGAAGATATTGTCAGGCTTGATATCTGGAGCAAGCAGAGTCGTCAGTAGGTTTCTCCAAGCAACGAAAGGGAGCCTTTGATAGTAAGTCTTACCAGTATGGATGACGTTGCTATCATGGGCGTAGTCGAGACCGGCAAGAAGGTAAAAGGTGAATCGTCTCATGAGTGGATTCGGCACCATCGTCCTGTTGAAAAGCGTGCCGAAAGTCGTTAGTTTCTCGCCCATAAGCTCCAGAACTAACAATAAATGGGTGCCATTGGGTCCAGAATGCTCAAAATCGTCTACTAGATGGCAAATGTATCTATAGCCGACATGATTCCTGTCAGCATCGCGAAGGTGCCGCAGGATCTCTCGTTCGAAGATGTCCTTTTCGGTGCCATAGCAGTCGGCGCTCAACACCTTCAGAGCGTAGTATTTGGCCTCTTCCCTGTTTTATGAGCAGAAGATAAGTATTTACTCAGTTCCGTGTGATGGTTGAAGATGAGTATGGATAGAACTTACGGTGAAGATGTGTCCCTTACGAGCCACACCGTGGAATACAGGCCGTACCCCAGCTTGCTCAAGACGGTGTATTTTCCGTTGTAGATGTCCCCAATATAGACAGGATGGAAACCACCAGGCTTGTACACGCCATTAGCCTTCCTCTATATCCTGTTCGTTCTGCATGGGTGACTCCGAGAGGGCTGGCAGAGAATCTTGCACGTTTGCTTTGGGTTGTTGCTGCTCTTGTTGCACGACGGGCGCGCTCTCTGGATTTTGACCTGCTAGCACAGGATACGTAGGATCATTGGATGTAGACTCTTCGAAATTAGACATATTGTTCAGAGTGGAGTGTTAAGCTGCAGCCTGCAACGTGCTGCTACTCAGCCAATTTGGCCTCAGTCCGGTTAAACAAGGCACTTTCTGGGTTTCGAATATTCCCGGTCGGCCCCGCCACTGTCCATTCGCATTAATCCGTGACAAGGAATATTCACCAATTGAGCCCCAGGTTGCATCAACAGCATTTCGACCTCTTCAGCCCTCGGCAATCAACTTTTTATTTTCCTTTCTCCCCCATGTTTGAATAACCTCGCAGTCAAGAGTAATTTCACATTTGACATACGAGATTCACAGTAAATCCTTAGTCAAGAGCGATTCCACCTTGGACTGTAGTTACTGCTCCTGATATCACTCGCATCAGACATCCCTATTACCTCTTCTTCCTCTCTGGTTAGCACCCTACTCAGCGCAAGCTCCTCCACCAAGCGATAATAGTCTTCAATACTGTGATTTGGCACTACGGACCACACGGACCCTGAAGTTTCGTTCGAGGCCGATAAGTTCTCGGCGCAATTCCTCGGCGGCCATCTGGAGGATCTGGTCAAAAGCATGTGTCCCATTATCATCCTGCGCAAGCCACTCCTCCTCATCGCTCTTCCAAAGCAGCCCCGGGCCTTGCACCTCGTCGATCTCGCACCGCAACAATACGCTTTCATCGCCAGTCGAAGCCAGCATCTCGGGCTGCGGGTCAGCAACGATGTACAACGTCTCCACACATGACCAGGATATGAACAAGTCTGTCAGGCATCTCCAATGATCTTCTTTCTGTCGGAACAAAGCCTCAGGCACAGCAAGGCGAGTAACTGCGCAGTGCGAGCCGTAAATCCGGTCTATGCGGTCCCAGCCCAAGTCATATGGCAGCTCGGATTCCTCGCCAAGGAAGGTATCCCAATCGTCCACTGTTACATAAATGGCGTCGGACTCTGGCTTGAAGGGGCGTACGAGCATCATCAAGCTGTCCTTCTCGACTATGCGCGTGTCTGGGGCCTGCTTCGCAGCCCAAGCGAGGGCAACGTCACGGGCTTCACTATTGACGAATAGCAAGGTGATATTGAGTTGAGAGTCGCCTAGGAGGGCATAGCAGAACTCCAGTACCCAGTTGTCATTCTCGTCCCCGGTTGGAGTATACCCGTATTCAGATTCCGTCAAGAGTCGATGCCTCCAACAACCCCGCTTGTACATGTATAGAGCTGGTCCAATATTATCAGGCAGGGCGTTTTGCCATATCTGGATGCGCAGCTCAACCGGGAGGTTTGGAAAGAGTGGAAAGCCAGGAGGAGAAGTGTTGACTCTTGATACCACACCAAAAGCGCTGGACTCCTCTGGTGGCACTGCCCGTGCCTGGTTCCTTGACATCTGGAGCTAGCTATTGAAGGCTGTACCGCATGTGTGTGCCAAAACTTATGGTTGAGAAGGAGGGGTTTCATGAAATATAGCGAGTATGTTGGCAACGATTTCAGAGTTGACGTGGCATTAACGTCATTATCTGAGATAGGACACAAGGGGCGAAACGAGACACTTACATATATACTGTGTATGAAAAGAAAATGAATAGTGCTGCCTGAAGCTAAATTTCCGTCTTAATCGAGTGATTGGCAGGGTTAGGGTTCAATACTGCTTCAAAACTTGTCAGGCGAGCTTCACCTGAACACTGTCGCCTTTGCTGCTAACCTGCTCGTTTCTGATGATTTTCACTCCAAAATTGCATCTGCCTGCACATACCTTAAGTAGAAAATTACGGCAAGGACTCCCAGGGCAACCCAGGCCAAGATTGTGGCTAAGCGAAATGGGTGGCAACAACTACTCCTGACAACAAAGATGCGAGTGCTATTACCTACCTTGGAACATGATTTCCATATCAGGTTGTCCCGCCAAGAAGAGGGAGAGGACTAGCATCATCATCTTTACGAATGTATTCATATTGGTGATGGACATGATGCCTGAGTACCCGCCTGCAAAACCCTATCACTGTAATTAGCAATCCGGCCTCAGTACCTTTTTGACAGCTCTGGGTCACTTCTATTATGCCACTCAGTGCTGAGGTTTAGCACTCCAGCACAAAATGCACGTTCTCCTACACTCTTCGACAATATCGTTAATCCTCTTGACTGTTATGTACTTGTCTAGCCACAATTCCAGATCTCCAAGGTTCTGCATAGAGCTATGCTCCTTTGTCTCAGGATATGATATAGCAGGGCCCTGTCTATCATGAAGCATGAACAGATATAACTTGGCAGTATCGGATGTCTAAGTGCCTGAGATAATATTTCGAGTGAGAGCTGTCAAAGAGAAAGCCACCTATGTACACATGCTGAGTCGTAGCTTAATGCAGCGTAACGACCGCACTCTGCAGGATCAACTATAAGCTTGACCGGAGAACCAGGGTTGCCAATGCTGATGATCCTCTTCGGCATGACGACCTCGCAGTCTGCTTCGGCGCATAGGTTTCCTTGATGCCTTGTGCGGCAAATTCTAGCATGCCTCAGGACGAAGTTTACCGCATTCTCCATACTGACCTCTTCCTTGAAAGGAGGAAGTAGTCTTAATGAAGGTAGGCTAACAGGAGGCTATTATGGCGATCGTGAGCAGCCATCCACCAGCCAAGATTCGCTGCTGAGCATCGAGCTTACCGTTATTCTTGAATACATGAGGTAGTGAAAAACTACCGTTCTGAAGCTTTGGTATGCATCATAAATCTGCAAGTAGGCCATGACACCAAGTGTCTCATTCGCAGCTTGAGGCCATCTGAGTTTCAATAGAGTGATTGTGTGGCGCTCAGGAGCCTGATTCATGCCTTGACACTCTAGGTCCCCAAAGTAGGTGCTCGTCGATTCCAGCAGGCTGCAGAATTCGCACTTCGGCCTGAGGTCGTCGAATTGAATTGCTTCTAATTCATTCTTAGTGGCATCTAAGTTGTTGCATATCCCGCACTTTCGAGCGGGCGCCTCCGGCCCAAGCACCGCATCCATGAACGAATCAGCGCGGCAACCAATACGGCGTGATGAGTTATGCCCGACTAATCCGACGTCTGTTATCTGGAATGTGATTTCGGGAATATCGAGGAGGCAGCCGTATTTGTATGTTGTGATGTGGCGCGTTGAACAACAAAGGAATATGATGTGCGTCCAGCCGAGGGTCATTAGCTTGAATGGCTGTTGCTACACAGCCTACCTACTTACCACGGCGTGTGGACGTATCTAGCTCCTTCCTTCTTACCCATGCCGCACAACGATTTGGGGGGCTTTGCGAAGGTCCAGAACGGACATGCACTTGTCAAACTGGAAAAAACCTACTTCTCTCTTCAGTGTAGGTACTTAGTGACCTTGTGTTGCAGCCGACCGGAGCACCAAGAGCACACCATAGACGCAGCTCCAGGGAACGGGTTTCTGTGCCCAGCAGGGGGCGATGAAAACATGAACATCAAATTTCTCTTTGAAGATGAATTCTGTTCACTATCTCGTCTTGATATGATGTTATAGCTTTTCATTCAAACGTTAATTGGCCAAATCAAAAGTGGGGTGGGTGCCCTGGGCACTTGAAGTAGGAATAAGGATAGTATTTGATATCCAGTACCACCTCGTAGGCAACCAGGCATACACACACACACACACACACACACAAGACAGAAATAAAGACGTACTCCGGTCCATTTTCTTTTTGTCTATGGTCTACTCCCGGCCCCCGCAACTCACAATTTCCCAACCCCAGGACTTACTCATCCTCCTCTTCAACTGCCTCGACTTGGGCTTCATCTTCCTCCTCGTCCAGGCCACCAGCGGGCACCTCGTAGAGGCGCAGAATGCTCTTGTTGGGGTCCTTGACAAGGACGTACTTGGAGTCGGCGCCCCCGGTCTTGAGGATAAAGTCACAGATAGTGCGCACGATACCCCAGCCGTTGGACAGGGACAGGTTCATCTGGTTAGCAAAGTCCCGTGGCTTCCAGCCTATGACGCCCAGGATGACATGCTTGTCGTTGGCCTTGGGGTTGGCTCGAGAGACGAAACTAGAGAAAGGGGTCAGTCGTGTAATTGCAGTGGGGGCATAGTTGTTGAAGGATGATGTGGAGCAGAAGGGAAGAGCATGAAATGGTGTTGGTGTAAGGAAGGAAAGAACACCCGAGACTCACCCAATCTTCATAGCATCCGCCTTGGCCAGGATGCTCTGCACGGTCCACCGCGCGAGCTTGCACGAGTTGTTCTTCATCTCGGTCGCAACGACCGCGCCGCGCTGCGAGACCAGCTTGCTGCGCCAGTCAAGAGCGCCGCCGCTTCCCTGCGCCTTGTTGTCGAACTCGTTGAGCGCGTGCACGGTAAGGAACTGGTCCTCGCCGTTGATGGCGTTCTTCTGCACAGCGTCGATCTCCGCGCGGACCACCAGGTACACGGGATCCTCGTCGTTGGTCGACAGGTCGAACTTGCGGTACTTGTACACCTTGGAGGCCGGCGGCTCTGTCTCGTGGGCGGCATCGTAGAAGGGGTTGCCGTGGGCCATCTCCACCTTGTTGGACTGGTTCTCGAGCACCACCTGGTTGGCGAAGTTGTGGTTGATGTAGGTGGCCTCCTCGGCCAGCGCGGCAGGCTGGTTGATGCTCTCCTTGGATCCCTCGGATGCCTCAAGCGGGGCGTCGTAGGCGTTCTCGTTGACCGTCACCATGTCTAGCGCGGCGTTATCGCGCTTGTCGAGGAAGACCTTGTTGCCCTGCTTGACGATGACAATGTCCCACGGGTAGACGGACCGCGGCGCGCACATGAGCATGGACAGTACACTGTCGGTCGCGAAGATGGTTGCCTCGTCCTTGTCGGCCAGCTCCTGGATGACAGGGTCTGACGAGGTGGTGACGTTGTAGGCGGCGCGGTCGAGCAGGTTGAGCTTCTTCTCGGCGGTCTTGACAGGCTGCTTGTCGTAGCTGCGGTCGTAGTAGTAGACGAAGCCGTAGCTGTCGACGTCCTCGCCCTCATCGGCGTCAAGGTTCAGCTTGCCCAGGCGGTTAAAGTCAATCTCCTCCAGCAGCTTCCAGTCAGGACGGATGTTGATCGAAGCATCGCGGTTCCGCTGAGGCTTGTCATAATCCTTCCACCCAAAGCGGCGGCCACCACGACCGCCACCTTGGTTGTTGCGTCCACCGCGCGCACCATCGTAGCCGCCCCGTCCCGTACGGCTCTGCTGTTGCCGTCCTCCACCGCGTCCGTCCTGGCGAGCACCACCTCGCTGGCCGCGGGTGCCACGTGTAAAGACGGCGCCGCGGCCGAAACGAGTCTTGGGGGCGTCGCGGGTATTGGAGACGACAGAGAAAGAGGCTTCATCCTGCTCGACGGCGGGGGCGGCAAAGATGGAGGCAGAGTTGAAGCCGTAGGTCTGTTGGTCTGTGGACGATGGGTTCAAGTCAGCATAAAGAAATGTTTCCTCCCCCAAGCAGAATTGCGTCGCAGTATGGTCGACGCTGAGAGCAGCGCACCTCGGTAATTTCTATTGTACTGATTCCGTCCACCCCGTCCATCCCGCCCGTCCTTTCCATCGGCGGTCCAGTCAGCCATACGGCCCAACTTGTCGCCCTTGGAAAAAGGTGCGTACGGCACGCCGTCGAGGGTGGTCTCGGTGGTGATGGTAGGTCCCCATCCATCGCCGTCAGGCAGCGCCGAGATGAGGTCGGCGATCGAGGAAGTCATATTTGCCCGTATTCGTGACCGTAATAAAAAGGTCGTACTTCGATTTCGGGTGTCGGGATGAGAAGGTTGCGTTGGTTGTGATCGAGCCACAAAAGGGTCGAAGTACGGTGGCTCGTTTCGTTCTGATTGTTCTCCCAGCTGGTTTGGGAGATTCGAGCCAAAAATCGAACTTTTGGTGGGGTTGGCGCCTAGTGGGGCGAATGGAAAAGCTTGGACCACCTCCCGGCAAAGGGTAGGGTTAGGGGTCTGAAAATGATCACGGCGCAGCCAACAAGACCACTTCCACCCTGGAAAATATCAAGCTGGTTTGTAAAATGAACAATGACTACGGTACTATATCTGCTGGGCAAGCCACCACTGTCTTCACTACAGCCTATTTGCATGACTTCTATTTGCACGACCCTCTTATGGGTGTGACTAGTATGTTAACCATGGGAACTTTGGAACTAGCCTTGGGTATGGTTCAAAACGCGAGAATTTTCATGATGTTACACATGGCCATTTTTATCATTAAAGCGTATTATTCAAACAGAAATCTGTGCAGTCATGTCTCTAGCATAAGCTGCGGGTATGAGGGTACAATGTGCTTTTTCATAAGCTGTGAGTGTGCAACAAGAAGAACAACCAGGTATCGCGCCGCTGTCTATACAGTCAAGAAAAAAGTGATCAAAAGTGAAAGCAAAACTGACTTCCTCATACCCTTCTTTTCTGATCTGATGGATGTCGCTCCTCATCTCTTATCCATCATCTATGCAGTAGGCTTCTCCTCAGTCTTTTCATCAGGGCCGTTGCTGTCATCAGCACTCTCCGCCCTCAGCTTCTCGCCGCCCAACACACCGCCCGACGCCGTGTTAGAGCTCGTGCGCTGGAAGTAGTCGTGCGCCTCCTGGCTGAAGTCGTTGTCCATGATCGCGGGCTCGCCCTTGACCTCCTTCTCCCGCCTCTCCGCCTCCTGCAACTCCCAGTCCTTGCGCAGGTCCGTGACCTTCTGCTGGAGGTCAAGCTCCGGGTTGTAGTGCTTACCGACGCCGCGCATGCGCTCCCACAGACTCAGATGCTTAGGGTGCACTGCGATGCCATGGTACTGATCCTCCTTCCCGGCGAGAATGTACTGCCACCGGCGCTCCTGCTCCTTGAGGTCGAGACCGGTCGTGTCGGGGAGCCACAGATAGGTGACCAGCATGCCCGCCAGACCAAACCATGGCACGACGTAAAAGCGCATCTGCGTGTCGATGTAGTTGTAGAGAATGGCAGCCAGCAGAGCACCAGCCTTGCCGACACAGGCAGAAAACCCGTGGGCAGAGGCGCGGACCGGCGTCGGGAAGACCTCGCCAGCGACGAGGAAGGTAACGGCGTTGGGGCCGAACTGGTTGAAGAAGGACGACAGATAGTACATGGCCTGGAACGAGTGGATACCGTCGGTAGAAGAGTAGTACTTGTACTTGAAGGCGGGGATGACGAAGCACAGGAAGCACGCCAGGAAGCCGACCTGCTGCATGGTCTTGCGGCCGTACAACTTGTTGTCGATCAGCAGCGAGGCCAGGTAGTAGCCCGCCAGCGCCACGATGATGTTGTAAAGGTTCCACACCCAAGTGGTCATGATCGAACTCGAGTTGTCGGTCACGACCTCGATGAAGGAGGACTGGAACAGCTTGTTGCCGTAGAAAAAGACATCGTTGCAAAACCAGGCGCCAGCAGTGGCGATGATGCGGCCGCCAAAGTACTTGAACGTCAGGCGCAGCGAGTTGATGTCGTAACCCGTCACGTTGGCCTTCTTCTTGGCGATCTGCAGCTGGCGGGAGGCATAAGGCATCTTGTAGGCACGATAGTAGGCAAGCCACAGGGTGCCCACGGCAGGGATAGCGAACGACAGGCGGAAGACGACCTGGGTGCTCTCGGTGCCGTATGGTGGGCTGCCGTCACCGTGGTGGAAGATGAGCAGCAGGACGATCAGCAGCGCCTGGTTGGCAAGCTGACCCCAGCCCTGCATCAGGAAGGCGGAGGTGACCTTGCGGCCACGGTGCAGACGATCCTCGCGAGTCGAGACCTTGCCAGCTCCCACCGCGTTCTCCATGGACGACGTGGCGGTCATAGGGTACTCACCGCCGACACCGAAAGAGTAGATGAACAGCGACCAGGCATAGCAGATTACCCAGCCCTCCAGGCTGGTGCCCCAAGACGCAGTCAGCATGATGAGACCGAGGACCATGATGAGAGCATCCTGGATCAGACCCCATCGACGACCAACCCAGTCACCGATAAGCTACAACGGAGGAAGAAGAAAAAAGGTCAGCAAAAGTTACTATTGGCTTTGTGTTGTATATTCTCCGCACGAGATTTTCTGGCGGCAATGGGGTTACTTACACCAACAGCGACCTGGCCGCACATAATACCGATGATCTCCAGGTATGTGACGGCAGCAATCCAATTGATGTTGCACTCTCCATCAACGGTCTTAGTGCCCCAGCATTCCTTCCAATTGTCCGTCTTGGCGAAATATGAGCTCAGGTTTCCGATGGAGAACAGGACGTAGCCCTCAAGACCGAGACCAGCACCAGGCAGGATCGCATTGTGCCAGTACCAGCTGAGGGGGCTCAGGGGATCCTTCTTGAACATGCGGCCAATTGTGGACAGCTCCTTTTTGGCCTCCGCGCTATCGACCTGGTGGACGAAAGAGATGCGCTGCTTCCACGGCAAGTCGGCCCAGTAGACACCCTCCGGGGTATAGGAGTCATCTGGGTGGGTGAGGTAGCCGAAGATCTCGCGCTCCTCCTGGGAAGTCAAGCCATGGTGTGTTGGGAATTGATATGTCTCGTCGCCGGTCGCCGGGCCGTGAGGCACGGGGATCTGGCCGACCGACGGCGGGTGGTGTCGTTCGTGCTCGAGATACTGCGACATCTCTGCAATGTGTATAAGGAGATGTGGTATAGAGAGGATGTTTGTGTGTGTATGTGTGTGAAGGGCTTACTGAAAAGCCTCACAAAGTGCGGGAGAACGAGGGCGATGGAGGCCGCACAGGAATTGTTGTGTTTCCTTGCAGAGCTCGAGAAAGAGGACGCAAGATGATGTGAGATGGAGGAGGAGGAGACAGCCTTTTAAGAGAGACTGGGCTGGCAGGTGGTATAGCAGAAAAATGCAGCCACTGCGGCTTCCACAATTCGATGATCCTGGAGGTGTGCGTGGGCCTGTCGAGCCTGCTAGTCCTGCGAGGTTAAAGATCACAGCACAGGGGGGCGGGGATCCCACCGGTGGTGGGCGGGGCAAGACGACTAAAAAAAAAATCGACAATTATGGGGACGCCGCCGGTCGGAGAGCTGGCTAGATCGAGAGGAGTGCCGCCACGAAGGCGAGACCAGAGATGTGGAGACCTTGTGACTGGGGAACACGATGCGTGTGTAGGAGAAGGCGTTGGTCAGGTGGGAAAGTCTGAAAAGATCTCTCGGTCAACGAGGCTGATCGATCGAAAGGAAAAGTGAATGGGCGTGGGATTGAAGGGCCTATCGTAGAAGAAGAGAAGGGTGGGAAGAAATGCTAAGATGGGATCTAGAAACAGAGTTCGGAAGGCCGGAGAGGGACAAGTGGACAAAAAGTGATGTCGATTTGAGCCTAAGCATGAGCACAGCCAGACCGAAGGAGAAATGGGAGGGAAGGAAGGGGAGAACAAAAAAATTCCATGAAAACAAGTCTCAAAAAAAATCAACCAACGGCCGTCTCCGAAGCGTGCCTACCTTAGGGACGAAAACATGAGAAATGTGCTAAAACGTCTTCAGCATAGTACATAGTTTTACCGCATGTAGCTGTTGCTAGGAGCGACATGGTGGCTGGCACTCATAACCACCAAGCTCTGCTGAGAGGTTAAGCTTTTTAGTAAGACGATCACAGATGTACTTAGCAAATATACATGAAATTCATGCTGCCATCATAATAGCCTGTTTGTATGCATGGCAGCATTATGCATCATGGCTCATCGTCGGTGTCCCCTTCTAGGAGCCGTAGCGCCTGGTGCAGGTGGAGGTGGATGGATCAAGGCTGATGTTGAAGCTTATCTTCTCAGCTGGTCTGGAATGCTTTGGCCAGCTCGATCATGTAACAGGTTCTTCCTTTTTCAGTTGCCATATGCAATATATCCTGTCAATGTGGCACGCTGCCGAGAAACGTGCTCTCAATGGACAGTTGCTCTGGCCCAATGGTCTTCGATGGGGTCTAACCCGGCCCGAAGGATCACCAAGTGCCCCCCACCCACCAGGATTTGATAGTCCTACTACCACTGCGTACATACTATTAGTAGTATGGTCAACATGTACAAACAAACAAACAGAATCTGGACGTCAGAACGTTCACCCTCCTTCAGAACGCATTCGGTTGGTTTCAGTCAGCCCCAACATCTTGGTAAGTCCGCAGCATCCGGGGCCCACCAGCACCTGAGTGCGAGGTAGTAGCAGCCTGCTTGAGACATGGTTGGCTGCATCACGATCCAACATCCACCTGCCTTCGAGGGTTGGTGGACGTGGCTTGCTTGAACTGCCTCAATGACTGCCTGCCATGGCTTTCCTGGGCTGCCTGGGCAGCACGGAAGGAAAGAAGCGTGACCTCATACCACAGTAATAAGCTTGCTGAGGCACCAGATTGTGGAATGATTGTTCTTCTCGACGGCTTGACGTAAAGGCCCCGCACGTGGAGGTTTTGTCGGAGGTGACCTCGCTGATCTCTCGTATAAATTTGGTGAATGTGTGTGTCGATAGTATGGAAAACAGGAAGAAGAAAAGAAAAGGGTGGATACTGGCCACTTACGGCTCAAACCTGCGAATCTGGAGGTACCAGCGTGCTATGCCCCTCTGTCTACACAATATTTTTCCAAACGAGGGCCCCCCCTGGTCCCTTTCCTGCGCCTCCCGCATGCCCTGTCTGCAATTCTTGCCTCTTCTGGCTGCGGCTAAGAGAAAGTGTGCATCCCTGGTGGGTCTCTAAAAAAAAGGACCTCGGGAGTGGGGGCCCTGACAGGGTGGGCCATAGTTTCCCCCATATTCAGGAAGCCAATTAAAGCTCGCGACATCCCACACGTGCGACAACGACAGGACGTCCGCTCTTCTCCACTCTTGACTTCATGCTTGCTCTCTACCGCCTCACCCTCTTTGTCTATTGATGCTCACGCATCAGCACCACACGCACAAGCACGCATACACACACTAGTACTGCTTCCCGTATGAACTATAGTACGGGTACGGATGCACCTCTTCGTTTCAGCTACTCCGAGGACCGAGAGGGCGAGAGAAAGAAATGCTTGCCCAGGCGCCAAGCTCGACTCCCCGCGAAAAAACGCACGCCGGATATCAGACCGATCACATCTTCACAGCTCTGCCAAGGGGCCACAAAGCTTGACGATGAGCCGCAACATACCTGATTTGACCTAGGTCGACGACATCGTGCAGGTCTACAACTTCCGCGGCCCGTTTTCAGCGACGTTCCGTCGTCCCTAACCGTCACGAAGCTCCCATCACTGCTCGCCGCTGAACTTTTGTCGGCTGTCAAGTTGGCCTCCACGGGGCCGTCGTCTCCCCGTGCCATACCAACTCTAGAGCAATCCTTGTCTCACTAGATATTGCAACAAGATACCGACGCATCAGGTGCTTCACCGAGGCCACGTTTTTCGGCGTAACTTCGCTCTAAGACACAACCGCCAGACTAAGCACCAACGACCTCGACTATTTTATATCCACCCCGCGCGTCTCACCAGATGACAGTGGCCAGAGCTGGACCGAGCTCGGTTAGGTCACCGAACACTCGGGTCTCGTGGAAAATGCGAACTCCCCTGGAGAAGGGGTCCCTGTCATATTTTACTGTCTGGTCAGGGACTACTGCAATGGCAGGCATCGGAATACGGACGCAACGTGGGCGTTGCATCCTGCATTGGCTTATTGCCCCGACGGGGATGGGTATTGTCATGCGCCATCCCTCCTGGTTCTCGTCGACCTTCTGTCAATTCTTTGAAAAACAGCGAAGCACATTCGCCCAACGGCTCTGGAACCCTCGCACTGATTTCATGGGCGCGCACAAGGTCACGACCGCAGCCTTCCGTGCCTCGTTTCCTGCATTTCATTGGACCACCGCAGTATTTACTCTCCTCCGCAAACACCCGAGCTTTCGACCTGGGGCTGAACGGGTCAGCTCTTTGTGCGGCCTCTAGTTGTCTTGTCTGTAATTCTGGACCCAACAGAATATTGCGCGGCAGCGCTCTTTCGATCCTAACACTTGCATCTTGCATTAGTGTGTACCGAGAGCCACAGACCCTGGCGCAAAGGATGTGCCATGCGAGATCCTCCCACTCCATTCCCAATCTTACTTCCTTTGGGACCATCTTACTGGATGAATGACTTCAGCAGGTCCATCTCGGCCTGTCCGATGGCAAGTCAGGCCTCCATCCTGACGAGAATGTTCAGGACCAGGTGAGTTTGCGGTCGACTATTTGGAGGCATGGTACCACACCTGTGCTTGAGTGGACCTTTGATCGAGCCTCAATTTCGTGATTCACCCGGTAGCGATGGCCAGATCGGGACTGCCCGTCGGGGGCTCTTCTTTCGTCGTAGCATTGCTGTTCATGCAAACAAGTTGATTCTCCATGACTTGAACGTACTACTTGTATCGAAACCCCCCCTTCGTAGTTGCATTGATATTCTATCTCCTAGAGGCAGGCTGGGAAGGCAGGCCAACATGCCAAAATTCGTAAACAAAAAACTTCAAACGGTACCGACGAGTTGTCGAATCATCTCGTAGTACCACACCCACACGGCCTTCAGCAATATATGCAATACATGCCTTGCTACAGAATGCCAGCAAACCTCGTGACACTTTCCAACCAGCCTCGGGGCATAGATCCGGGAGAGGTCGAGAAACATGTCAAGGTGGCTTTCAGTCAACTCTTCCATCACACTGCTACGGATAGTTCAAGGTTTGTAAGATCTTCCAAACCACTCCGTTTCGTGAGCCATGACCTCCTTGTCCAGCGAAACGTGGTGTTCTGCCTCAGCACTCATGAGAAGGGGAGGGGGGGGGGGGTGTGGAGCATTGCCCCGTCGGTCTTGCAGAAAGTCTGTGCATTCCTGCATATAATCTACCTGGGTAAGATGATGTGAGGGTTCTGACGGTACTTGCCACAAGACAACTTTGCAAGCGAAGCCCTGACCGTATCATGGGAAGTGGGTATTGTCTCTTCGGCGGAGGGGTATCTGGTTTTTTTTCTTCTTTTCTTTTTTTTCTTTCTCGCCTATCAATCGATAAGCTGAAACGCAGCCTGGAGAGCCCAGTCCTGCGCGGTTGGAAGCTGTTCGGTGGAGAATGAGGAGGATACCTCTGGCGAGCTGTCTTTTCCAGTACAGATGACCTTCAAGCAAAGAACCTGCCCTGGCTTTGTCGTGGCGAGTGTGATCGGAGAAATAGTCTCCAGCTCTGCTCCCCTTGTGTGTGTTGGTGTGTGTTGGGGGGGGGGGGGGGTATTAGACACCGAATCAATTCTCGAAATTCGATGTCATATTTTGCTAGAGGTTCAACAGCATCGGGAGTGACTGGTCGAATGAGGGTAGCTTGCGAAAAGTCATTGAGCAGAGAGCCGTTTCGCCGGTGCATCGGCGCTTAATCACTGTGATTCCCATCATCCAGGGCCTCGTCCTCTTCTGGCCTGTTCTCGCGCTCCTCGAGCTCGTCAGGATCCTCCTCGGCCTCGCCGTTCTCCTGATCCTCTTCATCCTCGTCTTCTTCCACCTCTTCCTCATGCACTTCCGCCTCGTCTTCGTCCTCGTCGGGGACGGACTCGGGGTCAGAGGCGTCATTGAGTTCGTCGTCGACATCTATTGTCGCTCCGCCTTCGCCGCTGCCGTCTGTCCTAGCCTTCTTCGCACGATGCTGACCTCCTGCCGCAGAGTCTGCGATGGAGTTCACCGTGGTATCGGCGCCGGCCATCGTAGTGTCGCCATCCGTCCCTGCCATCGATACATCGGCACCCGCCTCGTCGGAGCCCTTGGTCCCCTTCTTGGAGGCGGCTACCTTCTTGCGGTAGGCAGAACGCTTAGTCGTTTGTGTCTCATTGAACTCTGTGCGGCAGGTCAGTCAAGCCGGTCAGCCAGGTGTGCGTCTGTGAAGGATAGCGAGATGTGGTAGGCGAGACTGGAGAGAATGGTTAGGGGAGAGGTTTCGCGCACTGTTGAACTCGGCCTCTACGCGCTCGCGCATGAATCCGTACTCTATGTCGTCGAGAGCCCGGAACACATCAGCGGGCATGATGGTCTTCTTGCTTTGAAGCGCTGTGACTTCGTTGGCTCTAGATATGGGTGTCCGATACGTCAGCTCGCCCCCTCGTGCGCACGACTACTTTTGAGAATAGCATATATGTGATAGGTGACAAGACGTACGCATTTGCGAGGTGATTTATAAAGACCGTCGCGCTCTTGGTCATGGCGAGGATCGCGTTTGCTTGTATCTGAGTGTTGGGCGGGAGGACGCCCTTGGCGAGGCGGGTGATGATAGATCTTGGTAGCTGTAGCTCCTAAAGGCAGAGAAACACGAAGAGACAAGGCATCGTGTCAGCGGACGCACATGTTCCTTTCCATTCGGAAGGGTATTCTGTATCCGGGCATACCTCGATTGGAACGGTGACGGCCTCCTTCGGGTGGCCACCGGGCCCGCCGCTCTTGTCCTCCCTCTCCTTGCCCTTATCCGATGACGGGGTCGTCCGAGCAGCGGCACCGCCGACAGAATTCAGCGATGCGGACGCCGATTCGGCTCTGGGGTGGAAGCCTACGGCGTCTGCGCTGTGGGCGGACCCAGGCGGAGGCAGGCTCGGAGGCGGCATGGAGGTGTCCATGGCTGGAAGGGCGAGGGCAGACGAGGGTGCTGGCTTGGGTGCTGGCGTGGAGATGGGCACTGGGGGGGAAAGGCCGTCTTCTACGGGTCGGAATCTTGCGCTCGAGACGGCTGGTGCTGGTGCCAGTGGTGCCGGAGCTGCTTCTTCACCCCTGCGAGCCACGTCGCTCTTGCGTGGCGGCATGGCGTCCGTTGTTCACCCAGCAGTGGTCTTTCGTTATGGCGGTAAAGGGCGATGGTGGCGGTCGTTGGCTTCACAAACAGGCAGGCCAAGTGTGCACAAAGGAGAAGGGGGGGGGGGGGGTGCGAGGTGCCAAGGCGAGTTTAGGGTCCTTGCACTGTCCGCACGATGAAGACGAGCTTGTATAGTTGTCTATAGTTAGGACGGAAGGGGTAATCTGTAGGCTAGAGTAGTCAATTGTGAAAACTAAACGTAGTCAGCGCAGGCCTTGTCGTAAATATGTGGGCGCAGTCGTTAACAAGATGATTGAGACTATGGAGAACAAACTCAAAGTTGACTGCCCGCCTCAGCGCGGAAAATTTACAGAAGCTCCTGGGTATAGCAACGCGACGCGCTTGGGGGGTAGGCGGCAGGGGTAGGGCAGGGGGCTAACGCGTAGAGAGGGCCCCCCATTTACTTTGGGCGCCATACTGTAGCATGGTATGTTACACAGTAAAAAGCTGCTGAGGTCAGCAAGTGCCCTGTAACCCCGCTATAGTTCTCACGCTGCACAGCTTTCTGAGCTGTTGATCGATATGCTAGCATTCGAAAAGAAAATAAACTTACTTGTATTTCCTATCTCGGGAACCCGATAGGAGATGAGGTATAATTCGAAAGTCGAACATGCGATCATAAGGCACGAAAGGAGGTATGAATAGATGGGTCATGAGAGCTATGCAAGGAATTGCTGGTAAGAAAGGACTCGTTGTTAGGCTTAGGTGGCTGATGACCGACTCTTGCGATCTGTGGTGAGAGCAGCCATCATACTGGGAAATATCTGACAGTTACATCTAGTCGCAGTTGAAATGGATAGAAGCCCAGGAGGACACCGTTAAGTTGCCCTCATCTCGAAGGTTTGGCAGCTCCCATCTCAAGGGCATGTTCCTTGCTATCTGAGATTTGATACGCTTTACATGCCATATGTGCATCAAGGGAGATGAGCTTACTATATTCTCTTGCGCATATAAGATCTGGATTTCACATATATTGTTGCCTGTTCCGACTATACATATAGATATACAGAGCGAGCAAGTTCTACTTGCAGCTGTGCCAGACTGTCGTGGGCCTTCTCTCCTTCAAACCCTGCGCATGTGTGTTCCTGTCCACACAGACATCATCTATAGATACTAGTGATGCACGCAGGTAAGAGACAGGAGCGCAGCCCGAGTATCGAGAACAAGGCAATAGCCAAGGCTCGCAAACGCGGCGCACTTTGCAAGCTGGAGGGAACATTTCGCGCTCGCGCATACAAATTTGTGCGGAAAGAAATCAGACTTGCCACCCCCAGCCATTGATCCCACCCTGCAAGTATTGGGTATATCCGTCACACTTGGTCTCCTTCTCGTGGCTTCATGAACACATAAGGAAAGAAATAAAAGAAGGAAAGATTGAGTCCAGTGTTAATCTCGTTTGGAAAATGATTCCATATTGTGCTTTGCCGTCCCACCTGGAGATGGCCTTGGGGTGATGGTGATGTGTGTGAGGGGGTCAAATGGTGAAATGAGAGATATATGAGATCCAGGCTGTTCCTTGGTACAGTATTACCAGACGGCTGTGTTGCACTACACATTGTGGCACGGTACACACACGATTATAGTGAAACGTGGCGGTGGCAAACCCCTCGTATCTAAGCTCTCTCCCCCTCCACAAGGTCCAGCAGAGTTCAACTGCCAAGACGACAAGAATTTGAGTGCTGACGATTGACCACCGACAAGTGACCCTGGGGCTCTCATCCCAAGTGTGAGAAGCTTCTTGAGCCAATGTCGACGTCATTGCAGGAACAATGCTTCTCGACTTGACTTTGGAGGATTGGAATCCCTGGATATCGAAGCGAATATCCATCCGTCCGAACTTGACGTCTCGTCTTATCATATTGAGCGATCATCGTACACCGTGAGACCGGCTTGATTGAGATGACCCATATCGTCACGAACCATGGTTGATTCTGTCGACACCTCTCCGGGTTGTTTAGCGTCCCATGTGACCGAATCGATTGTTAGGTTTCAGCCGATGGCACGCCCAATCTCATCTGGTCGGACGAGGGGTCGTGGGGACAGGCCTCCGTTGCCGTCAGGCCAGTCTCTCGAGAGCGAGAGCCGCGGTGGTGGCGGCGATGAGACGGAGCAGCCCCTGGAGCGGTTCTGGTAGCCCTCATGTGAGTATCTGTACTCGTCCACATCCGAGTAGCGGACGCCGTCCCCAAGCCTGTGCAGGCTGGAGCTCGACCTCGAGCTCTTGTGCCGCGTGTGTGCATGTGGCGGGGCGCGCGGCGGCTTGTAGAGCCGGGAGCCCTGGCGTTTGGGGCTCTGGACGAAAGGAACATCGCCGGGAATGGCCTCGTCCGTCAGGCCCTCTCTGGCATTAGGAGCCCTGGCATGGATGGGGGTAAAGGGTAGTTCCTTGTCGAAGCTCGTCTTGCCGCCATCCCAGCTGCTCTGGCCGTAGTGGCCGGGCGTCGAAGGTGACCTGGCCCACTGCTCCTCGGACCTGCGGGCGTACACGATCACGCTGGGCGGCTTCTTTGTCGAGCTGGTCGACTCCTGCTTCTGGTGGCCTCTGCTGTTCGGGTCGGAAGACGAGAAGGGCGGAGCAGCATGGCGCTGATTGCCGTCCCCGAGCCCTTTCTCGTTGCGGTGGCCCTTCCAGGTCTCGATCTCGTCGTCTCCGATAGGCGTGATGCCGCGGCCAAACAGTCTCGAGCGTCTCCGCCGGTATCGCAGACACGCCCAAATTCCTCCGGCGAGTATGATCAGGCCAATGGTAGACAAGACCGTGCTGAGAATGATGATAGTTGACCGGCTTCCGTCGCTGGACCCCCCTTGGCTGTCCCCTATGCTTGTGGTCGCTGCCGCTGCGGCTGCGCTGTTACTACTACTCGAGGATGTAAAGCCGCTGCTTGAGGCAGAGCTGAGTGTAGATGTGTAGGAGGTCTGAGCAGCGACCACAGTAGATGGTGTTGCCCCGGTGGATGTCACAGCCGTTGTGCTCAAGGCCGACAGTGTTGGTACCACAGGGGCGGGGGATGGCACATCGCGTGGGCCTATTGTCGAATCGCTCCCAAGCTGGGAGGAGGGCAGATCTTGAAGACTCATGAGAGCGCGGTGGACCTGCTCTATAGCATAGAGTCAGGTGAAGATTGCCTGCATTGAGCCTTGTATCTCCGTAAATCGTGGTCCAGTTCCGATCGAGGCTGCTGCACCAATCATTCACTTTATTTCGTGGCCATCGGGTATCAGACTAATACATCGTCTTGTCAACATCATGAACTCTGCCAATGTGCGGCCGTCGTGTAGTAACCCAGAGCGACCTGCAATAACACCCAAAGTACCCAACATCTCGCGACAACATTTGGATTGTGTTGGCTCAACACAGCATTATCGTATAGCCAAGAGGTGGTACCGTGCACAACCCCCGGAGAGCCAAGTGAGTATCATGTAGACCGTCACCAACTCATCAAGGCGGCTGTTTTTGGAGGAGCAGAGTTCTTTTCGAGAGTATCTCATATAGGAACCCTTGTGAATCTGGCCAGCCAGCCTCCTCAATTCACCACGAAAGGGTGATGCAGCCAACGAGTCATACGCAAACAAGCACGACGGAGGGAAGGACGAGCAGACACGGGATAGGAAAGAAAGTAGCAAGACTAACCAGCTGAGCCAGCAATGGTCCTCGGAAATGTCTTTGATCCCTTCACAGGGTGAACGAGGAACAGACAACGTCGTGGTGTAAGGGAGAAGAAAACGAGCGAAAGATCCGGGTGCGGCTGCGCTCAGATCAAAGGAGGAGGGGGAAAAGGATTGTGTCGTGAAGAGTGTTAATCTTGGGCCCGGCACAGCAAAAGATATCCAGGACAGGGCAAGGAACCTCTATTAGACCTTTTCAACCATCTGAAGTGGCGAGGCGAGCGATGTATAATCAATCACCTGCGCAAGCTTGTAAGTGTCATATAAGCTTGGGTACGAGCAGAAAAGGTCCTGACAAGGTCGACCCGGGCACCGAAGTGGTGTCGAGAAGGAGGAGGAGGGGAAATTTTAGTATCCCACACACCTTCCAGCCTGCCACAGCACGCACGGTGGTGTGAAGCCGGGCAAGTCAGTATGTCTCTAGGGGAGGGGGCTTTGGCTCTGAGCAGTATCGAGTATCTTGCGTAAGAGAGAGGAGGGGCAAGCACCATCAGCCAAGTCCTCTGGCTGTTTCAATAGAGGGGGAAGCTGTCGAGGTGGTGCGGTGGTGGGGACCTTTGTGGAACGAGCCCCATGTATCGTAGTTGCCATGTACTGGGTGCGTATCGTACCTGCTGCTATCGTACTACGACGGTACGTAGCAAGTACTACAGCACTACTATAGTGTTAAAGTAATGCCGCTAGAGGTGTGGAATTCTCCTTGTGGTCTAGCGGCAGGGCCAGGGAATAAGATATCTCTCGAGACTCTTGCTGTCAAACCAGATCCGACCGGCTTCTGGTTCTCGCTATCGGTATCCAATGAGGCTTAAGATGCTCTGGTGGGTGGCAGCTCTCATAATATCCACCAGTCTGATTTCTTGGTTGGGCAGAGACTTGATGATTTCGCTACCTCCAAAGCAGCATCACTGGTCGGCCTCCTACATAGGACGTTCAGCAATGCACACATACACAGTGGTATTAGGGCCTGTGTCGACAGGTAGTAACGATGGAGCCGTTTGTCCTAAGCCGGCACAGACCCTCTCTGACGCGAGAAGGATTGACAAGGAGCAAGGATAGACCTAGGTTCTTTTGATGGGCCCCCCTGGCGATCCGATCAAGAGAGGGAGTACCATAGCAAGTCCCTCTTTTCACAGATGGTATGCCGTCGGTTCCACAACCCCTCAGGGGCCCAGATGCGAGACTTACACCGAACAAATCCTAACCGACTTGTCGAGACCATCTTTTGCATCCCCCTTCAGGCATCACATGTCTGTCCTCTTGCCCGCAATTACAGCTCCTAAGAACAATCCATTCTGGGCCTGTGGCTTAATCGACTGAGGGTGTTCAGAGTAGCCAATGTCTGCCTCTGCTTGAAGGATCTGGAGCATGCAGGCTGGTGACAAGGCTCATGGGCTAGCTGCTTCGGTCAGGGACGGCCGAGGATGCCAGGTATCGGTGGTGCCAGGTGGCACCCGCGCCGTGTGCCAGCAGCAGCTAGACCAGCTGGCAGGTGGAAGTGCCTGCAGGTGAGGTTGCATATGTAATTTTATTTCCATGGCCAATGGCAAACTCTAGCGACAACTCGAGCCTTTTTCTTATTTTTTTTTTCTTTCTTGTTTTTTCTGCCAAGCCCACTGTGTGCCATGCGGGTCACCATTTACAAGCCGGATTGGGGTCACCGATGCGAAGAGCCTAAGCAGCAGCAGTAACAACAGCAGTATCGGTGTACCGTATCAAAGAAAGAAAGAAAAAAAGGGGAAATAATAGTACCGCCGAGATGGTGGAGTAGCGGACCTCTGAGTGTGGCTCTTCATAGCCTCGACCGGAAGGGTGTGCGTTAGAAGCGAGGAGCCCTCTTGGTGCCTGATCGGGTGGTGCTGTTGGTGGATGGATAATGACGAGCCTGAGGAATCAGCCTGCACGTACGGAGCAGTTGCATAGAGAGAGAATGTGTGTGTGAACCGCCCCGTTGCAAATACGTCAGCCACGCACGCCGCCTCGCCAGCCGACAGCCTCATTCACCGATTACCCACCTCCAAGATACATACTTTGTAGCATATGACAGCTCACACATCACGCCGTGGCCGGAGTGGCTGCGAAGCGGACCCAGCTTGGCTGTCGTCTATGCCTCAGACATCAGCCGCATTCGGTCTGACGGCAGGAAGACCACCGCTTTTTCAAAAAGGACCCATCAAAACAGCTTGATGCTGCTGTTGGGACAAGGTGCCTCCTCCTCTTGAGAAGAAGAGGAAGGGGAAGACCAGGTGCGCGCGCTTATGGACAATGGCGGTGACCAGCTAAGCGAGATGGACCGAGACCATGGTCTGGCCTTGAATATACCATAGTATTGTTCCATGTGCTTCCTTTTCTGTTGATGCCAGATGAGGTAAGAACAGCCTTCTGTTCGTACTCGGACGGGGTCACCTGGGCAGGGAGAAGCTCGGATCGGCCTCTGCCGTTCCCAGGGTACCAAAGAGTCCCGATGATAACCCCCTCTTCACGGGATGTGGATAAGAAGGTGGTCCACACGGCCGATTTCTCCGCACACAACTCCGTAGTAGCGTGTTTTACGAGGAGGAGTACTACTGCATGTTGGGCTCACGGCGTCTGGGGCTCTCTTTTAAGAGAGCTGACTGACTCAAGGGGGGTTGGGATCCTTTACGCGCAGCCGAGCCCAAGGTTGGAAAGGGAGGGGGATTTCCTGACTTGAATACCGAGAGAGCCGACCTGCATTCGTGGATGGCGGCTATTGGACGCGACCGTTGGGGGTATTTCCTCGTATCCAGAATTGTTCTCTTTCATGTGTGGTAGATGATGTGTCGATCCCCTGGGGAAAAAAGACGAGCTGCTACTGCAAGGTACGGTATGTACGGCATGACAGAGCTCGGTCTGGACAGTCCTCCTTACAGTACCAAAGGCCGGTCTTGCTGACCATCATCGTCTGAAGATAGGGCCTCCAAGTCCCGCATTCCCAAGATAGGTTCGTCGTGGTGGTGGTGGTGTTAACGATTGTGGTGATGATTCAGGAACCAAAAGTACCGGGGGCCACTGAGATGTGGGCCATGCCTTGATCTGGCTCCGGAGCTACTCTGGACAGAGTAGAGAGGGCCGAGGGTGGTCGCAGTATAAGGTGCCAAGATGAGCGGCGCGTGCATCTGCACAGATTGTGGCAGCCATCACATGAGGGACTAGATGTAACGCTGGTCTGGTCTGCAAAATGATGCTTGACAAGACAGAGAATGAGAGAGAGCGAGAGAGATGTGAAAAAGATAGTCTCGTCAATCTGTACAACCTTAGCAGCATGCGAGGAGGCAGCCCTTCGGTCAGTCAGTTGCCATCGCCACCGGTACAAAAATATGATCGTCATTGATATTCGTTGATGCGACGATAGGTCGCCATAACGATTTTTCCTTTCTCGCATGCTCTGGCAGTCTTGTACGTTCCATTGGCTACCTGACCTCACATCGATAGCTCACCGAACCTCCACGACGGCGTTGGTGTGCTTTGAGGCTGTGATGATGAATGGGCGTGGCGGAAGGGGTCACTTATCTCCAGAGTAGGGATTCTACTATAGGACGGTGGTGTTGTGGAAGAGCCTAAAAGGCCCACTGTGTTCCTGAGCACAGGCCACACACAGAGCCCAGCAGTAGCAGATGGCAGGGGCAAGGATTTGTAGAAAGAAGCGGATGAAGCAGGCACAGCAGGGACAGGGCGTTATGGAACTTGCCGCTATTACCAGACCCTGGACCTTGGCTCTACCTTTCATCCAACTCCGCATTACCATGCAGCCCACAAGTGCCACAATCCTTTGAATACACATTTTTCAACTTGAGACCTTGACCAGACGGCAGACACAATCCGCCGCACCATTCAGTACCGTCCCAACTTGTACCCTGCCGTGCTGTCAATCTCCGCGTGCCTGAACAAGATCAGATCGTGCATGGCATAGCCGTGGTGACACACAGAGCGGCACGCAGATGAGCTTGGGACCTGGTTTTTGGTTGATTATCTTTCTTTTCCTTTTCTTTGGCTGGGGTTGTTGCTCTAGTTTTCTGCCAACGCAACGGTTTTTAGATGAGATGACCGCGCCATATTTTTTTTTTCTTTTCTGCTTATCTTCGTCTCTGGGACATACGGTGTGTCTCGTCTTGACTTTGGGAGATGAGATGAGATCACAAGTTCCTCTTTTTTTCCTTTTTTCCGTCTTCTTTCTTTCTGGTGTGTGATTGACTCCGCCGCGTTGAAACGATCTTACGTTTGCAGGCCGCGTTTCGGCGAGCGGGGTTTGAATCGCAACATACGGCATTCATACAACCGAGGACGACCAGGGTCACGATAACGCTGTGAACAGCACAGCAGCACACCATTTCCCTCTCTAAAGGCATGTCGACCCGAGGGTCCATGGATAGGAATCAAGTTTATCCCACGCTGGGCTGGCCCTTCATCAATCTGGAACCCATCGCAGACCTTTCTTGCTCCGGCTGATGGAATACTTATCAGACTAGGAGGAGGGGGCGAGTGTTAGTGACCTACCTGTCAAGCTCCTTTACCATATGTCCTGTTACTATAGCATTTCTCTCATGATAGCTAGCAGCCCTAGAACATCAAAACTCTCACAAGCTCGGGAAAAGAGCGGACTCCTACGCAGCCCCGGCGTCTTGACCCGCTTGCGGTACGCACCCGCTGTCTGTGCGACCGGTCCACTGTTCACGATCCCCAGGGTAAAGCCCATATGCCCAGGCTGGGCATGCAAGATACACTTTCGCCCAGTTGTTTCCGTTAAGTACCACGGTACACTCTCGACGGACTTCCTGGCCCAAGGCACTAGGAAGAGCAAGTAAAATCGCCTGGCTTCTGCAGCCCCTTCCATCGCGCGATGGGGGCGTGAGCTTTGTTTAACCACTACAGTATAATTCCCCAGTCATGCTGACGCAACAACTATTCTATGGGGAAGATGCTACACAGTACATAGTATAGCCAGAATCCTTCGCCCTGGAGGGGAGACGCCTTCAGTTGACCAGTCGATTCCGAGCACCTCTCACGAGCATTTGAAAATAAAAATACTAATGGGCCGGCCACCCAGACTCACTTCGCACAACCACGTTAAGATGAGCCTGCATACACAAACTCTCAACTATCACACAGTACAATATTATACTGCACTGGAGTGCGCTGTACGAGACGGCATGTGGCGGCCCCACATCCTGCATAAGCACCAATGCAGGGCCGAAACAGGCGCTGAAGGGCAGGTGCCAGGGACGCTGCAGGCAGTATCGCTGCTGAAGACCTCGCTCTAAAGCTTGTGACTGTGGTGTATCTGTAGTTTACTTACTCATGACCATCACTCTTTCCAGGGCCCGGGGTTTCGCAATTCCTTCAGTTTACCAATAGGCACTGCTGCTTCACGAAAGAAACTCTCACATGTTCACCGCTCTTTCCTTGGTTTCCCCCTGCACCAACATTAATTTCCATCAAACGTTCTAGACATTTGATCTATTGTTTCTTTTCTTGTCCTTTTGAAAGAACAGACATATGACATGGCAGAACAGGGAACAATTGACACGGCATCCGGTGCTTGGAGATCTTCTCAGGCGGATGACACGATCTGATTCGACCAGCCCGAGGCAGCCGGCGGACCACTCCATGCCACCGCCTCTCTGCAACCAATGATGATCATGATGTGGTGCGCTGGTGGTGGCACACTTAAAACCTGATGATGGTAGCCTCGCAGGCTTCGAATCAGAGGAACGCCACACTTCATGCCATCACGTGCTGGGCGGGGCATGAGGGTAATCCTGCCCTCAGCTTCCGCCAAGGCACCACCTGCAGAAGTTAGCGCCTGACTTGCTTCCCAAGACTATGCAAGGTACGGATTTGGGAGGAGATCCAACTCTCCTTCTCTCAGCTCGCCATGGTCACCCATTGGGAGCCTGCCTCCCCCGCTCCCTCCTTCCCGGGCCTTCACACACACAGACACCCACAGACACACACACACACCCCCACACCCACACGTGTTTTGCGGGGGGTGGGGGCCCTGATGTGTCCTCCAGCTTGGTTCCGAATTTCAGGCGTTTCTAGAGCAGGTACCAAAGAAGCAATACCACGTCGTGGCCAAATCTGTCAATGCCGATTTTCATCGCCTTGCCTAATGAACGGCCTGGGGGCAAACTCATACAAGGTTAAAGTCAACGAGGCGGCATTCTAGCACACTGGGAGAAGCTTCGTTGGGGTGAGAGGGGAGAAGAGAGAAAGCCCAACCCGTTGGTTTGGTTCGCAGGAGTCGTCCTTGCTCTAGCTCATCATGCTGCTGCGAGCAGGAGGCGACGACACCATCACCACCATGTTGGAAAAGGTGGTACACCATTTCCTTCTCCCTCACTCAGCACTACAGAGGGCCCTTGCAGAGACCACAGATGTCACGAGTTTGCACTCCTGACCCAGGTACAACGGACAGGCAGAGCCCGAAGTCAGTACGCCTCCCCAGAGCTTTCTCGAGCGAGAAACGCAAGGACATTGGCCCTTTGTTGTCATGTCATCGTGACCCTCATAGCCCGGAATCGCAGGTCCCAGAGGATCGCTCCTACCCCATATTGTCGGGTCGAGACGGCTTTTTCGCCATTCTCATCTGTGCAGTGCCAGAACAGGAAGGAGGTTTTGCCTTCTACACGCCACAGGCGCTTGCCCCTTCCCGCACCCCCCCCCCCCTCTCTTTCCCCGTACCAGACCTCAATCGAATTTGCTGCAGAATAAAGCAGTTGGCGTGGGCAGCATTTACCAACGGACACATCTCTTTCCGAGCCTCGTTGCATCCTTCCGGGGAGCAGGCAGAAAGAAGGCTGGCTGAATCCCTTGGAAATGACTCGACCAGTCGGCGCGGAAGTTTCGCGGCCAATCATCACGCCGGTGCTCTTTCCCATCCGGCCCCTCGGAAAACTTTGTGTCATGTGGTGGGCGACGACCTGGTTTCTTCGGTGCCCGAACCCGGACGAAACAAGGCTGCGACGCCCGCCAACACGCCATCAGGTTGGTTCTTTAGATCATCGTGTGTCTTTCGCATTGTGGCACGGAGGATCGGTGTGTGTGTTCACCGAAGGGTGTTCTCCTTTCCTGTTGAAGGTAAAGAGCTGAATATTTTCGTGTCTCTACTGGACCTCTGGTCGGGCAGCGTCGGCCAAGGGTGAGGTGAAGTTCTTTTCGATCTCGACAGGTAGGTTGGAAGGGGGGAGAGGAAGAAGACGGGGAGGGGGGCTCATTTGGCCAAATAACCTATCACGATGCCTCTTTGGTTCATGATCGAGTTGGCAGCCAGCCTCGGCTGCAAGTTTTTCCTCTGTCGCTCCAGTATGTTCCCCGGTGGGAACAGCCGTCAAGTGCGGTGAAACGGTAACTCCTACCCTCTTTTTCTATCTCGCTCTCTCTCTTGAGGTGGTGGTATCCGATGCTACTGTAATCTACGTTTGTCATCTCCTGGAGGTGGGTGACGATCCCAGCGGGCTCAGTTGTTTCTTGCATCTCATCGTATTTTCTTGGAGGCGCGACAGGCAAATGCTGCTCGTCGTCACCACCATCCCAGAGGCAAGATGTACCTTCCTCAATACCTTTTCCAACCACTTGAAAAGTCTTGGAACTTGGAGATGAAATGCGAAACTATAGGACTCACCACTTGCAAACTGCTCCCGTCGCAAAGGTACCCCCAACAGTCTCCCAAAACAAGGTCTTGATAAGTCTATTCCTAGTCTGCTTTCTCTCTCCTCCCTACCAGGTCCCTACGTCTTCATCGTTAAAATTTCAACGGCTCAACCACCGCCGAGCAGCGCCGCCCAGATGATGTTCTCCACCAGGCCGCACGTATGCTACGTCAGTCCACCCTCAAGCTCCGCACTGTCAGGCGCGGCAGCAGATGAGGATGGCGGGGATGAGTTTTGAGCCCGTCTTTTTCTGAGACACTAGGATTGACCCTGAGAAGAAGAAGAAGACATGTGGAGACACTATCGTCTTGACCACAGAACTAGGTTCACGATAATCTTGGACAATCAGAGCATGTTCTTCACTGGTTCTCAAACTTGAGAAAGTGGTGGTGTAGGAGGAAAAAGGGGGCAGGACCGGAGGCGGAGAGTGGACTGAGAAAACCCAGCCATCTAGCCAAGCAGTTACATCCTTTGCGAGTAGTGGCGTTATGCGGCGAGCTGAGTATATGCCACGGCTGAATGGAAGGCAGAAAGGAGGGGGGTGAGGAGGAGGGGGGGGGGTTGTAAGCGGATGCCGTCTCAAGATACTCAGTCATCATGGATCTGATCAGAGCTGTCTGGCTGTAAGGAGGGAAGGCCAAGTCACCTCCGTCTACGCTCACTCATGCCACCCACTATGGCAACTTGATTGGGCTGAAAGACTTTCAGCTACACTCTACCAAAGTTGTCCGTTCCTGGACGTCTTCTGCAGGCGACGTGCATCAAGTTACGCCACTCATGCGAACATAACAGCCTCCAAATTTGCGGCTGTTTAGCTCGTGGGAGATAAATTCTATTAACTATTGTGACAGCAGCCGTTGGTCAACTTCGCTTGTGGATGCCATCATGAGATCCGAAGTATCATCGTTATAATCACCGTGTCTTATCTTGATTCCGTGTTACTTTAAGATGAATCCCCGAGACACGTATCAATCGCGCCCAAGACTGTCCGCAATCTATAGACCGGGACCAAGATCACCAACACCTAGAGAGGCCGAAGCAGATGTCCCCAAACGCATCAGCGTTTTTGAAAAGAAATAATAGCAGAAGAAAAGACACAAGGGCGAATGGAGAGCTCAAAAGCATCGAGATGATAAGTCGTGCTCAGACCAGCCAAATGTCCAGCTCAAAATGAGGCTTACGATCCCGACATAAGGATACTATCTGAACGGCAGGCCAGGACACCAGTGCTGCAAAGGGGTCCAAAGACGAAGTCCCATATAACCAAAAAAAATTACGGCAAGTATGTGCCCTTACGAACTCAGCAGGTCTCGTACGCTCATCCCTCTCGCCGGATTACTAGAGTTTGTCTCGCCGCTCCGGCCGGATACTGTTCCCCTGCGGTCAGTATTTAGCATCAACAGCGCGGCAGTGGCCTCCTGGTCCAGATCACGCTCCTCCCGCAGCGGTCCCAGCGCGGGGCTCGTGAGCGCCGAGCCCGCGGCGGACTGGTTGCTGGGCGCGTAGCTCGGCATTCCCCAACCGGGCCCGACAGCGGGTGATGTCGTTGCGCTATGAAAGCTGTAGTGCCTATGGTGTTCGTACGACGGCACACCAGTCGAGGAGAAGGCATAAGACTCGTGTCGGCGGCAGTGAGCAGCTGGCGACATGTCGTCCTGCTGGTCTGCTGGTACAGACGGCATGGCTGTATGGTTCGATACGGCAGAAGGCAAAGATGGCGGGCATGTGGTAGATGTAGGTGAGTGTGCGAGATCAGAGCCTGTCATCTCCACATCTGGCTGTTGTTCATCCTCCGTGTTGGCATTTTGCTGCTGTTGGTCTGCCTGGTCAGGGCTGTATGATTCCCGCTCCGAGCTGCTGGCCATCCCTGCCATCTCAAAGGGTGTCTGGGGGTCTCTCTGTGCCTTCAGCTTCTCGATACAATCCTGCAGATACCGGACATATTCGATCGATGCCTACGAAGGTCAGCCACAGGTTTCACGATGAATTGGTCTAGGGCTCCCCCAGACTCACCTGTAGTATAGCCAATTTATGCATCTCCCCCTCACAGGCCGGTATCATACCCTTCAGCACGGCGAACTCCTCGTTCATCTTAGACCTCCGCCTCCTCTCAATCAAGCTGTGCGCTGTCTTCCTTGCGATCTTCCGTCCAGCGGCGCTCGTCGCGGATGGTTGCTTCTTTTTCGACGTCACAGCCTCGCTCGCCTTTGGGGCAGAAGCGGCGTTGGCGGCGGCGGCGGCGGCGGCTTTCTTGCCTGGGCCCTTGCCGGCACCTGCCGCCGTTACAGGCTCGGGTGCGGGCTTTTTGTTTTTCTCCTCCAGCGCGCGGGGCTTCATCTGGATAATCTTGCGGGATCTCGCAGGAGGAGGCGGCAACGCGAATGAGGAGGCAGCAGCTGTGGCGGCGGACGGCCGTCTCCTTGCCTTGACGGTCTCACTGGGCTGTATGGGGTAAGACTTCTTAGGCGAAGTCAGGGACACGGGCGAGTCTGGGGTGCCCATTTTGCTGCCACGCATGTCATCATCCTCAGGACCAGCTAACCGGCTCGCCTCGCTCGTCATGGCCGCCGGTGGCAGCTCAAAGGTCATCTGCAGGGAGGACAGCTGTTTGGTCCCATCCTTGCCACGGATGTCTGTTGACGAGGCTGGCGTCGGGGGCAAAGCCGTTCGGGGCATGTCTTGCTGTTCCTGTTGGCCCCGTGTGGTGAGGATTTTCTTCCGAAAAGATAGAGCCGATATCACCAACAAGTTCTGACGTTGACCTTGATGCCGTCAGGTTCGTAGTAAGATGCTGATGTCGTGCTCGGTCGTCAATTCTGGGCGATGACCATGCAGAGGATCGAGATGGGATGCGTGGAGACCAGAGGCAAGGAGAGGAATGTATACGGCACGATGGGTCACCGGGGTCGCCTTTACGTTGCGTTGCGTTGTGAGGCTGTGTAAAGAGAGTCGCGAGGCCCAAGATCAGGATACAACAACGTCTGACGTAGAAGGCACGTCTCTTTCGCGAAGGGAGAGCGAGTGAGGCTTAGGAAGGAGAGGGAAGAGGAAGGGGGAGAGAAGCCTAGACTGAATGAACGAGGCGACGATTAGAAAGGACAGTAGCGAGAACGAGAAAGAATCACCCATGTGACTTCCTCTACTATCTTGAAGGAAAGAGGGGAAAGAAGGCAAAAAGAAGATGGCACGAGCAATACACAGCTCGACTTAGAAGAACGCGACCCTCCCCTCCAATGGGCTCCAGCTCCAAAGACTTTCGGCCTATCATCTTTTTTTCTTTTTTCTGTCCCAAATCTTTTCTGTCCGTTGCACTTGGTCCTGTCATTACCCTCGTGGTGAGAATTCTTGGGTGTGAGAGAGAAGGTGGTCGTTCCCGGCAAGTGCTCGTGTGAGCAGCAGCGAATAGGCGTCGAGCATGGCGCCTCGTGCTGTTGACGCTGCGTTGAGAATGGAGCCGCCCTGATCCATGACACGCGAGGCCAACCGTCTCCTACTACTGCGCATAGTGCTATACAGTACATCTTACGCAAGCTACGAAACGCTGCTACGCTCTAGTCCAGCATAAGATATGCCATGACAATACTATGGTAGTGCTGTTTCCACCTTGCCTACTCAGTTCTAGCTACTGCCGCTCGGTGCTACCATGGTACTTTGGATAGAAATTCGTTAAGTTGAGGGACGTGGGGAAAGTTTCGAGGGACGTGGGGGTTTCTCCTTCTTTTTCTCCTCTCAGCAACCCTCTCACTCATCTCTTCAATCAAGGGAGACTATTTGAGGCCTACGAAACTAGCTCACATGCTCTGGAATATACATGTGTGACAGAGAGAGAGAGAGAGAGAGAGACAGAGAGAGATTGGAGTTCTTCTTCCGTTCTACCTTCAGTGTGCACAAGCGACATGTATACACCATCAGCACTTTTCTGGTACTCTCCCTACAGGCTTCCTAGGTTAGCATGAAATTCGGGGTCTGACAGAAGGGTGCACATAAATTACTACAGAGTAGCAGTCAGCACCTGAGGCATGATTCGAATCAAGATGAACATTGGCTGGCTAGCGATTTCAGACAGGACCACTTTTCCAAGCTTCCTGGCCTGAGAGGTACCCACGTGCTCACCTGCAGCAACCCCGGGTCCTTCCACACTCGTGACACTGCTCACGTGCTGCGACCTTCATCCCAAAACGGGGCAGCATCATGCTCTTGTGCTGCTGAGCTGTAAGAGGAAACCCGGCACATCTAGACCACTTTTGCCTGTCACATGCCGATCGTAACCTTGAACTGCAAACCATCCTGTTCCATTTTTGGAAGATTCGATGAATGTGCCGATATGCAATTGTCGGAATGGCTTCCCCGTACTTGATCGTACGCTCAGACCTCATTGCTCGGATACTCGACCCTGGTGGTCGCCCCAAACTCTTCCTTCATGGTCCTCATGCTGACAAACCGGCCCATGATCGCCGCGCTTCCCGCCTTGTCATTGGTGCCGGAGGCCCTTGCGCCCCCGAACGGCTGCTGTCCCACCACCGCGCCGGTGCTCTTGCAGTTGATGTAGAAGTTGCCGGCCGCATTGCGCAACGCATCCTCTGCGACCCTCACAACTGCGCGGTCGGCTGCAAACACCGAGCCCGTCAGGCCATACTCGGACGTGGAGTCCACCAGCTCGCACGCCTTGACGAACCCGTCGGGCTGACTGTCGTCGTACACGTACGCCGTGAGGATCGGTCCAAAGAACTCACTTCTCAGATAAGAATGCGCTGGGTTCGTCGTCTGATAGATGGTGGGATGCACGTAGTAGCCCTTGGAGTCGTCGTACCGGCCACCGGTGACTAGCTCGAGCTCCTTGTCATCCTTGGCGGCGTCGATGGCCCCGCTGAGCTTCTTGAAGGAGGCCTCATGGATGACGGGACCCACAAAGTTCTGCGCCTCCCACGGCACACCAACCTTGAGCTTCTCCGTCTCCGCGACCAGCTTCTCCTTGAGCGCCGGCCAGACGCTCTTGGCTACATACAGGCGCGACGTAGCGCTGCACTTCTGGCCCTGGAACTCGAAGGCCCCGCGCACCGTCTGCTTGGCTGCGTTGTCGAGATCCGCGGTCGGGTGGATGATATGGAAGTTCTTGCCGCCTGTCTCGCCCACGATACGAGGGTAGCCGATGTACCGGCCCTGGGCGATGCCCTCCCCAATCTGGCCGTACAGCTTGCGGAACACAGCTGTGCTGCCGGTGTAGTGGAGGGCAGCGAACTGCTTGTGGCCCAGGACGACCTTGGTGATTTCCTCGGGCTCGCCAGGGACGAACTGGATCACGTCCTTGGGCAGTCCTGCCTCGAGGAAGATGTTGTAGAGCAGCCAGTTGGAGGCAATGGCGTAGTCAGATGGCTTCCAGACGACGACATTGCCCAGGAGGGCAGGGAGGCCAGGTAGATTGCCGGCGATGGCGGTGAAGTTGAAAGGCGTGATGGCGTAGACAAAGCCCTCGAGGGGCCGGTACTCGATCCTGCTCCACACGCCGGGGGCGTTGTGCGCAGGCTGTTGTGCGTAGAGCTCCTCGGCGTACTGGACGTTGAACCGTAGAAAATCACACAGCTCGGCGGCGGCGTCGATCTCAGCCTGCCACGCGTTCTTGCCCTGGCCCAGCATTGTAGCGGCCATAATGTCGTACCTGTACTTGGTAGCAACCAGATCTGCCGCCTTGAGAAAGACCGCTGCTCGGTCTGCGAAGGGAAGAGATGCCCATGCCTCCCTGGCGGCCAGTGCAGAGCTGATGGCCTGCTCGACATGCTCAGGACCGGCCTTGGAGTATGTCGCCACAACTTCTGAATGATTGGATGGATTGAGCTGTTTGCCGGTGGAAGACGTCTTGACCTGTGGATAGAGGGGCGCGTGTGAGCCATGCTGAGAGACAGAAATAAGAGGTGCCCGGTTAGCTTTCCGTACGGACCTCTTTACCACCAATTACTATCGGCACCTCTATCGTGCCTTTGCCCTTCATCTCCTGGACCGCAGACAGCAGCCCATCCCGTTGGGCAGAGCCCTTTGCATAATGGTGCTATGAACAGCAGTCAGAACCTCGCGCCCTATAATGACGAAGATTGAGCATGGTCTCGTTGGTGGCGACTCACGTTTGGTTCGTTCAAGACCTTTGGTGTCTTGAAGGTCGCTAGCACAGATGCCCTGCGTGTACTCGTGGCAAAGCCACATGGTGATGGCCTCCCTATGAGCCTGGATGACGGGAGGGGAGAGCTGGAACGGGCACCCGACCTCGCATTGAGGGACAGGAGACTGACCCTGCGAGAAGCCATGATGGTCGTCGAAGATCAAGGAGCAGTCCTTATCTGTGAAGGTGAGGGAAGGAGTAGAGAAGGAGGACTAGGGAGACGAAGATACCACTGCTTTGTGAGGCTGTTGAACCTCAAGAGACGGGAGCTGATTGTCAGATGTGACAGAGGATAGTAAACTTGTCTGAATTGACCCTCTCCCTTGTTCTTATTATCAGCTCTATGAAGGGCAGTAACTATCGAGAGCTACATACTCGACATTGCCTGCTCGGCTGCCAGCGGTTCAACATATCGCCCGGGCGGGCTGCGGAGAAGCTAGACCCCGCAGTTGTGGTGCAATTGGCCAATGGGGTGTTGTGCTTTCAATCCTGGCCCCCGATAGCGGCCCACTGCTCTGGGCCTCTAGCGAATTAGTACGGGATGCTGGACCGATACGGAGCTGCGCCTTTCTTTGCTGCTGCCCTGCACAGATTCAATTTGATAATGAGACGGGGAGGAAGATGTCACGACGGCTAAATACGGAGTGAGAGACTGACATCTGTTAGAATCCTGTAGTATGGAGTGTACGTAACTTAGTTGCATTTGGAAAACCCTAGGCCTCAGATGAGAAGCAATGTGATAGGCAGGCAGTCTATCTACAGAACCCCCAACGGAGGCTCTACAATGGGTACTCTCCGCCAAGAAAAAGAACCAAGGAGAAAAGAAAAGGAAGCAAAGGTGGAGATAGAAACCGACAAACACAGAGAGAGACAGAGAGAGTGTGTGTGTATATGCTTGGGTACATAATATAGTTGCCTTCATTCTGCTCTATACTGGCTGATGCAGGGGTGCTTCCTGATTGGCTATAGCTGACAGGTAACAACAAGGACATCAGTTGAGTAATGGACAATCTCTACAGCTATGTTGAAACTAATTAAGCAATACTCTATAGCGGTGGTTATTAAAGCAGCCTCTGATAAGATATGCTACAGTATTAGAGTAGCGACAATTGCAATCCAGGTTTGCAGTAACTCATCTCTATGATCCTCTCGACAGTAGAGATTTTTTTTTCCCCTCCCCCCGTTCAAGCACCGCTTCAGGAAACCTCCCTTTTCTCTTTTGTCACCTATATCTCAGACCCTTTGGGTGCTACTGCGCCCACAATTTCGAGCAATCCTGAAGTCAGGACCCAATATTGAACTTGGTCCAAATAGCAGCACCAATTCGATACTATGAACGGGAATTTTCAAATCTAGATTGGTCTTGCGGTTGACTTGACTGAGCTCAACATGGCTCAGCAGCTCTCTTCTATCAATATCAGGAGCAGCAAGGTAAACTCTCACAGTCTAAGTCAAAAAGCTGAGCAAGGTGCTGATAATTCTAAGGGCGTTCCCCTTTCCCATATGCACATGAGTAGAATCGACCAGGAACTTCCACTACCACCAACTTCCAAGAGCAGCAAGGTGAGCAGCTTATAAAAAGTTTCTGAAAAGTCGAGCAAAGTACCGATGATTCCAAGTTAGTCTCAAGCTGATAATATGAAAGAAGGAGACAGGAAAAATGTTTGGAAAACACGATAAGAAACTGCAAAGAAAAGTTTAAGAATGTAATAAAAAATTCTAGAAAAATGTTTAAGAATGCGATAAGAAATTGTACAAAAGTAAAAATAAAAAGTTTAGAAATGTAAATTGCTTCTTCCTGCTCATAGCCAAATTTATAATTAAAAGATGCTGGAGTTGAAAGGTTTTGTTGAAGACTGTGGGAAGGAACTCCTGTCTAGCTCAATTTATGTAGTAAATACGGGTAGCTGTTAGGGTAGCAGTCGACAGGGTTATCGATGGTCTCAAGGCGTGGGACAAACAATACTCATCCAACAACATCGTACGCAACCTTCGTCTGGAACTCGCGATGAACAACGAGCACACCAAGCACACCATTTTGGCCATTACGGCCCTCGTTGGCGGTGCTGCGATTCCCGGCAAGCTTTGGGACTATGCTGGCGACACCAAGGCCGAGACCAAGAAATGGGTTACTCTCTTGACGGAACTGCAGGGCTTCCTGAACTGGACGAAGGTCGAACGACTCCGCCCAGCCAGCATCAAAACCATCGCACGCAAATACATTCCGACCCCCCGCAAGACCACAGCCAAGGTTGCCGCCAATCCCAAGACCCCCGCTGCGACGCCCGTTGACCCCGATCACAACAGCAACCCCGACCACGATGATAACCCCTTTGAATTCACGAACCTCGATGTGGGCGAGTCCGACCATGATGATGACAACGATTCCTTCGTCTGAATCGAAGACGACCGTCGTCGGAGGGTGGAGGGGTGGAAATTTTGGGACAGTGACAGGGACGAGTGAACTGACGACACTCGTCAAGGTTGGAAGAATGGAGCATCATCACATTTTAAAGACTGCCAGTGTGGGAAGGAACGACTGCTCGGATAGCAGCTACCCTAACAGCTACCCGTATTTACTACATAAATTGAGCTAGACAGGAGTTCTTCTCTTCTCCTCTTCAATCAACAATAACAACAACAATCAACACCCATCACAGCGAACATCGTACGTACGTACTTGCTAACCAACATTGTTTTTTTTTTTTTTTTTTTTTTTTTTTTTGATTGAAGAGGAGAAGAGAAGAACTCCTGTCTAGCTCAATTTATGTAGTAAATACGGGTAGCTGTTAGGGTAGCTGCTATCCGAGCAGTCGTTCCTTCCCACAAAGACAGAGCTTTTGAGAATTTACTCGGAAGAGTTCGGATCAAAGACTGTTGGTGAAAAAGAACAAGATCAGCTGTTCATAAAAAGGTTTAGGCTTTGATATCATACCAAAGCGCAATATGTTTATATAAGTTTAATTCATTAAGCAATAATGTTTTGGAACATGAAAAACCTTTCAATAGAAACCGAAAGCCAGAAGGAAAATTTATCAAGCATAAAGCAATGCCCAACCCCCCTGCCCAAAATGCACCGTTCCGGCAGACCCACGACCGGCTGAACTCCTAAGCAGTGCCAGGCGCCATGGTCAGCGTCGGCACTGTTAGGCCGTAGTTCTCTGTCCTGCCTTGGGGATCGTGCTGGTCGATCTCGACACGGAAGCAGATATCCAGACTCCCGTCATTACCCTGCCCATGCTCTGTCGGGTGCGCGGCCTTGTGCGTCGTGCCGCAGCCAGTCTCTCCGGCCTGGATAGGCAGGTGGCCGTTCACGTTGTGCTTGGACCGCCTGGTCTTGACCGACGACCGGGTATTGACCGATGACAAGTCGTGCCCGTTCGTGCTGGCGGCGCTCTGTCCGTTCGTCGTAGCGGTCACTGGACGTAAAAACTGGCTGGATGGCTGTGGGCGTGGCTCCTGTGCCCGTGGCTCCTGTGCCCGTGGTGCATTATTTGGCGAGTTCTCGGTCAGCATGGCAAAGTTTCGGCTGGGCATAGTGACTTGGTTGTGCGCCGCCGTCTTGACCGAGTCGCCTGGGTCTTTGTTGAAAAGTTTGAGGAGTGTCTCATCGGTCTCGTGGTTCAAGTGGTGGATCTTGTTGCGGCGGGCCAGGAGATTGGCGATAGCCTGAGGGGGCGGCTTGTTCACAATAGCTGAGGAGACCACATTGACCATGTATCGGTGGTCGTTCTCGCATGGGATATTGAGCGAGGGGTTGGAGTAGAAGCGACCCAGCGCAGCAAGATGAACGTCCCCGCCCAGAATAGTAAGACGGACAGAGACTGTATTAGCGGCTTAGCACGCTAGAGAACATTGAATTGCAAGAACTAAAAAGGGATCCGACGAGTCTGTGTACTTACATTGCTTGCATATTTTCTGGAAAGTCTCAATCATCCAATTTCGTTCTTTCTTGTGATTTTTCGCCGTATAGTGATCGTCGAGATCATCAGCCAAATCCACTGAGCCATCAAAGTGGTTGAAGAGGCCACCGCCTGAGAATGTCGTCAGTCAGAGTCAGTTCGAGCAGCATGACGACCAATATTGCGGCGTGATAGCAAGGTAGTAAGCGCAAGCGACATCGTGTACAGATAATCTAGAGGCAAAGACTGGGTCCAGGACTCAAAATACAAGAAGCCGGATCAGTTGAAGAGGATAGCACGTACCTAGGCCAAACCTCCGGTTGGCGAATTTAATCGGGCCTATAATGGGGCTCGAGAAAATGTTTTCAAGCCAAGTGAGACGCTATAAAGACCAGAGTCAGCTGGAGGAGTCGAAATGCACACAGTATATATACTAGAGGGATTCGGCACCCACCGGATATGCGATCGGTATGCCCAGAAGCAAGATCAGATGCTTGAACGGCGTACCAGCAGCCTGTGCTTCGCGGAGTTCTTGTGTAAGCCGCCCAAAGATCAGGTCGTAGGTCTCCTGATAGTTGACCCGGTGCCGAGTGCGCTCAGTGCGCGCGTCGATTCCCACAAGCGCGATACGGGCGCCCAACCTGGCAAAGACATTGTGCGAGCGCGCTGCCATATAGGGCCCAGGCTTTGCGCCCACGATATAATGCGATTCCACCATAGGCGCCGCAACATAAGTGTCTACCAGCTGGAGTGGGTCAAGACCAGAATCCTGGCCGTCCCCGGACTGTGTCATCGTCTGGGGAGCGTCTGAGGTGTAGGTGGAAGAAGACGGCGGCAAATGGTGTTGAAACAGCATGTAGTACTTGAAGGCGCACCCACCAATCCCGCGGAAGACGTCGCATTTCATGAAATCGTCGACATAAGAGCCGTAGCCATCGATTATGTCATGGTCGTCAAAGATATTGACCTGGGGAATCTGGCCATTTGCTGAGGCGAATGGCTCCGTCGAATACCACCGGATATAATTTTTCAGGTAAAAGTCGTCGCACTCTGCTCTCAACTTCTCTGGAAACGGGTAATCTCGGCGCTTCTTGGGATTGGCAATGGCTGTCCACTCTCGTAACGGGCCATTGACACGTATACCATCGCAGTACACCTGATCGCCACCTCCTATCATAACATGGAAGGGCACCTCGGCGTGTCGGCGCAGGACGTCGTTCCACAGTGCGGGACCGCTCCAGGCGGCCTCGTCTGTGCCCACCGAGAATCCGTTGCACGAGTGGAACATGACTGTAATACACGACAAGTCAGCATCACAACGAAGGAAAGCAAGTCGCTTCGATCCATTGCAGAGGGCCATGGCACATACTCCTCATAGACTCTGTAACAGCCGGGACATTAAAGAAGTTCTCCTGCGGTTTCTTCTTGCTGATGAAGCGCATCTCCGGTAGGGTGTATGCCCATTTGCTTTCAGCAGCTCCCATCTCGCAGCGCAAGTCGAACCTCCAGAACGTGTTGCGAGGGTCTGAGTAGAGACACAAGCCCTCTATGTCGGTAGCGCCCGCGAAGCCGTTTGTGTGCCCATCCGTCCCGTTGCTGACCTCCTCCGTCTGAGCTTGCTGATGCGCCGCGTCGATCTTCCGCAGGGCCAGCGTGGGGACGACGTCTTGAGTCTTGCCGCCGCCCGTGGTGACGATCAGGACGCTGCCCACCCAGTAGGTCCCCTCCATGCGCCTATAGTTCAACAGCGGCCCGCAGGCGATTGTCCTGCCATCCTTGGGGTGGTTGTGCGCGGCATCCGCCTCAGCGTGCGCATCAAGGGCGGCGGCCTCTGGGGCTTGTCCTTCGACCATGATGGGCATATGCTTGCTTGGAACAGCAGAGACGGGACGGCTCCGTGAGGTATTGTCGGGGGCGAGCCGTGAGGAGTTTAAGAAGTCGGCCAGGTCATGGGTGCCGGTCTTGGCCTCGGCGGCCCGGGGCTGCAGTGATGCATGCTTGCGGTATGCAGAGGACTCCTCGTGTCGCCACCTCGTGCTAGACTCGTATGGGTTGTGGGGGTCGACGGCGAGATCCTCGTCGTCCTCAAAAAGCTCGGCGTCAGGGTCATGCGCTCGGGCATGACCGTGATGGGATGTCATTACGTGCGGGCGGACGCTGGTGGAGCACGTCAGTGGTCGGAGTTAGAGGGAACGCGATTGGTAGAGGGGGCCCTGGCGAGGGTGCGCGCGAGTGGAGACCTCAAGTCAAGTCACTTACACGAAAGGTCAATTCAAGAGGGCGAAGAAATGAGGTTCTTCAGCCACGAGATTCGAAAAGAAGCAAATGATGGATGGAGGCGTCACAAGAGATTGTCTGAAGGTGGTCCTCAGGCCTCGAGCTCAGGTCGCGGCCAGAGGAGATAAAGAGAAGAAGAAGGATGAGGAACGCCTACGTCAGGCCCTAGCGTAACGACTGCTGCTGATACTGCCAAATTTCGGTTGAAGATCCCGGCTCCTGAAGCTTTGATGTACGGACTCTCTTCAAGAAAGCCAGCTCCTAGCAGAGAGAAATGAGGCCAACCACTGCAACAGACGGATCTTTGGGTCGACAGCTTGAAAGAAAGAGGAGGGAGGACAAGCGGGCGAGAATTATGGGTCGAAGCTAGCCACAGGTCGTACGCACGCGGATGACAACAGGAATGGGCAAGGAGTGAGAAGTAATGTGGGTTACAGCAATGCAGCATCTTGTGGTCAGGAGAAATAATTACTGTCTTGGCGCGGACCGTGATTATGATTACGACGGACGCGACTGGGTCTCTCTGGGGCCAGTGGGAGATGAGGACAAAATGCTAGTACAGGGTTTCGGCCGTTTGCAAAGGTGTTTATCGAAAGCGAGACCTTGCCAACTTACTTTTTTTGTTTTTTTGTTTTTGTTTTCGTTTCCCGCCCTATAGCCATACCTTTACTCAATGCAGCTGGTTTACTCCGAAGCTTTTGCTTTTGAATGCGAAACCACTATACCCAATAAAATTAAATTGCTAACAATCATTACTATTAAAATACTAAAACAAACAAAATGATCTTCTTCCAATTAAGTCAGCTTTAGCAGAATCTTTTGATTCCATTGTAAACTCTAATAATTTCTTTTGCTTGTTTTTCCTGCATTTTCCTAAACAGTTTTCTTGCACATACTTTTCCAATACCAGGACATTTGATTAGTATTTCCAAAAAAAAAAAAATCTATCTAGAAATCTTTACTACAAGTTCTACAGTGCTTACAAGGAAAGTTTTCCAGAGCCAGCCTGCATCTGGAAACTTTTCCATCAACAACATCATGAACAATAATTATTTCATTCTTTCGCTACATGAATAGTCCCAATGGCAGTTTCGAATCGTACCGGATCCCCATCCTGTCACCAACAGTGAGAGAAGACTGCCCCGACTCTGATGATGCTGGACCTGGCGCGTGCACACACTCGTGGTCGGATCCCGATTAAGTTTTAGAAATGGTACAAGGCTGATGCCGATTTGGAGAAATGAGAGAAATTCAACTTGGGACGCCATCAGCTCCAGCTAAGATTCAAGGGTGCCCAAGGCGAGAATCCAAAGTCTATAGAGGCTACGAGCAAGCAAGCCCAAGGAGGATCAAGCAGATACTCAGGAACTCAGTTGGCAGTACAGGAAATGTAGGCTGTAGGTTTACACAAGAAAGTTTAGGAAAGAAGAGAGACCGAGATGGGAACGGCGACGACGACTATACTAGACAAACAAGAATCGGCATGGAAAAAATCAACAAGGTACTCGAGCATCAACCAGTATCGTTAATCGATTACTAAGGAGAAACGTATGAGCTGAGCACGTGGAAGTGGCTGAATGAGTGTTGAGATTGAATCTATCTAATACAAAAGGAAGATCTTCTAAGTAACTAAACCAGGCTCTGAGATGGTTTATGAGGAGACCAAAACAGAGGGTTAGGGTTAAATATGCCCCATTTTTCACACACCCCCCATCTGACTGGTCAGATGTGCCAGAAAAGTGGGTCTTTTGTGGGGTCCCCGCAGACGCGTTTAAGCTTATGTGGGCGCGTTTTACAGTCGCCTTGCCTCCTTCCAGTCCTCTTTCTTTTTCAACCAGCTCTTTTTCCATCTGTTTTCAAGGTTTTTGAAAGCCTCCGCGCGTCAATATGCCTCTTCTAGTCACTCCAGATTTCTCATCAGGCGAGTCTAACGTTTCTGTCCCTCTCAGCGAGCTCAGTATGGCTGTTTCCGATGACAGCGACTCTGCTGAGGGCGAGATCCATGTGGCCTCTTCTGGTCCTTCTCCCGATGTGGAGACTGATGAGGATCCCTTGGGTGCAAACCCCAGCTCCCCTGCTAGTATGTCTGAGTCGCATGGTAGTCCCTCGATGGCTACAGAGAAGAGCGCGAGCCCTGTTCAGCCTGTCTTGATTCCAACCGCTAGTCGGCACCCTCTTCCTGATGTGAGTATAGAAAGAGCTGCCTGGGGATTGGTATGGGCTGAACTGATTGTTCTTGTTTCCAGGGACGGCGGTCTGGCCTGCCTGCTTCAAGTCCTCAAGCTCCAGTCGAGTCGTCTGCTGCTCGTGCTGATACCCTGATTTTGTATCCTTCGGTCGATGGTGCCTCCGATTCAGTTGGTGTTGGTCTTTCCAAGCGCTCTGGTGCTGGTTCTACAGGGATTTCTAGCCCGTTTATCGATGACGACGACGATGATGATGAAGACGGCTCTGTGCTTCTTCAGAAGGCGCCCAAGACTGTAGGTTCGCACTGCTTTTTCTTCCAATGTTTACCTAGCTGACCCTTTTTCAGGCTTCCAGTAGCCTTTCAAGTTCTGGGCCAGTCGCAACAAGGCCTGTTACCGAGCAGGGTATGGCTCGTTTGAGGTCCCAGGATGCGTTGATGCAGGAGCTTCAGCAGGAGCGCCTCGATGTGGCTGCTGGAGACGCCGCCAAGTTGAGGACTCCTCAGTTGCGAGCCAAAAAGACTTTTCCAGTGGCTACCCCTTCCAGTACTCCCGCTGCAAGTTCCTCGAAGAGCTAAGATAATGCTTTCTAGGGTGCTGTTCGTGATGTTCCATGCATTGGCTGTATCAAGAGTCTGGCTGCGAGCGGCTCTGATGGTTCCTGTCACGACCAGAAGGACTCATCTGCTGCTCGCTGTGCTCGGTATTCGAAGGGTTACAAGTGTATTCCGGTTCCTTTCTACCTCATGCTTTTTGTGGACGAGCTTTATATGGCCAAGCGTGCGCTTGCTTCTGCTGAGGAGATGGATGCTCTTACGCTCTCGAAGAAAAGGATGCGCGCTGGAGTGGAGAAGGAGAACTCCACTCTCAACCTTGCTCCTCTGGGAATCCGATCCAAGCATGCTGTGTGGGCTTAGAAAGCTGCTCTTGAGCATTTTGAGGCGGGCAAGTTTTCGGAGGTTGATGAGCTGCAGAAGCAGATTGAGGCGCTCACGGAAGAGCGTGATATGCTTCTTGCTGAGTAGGAGGCTGATCGTAAGGAGGCAGTTTCACGCTCTGCCAAGGAGGGAAAGGCCGTGATTTCGGCTAAGAAGAAGGGAAAACAAGCTGCTGTTCAGTCTGTCTCGCGCTCTGTTAATGATCATCCTGTCGAGTCTTACCGTGAATGGCATCTGAAGCACAAGAAAGCTAAAGCTGATATCGAGGCAGTGCTGGCTACCCTTCACCCCCTACCTAAGGAGTGAGCCCTGTTCAGGCTTAGGTGTGCTCTAGGCTTTGGTGGATGATTGGGTTTTTTTTTTTGTGGTTAAGTCCTTTGGTTCGTCGTTTGATGAAGGTTGCGCGCTTGGTTTGCGTGTTTCTGGGTGATACCCCTGGGCTATAGGCCCTCGTTTTTGATTTTGACAAATGAAATTCAGTGATTGAGAGCACTCAAAAGGGGCCAATGTGAGATCGAGTTGCCCATCTGTGTTCCTTTAGGTTCCTTCTTGGTTCTCTGATTCAAGGCATGGCTGACATTCTGAAGGTTGAGAAGCGCTCTGAAGTGTTCGAACTGCGCTCGATTGAGGTTCTTGGTTAGTCCATCAGCTGGCATGCTCTGTGTTGGCATATATGAGATCTGGAATTTGCCCTTTTGGAACTCCTGCTTGAGCCACATTTGGTGTATATTCACATGGCGGAGCTTTGTGTTTATCCTTTCACGCTCTGTGATTACCAGCTGTATGGCTTGTTGATTATTACAGAAGATATTCCAGGGCTTGCTGAGGTTCAAGGTGAGGTCTCGAAAGAGGCGTTGTAAGGCGATCGTTTCCTTGGCTGTGGCTGAGAGGGCGTACAGTTCAGCCTCTGTGGTTGAGGTGGTTACCAGGCTTTGCTTTGTTGCTTTCCATTGTATAGGACCTCCGAATAAGCTGAAGATATATCCTTGTGAGGATTTTCGGTTCTCCGCATCGTTGGCAAAGGAAGCATCTCCGGCGATTAGCAGGGCTTGAGCCTCAGGGTGGCTTCCTCCGTACTGGATTGCCAGAAACCTCGTTCCATACAGGTAACAGATTACTCTGTCTGCCTGTTCCAGGTGCTTTGGCCCTGGGTTTGTCAAAAACCTGGAGAGAAGAGCGCATGCAAAAGCTACATCTGGTCTTATCATGATAGCGGTGTACAGGATTGATCCAATCTTCTCCTGGTACTCCTTGATTTGGTCTTTTAATGCTTCCTCTTTCCATTTGACAAGCTCCCCAAGGTCCAGAAGCGTTGGAAGTGTTAAAGCTGTATTGGCTGCAAGGCCAAACTTGTTGGCTATTTTCTCGATGTACGCATCGTGGACCAGGCTGATCGTGCGGTTGGCTCTGTCTCTGACGATTCGAACTCCCAAGAACCATTCCGCTGCTCCCTGATCCTTTATCTCATATGCCTCGAAGATGCCTTCCTTCACTCTGCGTGCCTTTGATGCCTGGTCCTGCGGATAGAACAGCAGGATATCGTTCACATAGAACAGAACGATCAGCTTGTTTGCTTTGTTAGTGAACATGCAGGGCTCTTCAGTTGAGGGCGTAAGGCCGAGATTTCGCAGAGTTGAGCAGAAGTGCCTGTACCAGAGTGCTGGCGAGTTCCTCAGGCTGTACAGTGCCTTTTTCAGGAGCACGATTTTCCCTTCCTCCTTGAATCCATCAGGCAGCTCA